ATAATAAAGCTATTAAAAATATAAAAAAAAAGGCCTTTAAAAATATAAAGCTAAAATATAACTCTAAAAAAGCTATTATATTAGCTATAAAAGGGCCTAATAAGGCTAGTAATACTAAGAGTAAAGCTGCCTAATAAATTTGTATTAGCGGTTTTACCTCTTCCGGAGGGGATATTAAATATTATAATTATTATAGTTAAAGTATATTAAGAAAGTATTATATATTATAATTTACTCGCGAAGGCGCTACTATACACTTTTGTTATAGTAGTTAGTTACTTCGGAAGTTCAGATAACACTCTAGTTTAATACAGAATATTATACCCTGGACAAATGACAGTAGACCTATCCGATAAATACGTAGCTTTGCATGGAGTCACGTGATCCCGTCTTACTCGGCTAACGTAAGCAAGAATATGGCCCCTTTATAAACAGGCCGCATAGACAGCTACGATAGTGGAATCGATCACCAATTTACGATTAATCCCCTCTTAACAATTCGCATCTACTTTTGTGTAACCCAAGAGTATAATGCGGCTCCCTCTTAGATCAGCGACTAACTAACGCTCAGGTTGATGATGGATGATAGCTGAGGATAAAACGTCTACCGCGGGGCCGCGTATAAATTTGCACTAGTGGATGACATTATGTGGCCGGTATAGTCCCTTTTGGTACGACTGCATAAACGCCGATTTTCCCGCTTGCACGACAAGCCTGACTTGGGAATAGCGTAGGAACTGTCGACTGTTGCAAGAACCTCATATGATAACTTGTCACACGGAAATGGCGTTGGTTACACAAGGGCTACGGTCATGGGATTAGGGCAGAAGGTCCTCACCGACTTCTTGTATAAATAGACGTCTTCGGTCCCTCAAGGCCTTGAGGAAAACCAAGGACCTTTGATACCAAAGACTGTTATTAGATGAATTGAGTAAATTGCTCCAAGCCCTCTACTGAGCCCTTGTCACATAACTGGTCTTGAACCACCAATAGTGTCGCTGTGCAGCCCACACGGAAATGCAAGCCAAGTTAACGGCTGGGTTACTCTAGGAGTGGCAGCTTATCAGTTCCAACATGCCCCGATGCAGTTGAAAGAACGGACTCCAACACGGCTCACGGTTCCTGGCTCGACATGAATGAGTCGGTGCCGCCGAAGCCGCGGCATTCAGCTCCTTTTGGCCGGGCAAACCCCTCTTTCTGGAGCTTGGTAGTCTCAGCCGCATCATCGAGACATGCCGGCCGCTTGTTACCCCGCAAGAGGCAAACAGGACAAAGGGGGGAAGTTGACATGGTTCAAATGGCCGGATCCCGGTGTTTAATTTCTCTAGCACCCTGGCTTTCTTCTGCCCGCATTGGCCCTCTTGTAATCTGCGAACGAGTCCCAGCAAACTTCGTTTCAAGAGTGGATTTTTGAGTATACATTCTCCAACGACTCATAATGGGTAGTGTCGCGGAAAAGAAGGAGTACGACGTAATCCTTGCTGGTGGTGGCACGGCAGCGTGCATTATTGCTGGCCGGCTTGCGGAAGCAGATCCCAGCCTGTCAATCTTGGTAGTTGAGCAGGGCCCAAATAACTTGAACGACTCGACCATTGTCACACCTGCTGTTTACCTTTCTCACCTGCAGCCAACATCCAAGAAGACTATATTTTACAAGTCGAACAGGGAAGAGGCCTTGAATGGGCGCGAGGCCGTTGTCCCTGCCGGCGGTGTCCTCGGCGGGGGCTCTTCCATCAACTTTATGATGTACACTAGAGGTTGGTCGGAGTCCAAACTCATGTATCTAACCGAGGCTCACATGTGAGAGCAGCACAGGGATGCGACTATGATTCTTGGAATACCAAAGGCTGGGACGCTAAAAGCTTGTTGCCCTTTGCCAAGAAGCTCGAGACGTATCATTATGATAGCCCCGGCGTCAACAAAGAGCTCCACGGCTACGACGGGCCCATAAACGTCTCATCTGGCACGCATGTAGCAAATACCGCCCAGGATGATATTATTGAGGCTGCCAAGGCTACAGGTGAGCAAGAGGTTGACGACTTGCAGGATTTCGAGGCTTCCAATGGCTTCTCCCGATGGCTGCGGTATATTTGTCCCCGTGGTGCACGCCAAGATACGGCTCACAGATACGTCCATCCGCTGATGGCATCGGGAAACTATCCCCATCTTCATCTTCTCGTGGAGAGTACTGTGACCCGCGTCATTTTCGATGGCAACCGTGCCACGGGCGTCGAATACCGAGCCACGACCGCCGCTACTGGCGAACAAGGAAAAACGTATACTGTCAAGGCAAAGAAGTTGGTTGTCGTATCCGCCGGCGCTCTGGGCACGCCTCAAATTCTAGAGCGATCCGGCGTTGGCAGCGCGGCAATTTTGGATAAACTAGGCATCCCCGTCGTGTCGGACTTGCCTGGAGTCGGCGAGGAGTATCAGGACCATAACTTGATCGGGTACCCTTACAAGACCACTCTTGCGCCCGACCAAACTCTCGACGGCCTCAACAGCGGACGACTGGACTTTGCAAAAGCCCTCGAGGAAAAGAATCCCATCTTGGGCTGGAATGGCATCGACGTGGCTGCCAAAATTCGCCCTACCGAAGCCGAAGTTGCCGAGCTCGGGCCGGATTTCCAACAGCTCTGGGACCGCGACTTCAAGAAGCAGACCGACAGGCCTCTGATGCTCATGGCGGCGGTGAACTACTCCTTTGACCCCGAGACGACGTCAGACGCGGGCGGCGGTCCGCGCCAGTGCATCAACATGTGTTGCTACACGGCTTATCCCTACTCTCGGGGAAACATTCACATCACCTCCAAGGACCCGGCGGCGCCTCCTTCCTTCAACACGGGGTTCTTGTCCCATCCTGCCGATTTGAAGAAGCTGCTGTGGGCGTACAAGAAGCAGCGCGAAATCTTTCGCCGCACAAACTGCTACGACGGCGAGATGGCGGTTGGACACCCGCAGTTCCGCGAGGGCAGCAAAGCCGCTCTTTCTGACAAGAAGCCCGCCGACGGATTGTTTGCCTCTCTGGAGGACAGACGCAGGCTGCCACCGATTGAGTACGATGCCGAGGATGATGCCGCAATCGAGGACTGGATCCGAGGACACATGAATACGACGTGGCATTCGTTGGGGACGTGCAAGATGGCTCCAAGGGAAAACAAGGGCGTGGTGGATGAAAACTTGAATGTCTATGGAACGGAGGGACTGAAGCTTGCTGGTAAGAAAAAATCCGTGCCAAGGCAGGGACGTGGTGCTGACTGGTTGTAGATTTGTCAATTTGTCCTGAGAATGTGGGCGCGAACACGAATAATACGGCGCTCATCGTTGGTGAGAAGGCTGCCTGGATCATTGGAAGGGAATTGGGTCTCTCAATTTCTCCGTGAATTTGAATAACCTGTCTGGTTGGTAAGTGGTTGGGCAATGGCAGTTTGTACGGAGTGATGTAACAACCAGAACACCGCAGGAATGATGATTGCGATGTGGAATGCGTGTATTACAACTTTTATCAAGACGTTATTTTCCGCGTGGATCACCGTTCCGTTGTAACTTTGTGTTCAGAAACTTGGCACGGCATCCACGCCTGCAAATCCGCCAAGTCGTTTTGTCTTGTGGCCGAGATCTCTGCTAGTCTGGCAAGTGTCATAAGCAGCGCCGTTTAATTTGAAATGAGCAGCGATTAAAAGGCGTATTCAATATCTGGAGAAGGGGACTCTCAATTAGTCAGCGACCTGCAGGACGAGATACGATGCGAAGACGATCATTTGGATAGCACCGCGACGTGCACGCTCAACCCTTGCTGTTGAGTTCTACAAAAACAGTCTTCTTCCGGGACCCTGTTTTGACGCTAGTTGAAGGCTGGCAAACAGCGTAACCCTCCCGGCCAGCACGTTTGGATGGCCCAGGTAACGTTTTGGCGGAATGAAATAGGACGGATCTGCAATACGTTTTTCCAGCATTTGGGTTGGTTTAATTAACCACTCACGCCACTTTTTCCACAACACATCCCCTTCCCAGATTGAACTGAAGATCCAAAACGGCCACAGCATGTAGAATAATCAACATCTCGTCTGGTTTCATTCCGATGGGGAACTCGCAAGTCTGGACGAATCTTGAGAGCCGATCCTTGTCCGACGGCTGTCAAGACCAGATCACGTCAAACGCAAGTCCTAGTGCAGCCTGGGATAGATCGACATCAACTGATAGAATTGGACCTCATGACGGGAAGTACCGTCAAATCATCTATGGAGGTCTTCTACCATGACTAGTTGCAAAATCTACTGCTGCTCGACTGACCGCCGCGCTGTGGCTGACCGTCCGCGGCACACCAAAGAGGACAGACAGAAACGGGTTAGATTTTGGCAGCCCATGTCTATTTCAGGCGTGGTATGCCTCTCTAGCACTTCCAAGCTGACTTGTCGCTTAACAATGGAAGGTTTCAGGCTGTACATCGTTGTCTCCGCGAACAACGAGCCTCGAACTGCGGCAATGACATGTTAGCGTGTGTTACTCATTTCCTATGCTGAAAGCTGCTTGTGGCGATGAAACTAAAAAAAGATGTTCGGCTCATTAGGATACGAAGTCACAGGTTGGAGGGGGATGCTCTGGAGAAAAGCGACTCTTTCGACTGGTGTATAAGAAGATAGGTGGCGTACACAGCGTCCCAATCTACTTCTTGACTCAAATAACGTATTTTCTTTTCTTGTTCCCAGGCTCGATCGTGAAACACACTCGTTTTGTTGACCACGACATTTATTTGACTTTTAAAAAGTCCTTACGCTATTTGCTACTTGCATTCTTTAATTGAACATTCTTCATTGCAGCCAAAACGCTTAAGGGATTGGCTACTCTACTCCTTGGAGCTTCTACCATTGTCCATGCCTGCAATGCTCCCAAGGCTAATGAAGCTACCGTCAAGTTTATTTCCACCTTTGAAGGATGGTACGACTACGTCTGTGAGTGTATACGAATGGCAAGGCTAGATAGTCAAGTCTAGTGACTCTAACATGCTGTCTCATAGACCCAGACCCTGGACCTCAGCACCTCGAGACTCTCGGAGATGGTCATCTTTGCAAGAAGTCTAACTGCGCAGAGGTTAAGTATCCCCTCCCTCCTCTGTCCAAGGCCGATGGCTTGAAGCTTCCTAGCGATGATATGTCGGTAAGTACATTCGGGTCCTGATTTCGCGCCAACCCAAGCTCACTTCCTTTGATAGGTTGCCGAAAACTGCATCTACCAAGACACAAGCGCCAAGGTCACTGTCAAGGCGAACCAGTATGGCGCTCTTGTCAGCTGGGCATTCAACGTCGGCTGCGGGAACGTCGCGTCTTCCAGGCTTATTCAACGTCTCAACGCAGGCTAGGACCCTGATACCGTTGCTGCCCAGGAACTTCCTTAGTGGAATAGAGACGGTAGAAAGGTCAAGTCCTCCCTGGGCTGACCCGTCGCAGCAACGCCGAGGTTGAGCTTTTCAAGACTCCTACCAATAATCCTGCCCTTCCTGCTTGTGTCAACCTGCCTCCTCCTGCTCACACTTCTGAGTCTGAGACCGCCACTCCTACTCACCACGCTACTTCGTCTACCCCTAAGCCTACCAAGACCAGCAGCCAAGAAAGCTCACAGACTGAGACTGTGTCTACCCACTCTCATTACACCAACCACACCACAACCAAGACTCACACTCACACTCACACTCAAACGTCCGTCCCCTCTACTCTGTCCACTATCAAGAGTACCAGCTCATGGGGCAACTCTACTGTGGCTCCTACGAGTGCTGTTAGCTGGACTACTTCAGTTGTCTACATCACCGTGATTCACACCATTACTCAGTGTGCTTCGACTGTAACAGACTGTCCTGCTCGGCCTCAGACGACTACAAAGACTATCCCTCTGTTCACGACAATCCGCCCCGTTATTGAGACTGAAGTTCCCACAAAGGTTCCCACATCGCAGTCCAGCGTTCAATCCAGCCCTCAGCCTGCCAGTAAGCATACTGGTCAACCTATCAGTTGGCCCGCTGGTCAGCCCGCCGGTCAGCCTACCGAGACAATTGCACCTGTGCCTAATGCCTCCACTGGGACGGGCTCTTTGCCCTCACATGCAGACACAAACACCTGGACTGTGCCCTCGCAGACGTGCAACGGTAACTGCACCCATGCGGCTCCTACGAACTGCCCTCCTGTCAGCTCGGGCTCCAAGGCTGGTGTCAACTTTATCGTTCTGCTGGGTGCTATCACTGCCCTGGTTTTATAGATTGAGTGACTTGTTTGTAATCCCCAGTAGAATATCAAGAAAAAACTAAAATATTCAAATAGCCTTTACCTAGTATTAATTTTATACAAGCTATTTATTTCTAGGTTTTCTCATAGCAAGACAACAGTTTCTTTCTTAGTTTCCCACATTTCTCTTTCCTCTTCATGCTGGTAGTCAGCTGCATGTGTTCCTTCTCCCCTCATCAAGCCCAGCACGAAGCAGCTCCCAACCAAGTACCCCATTAGACTCTGCGGTTGTTTTCTGAATCCTTGTAAAGAATCTCGAAGCCGAATAAGATAGGGAAGACTTGACGACTCGAAAACGAACAGTTCGTCCCCAATCCGACTCCCAGGTGGGACCAGGCACATATAACCGGTCCTGGTGAGCGCAAAGCATCGCCCTTGAGTTTGTTGTCGACACACAAAGACGAACTGTGCACAATGCTCTCGGATCTCGGATCTCAAGCTCTGAGTAAGCTCTGCTATCTCTTTCGTGAGCTGTCGTCCTTGTAGCTCTGGTTGGTCCCTCAAGATGCTCGTGTGGACAATGCCATCAAGACGTTGCGTAAGAAGGGTGAGGTTGGACCACAAATCAAATGAATGTCTCAAATCCGAGAGGTTGGGTAGAGTGTTTCTATGGTGATACTCGCGTAAGCCAGCTGCCTTTAGACGGCCTTGTCGAACGTCCCAATCTCTATAGGCGTCTGGCCGGTCGTACTCGAATCCGTCGCCCACCTTCATTTCCCAGTACGAGGCAGGCTCTCCTACCAAGGTCCTAAATATTGCACCCTGCCAGCGAGGGGGGCATTGCCGGTAGTCTCTACTGTATCTTGCCCTCTTCACATCATTTACGCTTAGAAGCGATAGCTGACTTGCAACAACACGACATATCTCGCTGAACCAAGGTCTATCGGGCTTGTCGTGGTCTATCATTTGCGTCATGGCCGAAATGCTATCCACCCGGCAGCCACCAGACACCAAGAGAGAGTTTCCCCGGACCATGTAGTTTGGAGACGCACAAGAGTAGCGCCCGCCGCCCGCGCTGAGTTCCCGCCTGAATCGAGTAAAAGAATCGATGAGACAGTCCGGGAGAGAGCTCCAGTCCGTTACCCACGATGGTAGACTTGTGACAGATCTTGGCCAGCCGACTCCAGCAAACATCAAAATCTCACTCGCGAAATCGTCATTGCCGTCCGTGTAGGCTTTGCCGAGTCTCATAGCTGCCTTGATTGTGTCGGTATAAACTTTCAGAGGCGAATGGCCATAGTCTATCTCGGAAGACTCTATGGCATTTTTTGCGACAGATGCTGAGAGTTCAGGCGATGCTATGCCAACGAGTCCGTAGACGTTGTCGAGGGGATTTGTTGCCCGACAGCCCGCGAAATCTGTCAGAAGGCTGGACACGGTTGACTTGTCGCCACCAGCAAGCTTTCTTTGATGATGGCCTATGGTGGATATCTGTCTTATTCCACGGAGAGTATTAGCAGACGCCCCCTTTTCGAATTGCAAAGCAAAACTGGAGAGCTGAACCTGGAATCGTTCATGGAGCGATTGCGGCCAGTGCTTGTCGGCGAATGCGAGCAATACATTCCAGTCAATAACATAATGACGGAAATGGATTATTGCCTTTTGTGAGGCGGCAAGTTCTTGAACAATCCAGACTCTATTCCAGTATGGGTGACTCAGGAGGTTTTCGAGATGATTTCCCAAGACTGCATTGCTTGATGTAAAGATGTTTTCGCACACGACTTGCATTTTTGCGTCGTGCTCCCATTCAGGTGGTCGTAGAATGCTTTGCATGGTTTTCGGCGGTAGAAGCCACACTCTGACACAGGCAGCGCGCTGGTATATCTTTTGCATGACCCGTATTTGCGTCTTTTTTTCGTGCAAGTCATTCTGGTTGATGCATACGGAATCTATCCACATGTATCGAGACCCAACCCACGGGACGGAGCCATGCAAAATGATGGATGCATTTTCTGTGACGCCAAGATGCGCGTCACCCAGACGGAGAAGCCTGTCGTTCGTCTGACCGTCCCATGTGTACGATACGGCATCGTACGCTGGGCAGTCTTGTAAGGGAAATTGCAACAACTGGAACTTGTGACGGCAAAATGGGCCATTGATTCTCACAAGTCGGACATGGTGTTGCGGCAACGCGGAATACTCGTACCGAGCCAACGATTTGAGCCGGGGAAATCTGATGCCGGTGGCTTGGCTGCTCAGGACATGCCAGACAGCAGGCATCCACCGTTTGGTACAGTGATATCCGAGACTTGTGACAACGCCGTGAATAACGAACCGTCCAGCGTCGTCTGTTGTGCGTCGCGCGTGAAAGAGTGAGATGCTTGCAAAATTCACCATTCCGGTCGCAATAATCGCCGCCCATACTGCCCACCCCGGAGACTTTGCCACGAGGCGCTGGGTATCAACCACGGGTAATTCGAGGAGACGACGTCGCAAGAAATTCAGATGCAGAACGAGAATAACGACAATCGAGTACGCCAGGCTTGCCGCGATTTCCATGGTGCCATGGAGCAATCTGGTGTTTCGGCTACTGTAGATGCTATTGGAAGAGTCTCGGAGCAGACTTTTCCACCAACAGCTTCACTTTGCATTATGATGCGCAGCCCACGGCCTGTTCTGGGACGTACTGTGCCATCATGACGGGGGAATGTCACCAGACTTGACACCACATGTGCAGACTCAGCCCCTCGAACCACGGAAACCAGGCGTCCACTACACTGCGTCATAAAAGCTGAAAACAAGGACCAATCACAGTCAATCGCCTTTCGACGGTGGAATTTACCCCCTTGGCTTGTACAATCAGTTTTTTTAAGTATTCTGTCTGGTTAGATTCAGCGAAGAGCTAGCCTTCACGAGACGTTGTTTCCAACCGACAGAACAAACCTCTGTTCAGACGAAAGGAAACATGCAGAGATTTACGATTGCAACGTCAGCATTATGCCATTGGAAAGAAAACACGTCTAATGGTCACATGACATTGACCTTTGTTTATGTCACGACCGGTGCTCGGACCCATGAAATTTTAGGTAACACAACATCATAATGCAGTCATTTTTTAAGTACCATGAGGGGGAAGTAGATTCTCCTGTCTTTTAAATGTACATTATACAGTTTCACATATTTCTGATACCATGTTTCCTCGCACAGATACAAGATTCGTTAATGTGTATAGAAACGGTTCATCCCATCCCTCTACCCTAATGCCACCTCACCTCGTGTAAATGGAGCATCTGCTAAAGGCGTGGAGACACTAGTGTCTAGTGGGTCTACTTGATATTGCCGATCCAAGTTGTCAAGCAATACCTTCTCTTCGCCTCAATTAAGAACAATCACGATATCAATGGGAGCAGTGTCTGGCTAGAAAGTCCGCAAGGAAGAACTGGACTTTGGTATCGCTATGATTGATAAATAACCCGGATACGGATAGTCTCAATCTTGCATAGAGGTCCTTCGCTATCGGTTTGTACGACTTTATCCGCCGTGGCCGGGGCTTGCTCTAGGGCCCCAAGGCGATATACATGAAACCGCGTCAGCTGGGCCAGTTGTAGCGGCTCGCAATGAATATTAGGGGTCTCGGGGCTGTATTACAAGATTGCTGGTATCGTCATGGTCGGCGGGTGGGTAACATGCGTAGTCCTTGAACCCCCGGCATGAACTTGATTCCAAAGATTCCAAAGTACTCGCCCCGTTCTGGTGGCTGTTCGGGGCGCCACCCCGGCAGAACCCCGACTTAGGCACTGGGTAGAGAGAAATAGTCCGGCATTTCGCGATCGGTCCAAAGATATGCCCTGCCAACCGGTAATACAAACAACCGTCGCAAACTTCGGCCATGAGTGTCTGCAATGTGCAACCACGCTAGCCAAACTACTTGACTTGTCCTTGGGGTGGAAGGAAGGCGTCAGCTTTTGCTAAATCATGGAACGTCCAGTCGTAAATTGGTGACATGGAAGCAAAGGTGCTCAAACCCCCTGGGCATAGAAGGCCGGAAGGGATTGCTATGCGATGGTGCCGAGAAAACAGCTTGCACGCACAGCATGCGCTCAATGGCTGTATACCACGTTTTCTCACCTTGGCACGGACGAATAATGCCTACTAACATGGAAGATTTTTAATTTTACACAGTCAAGGCTGAGTGTTTGTATTGCAGTTTAGTTCCGGCTAGTGAATCCATCACCGACTTAGTGTCCAGTATGGCATGAAGGGCTCCATTACACTGCCCGGCTCAGGCGTCCTAAACAGTCTAGTGTGACTATTCTAGTTGTTATGGTGAGGAATCTTGTAGCTCAGTTATTTATCTTCTACCGCGCGTACCCACAAGGCAGCAGGAGATAATTCTCCGAGTCGTGTCGAGTTGAGTGCCCCTGCACTAACGAAGCATAATAGAGCACAATTCACTCCTGCGCTCGCTCGTATTTCCCAGGGACAGAACAAGTCTGGTTTGTTTTTGACTTGGGTTAGCGTTGGCGGATGTCTGCTGAGCTTTGATGATTAGCGACAAGGATGGTCCCTGTCAAAAATCATGTTCCATATCGACGCGGAACACGGCATGAGCCTCTGTAGTGCCTTCTAGCTTACTGCAACTGTTTGCCAGTAGAAAGGCAGAAAACCGTTTGGAATCACTTGATTGTACTTTGGAATGCTCAACGAATTGACCATACGTATATAACTCCTAGTATTCACCCCGACATGTTGATAGCTTGTTTCAACATACAGTCGAGACTCAAGTCATTCTAAAGCAAACCCCCCTTTCTGCCTTTCGTTAAAATGAAGTATGCCACAAGTCTTGCCGTGCTAGTTGGACTGGCGAAGGCTGGTCCACTGCTAAGTACAGCAACTGTTAACCCGGGCAACTGGCAGCAAGTTCCGTCCAACTTGACTTGGGCCAAACACAATACATCCACATCGACCACCGCATTGTCAAGTATCGTGCCAAATAGCCCCCGACCAACCATCGGAGTCCAAGAGTTCCTCACGCTCTCGCAATCGTTCAAGTTTGAGATCCGCAGTGGACGCTGCGAAATCACCAACCTGCCCGGCAGCGCCGCTGGCTTCTTCTGGCGCGTGGTGTATGACCTAGATCTCAAGGGCAGCTTCCGCTTCGAGACATGCGAGCGAGAACAGCATGGCCGCGTCTTCACCAAGATCCAGGGCCAATACGTCCTCGGCTACGCCGTCAAGTACAGCCAGGTCACGTCAGGCGCGGAGCTGATTTGCGATAGCGGTGTCCTCAGCTACGTCAACGTCCAAAGCTCTGGTGTCGTAGTCACTGCCGTCACCGAGTCCACCGTTATTGAAAAGTACAGCAATACCATGTATGCATGTACCGAAGCCGCTCAATGTGTCCCGTCAAAGTGCGAGAATGGCTGTAAGAAAGGCGTCAAGGACGACAAGGACACCTCTCCCTCTTCCTGTGGCGGCCCCATCCCAAAGCCTGGCTCTTCAAAGCGGGCTCTTTTCTTCCTCGACAGCAACCCAGAAGGCGCCTCCATCATCGGGTTGCCGATCCTGCAAGATGGTTCTTTGGACAAGAGCAGAGCTGTGCGCACGCCAACTGGCGGACGCGGGTCTATTTCTCGGAACATGAATGGAACAGTCAGTGTCGGTAAGTCTGGCCAACATTCTCAGAAAACGGAGCTCAAAGAGCGGAAAACTAACCGACCCCAAATCCAGACCCTCTATTTTCCCAGGACTCTGTCGTGGTCAATGGAAAATACCTCTACACGGTGAATTCCGGCTCCAACACGCTGGCCCGATTTGAAATACCCGACGCGGACCCTGCCAGTCCAAAGCTCGTAGGCGAGCCCGTTCATACCGGCGGCGAATTTCCCAACTCGGTGGCCGTTTCGGACAAGAACGATATCGCTTGTGTCACGAATACCGGAAGACGAGCGGGAGTCCAGTGTTTTAAAACTCTCGACCGTCTCCAACCTTTGGGCGACTACATGCCGCTGCCCATAAACCAGACAACACCCCCCGTCGGCCCTCCGAATTCAGTTTCCGACATCGTCTTCAACCCTTCGCAGACGGCTCTGTTCGTCACCATCAAGGGCAACGGTATGGGCCCCGGCTATGTGTATGCCTACCAAGTCGTAAATGGCCGCATCAACCCGCAGCCCGTCATCTCCCGCCCGCCAGGCCTACTGCTCGATTTCTCCCTAACCTTGCTCTCCGACTCGGCCGGCGTCGTCACAGACCCGGCGTACGGTGCCTCATACATTTCCATCGCGAGAAATCTCTCCGTCGCCGTCTCTAACAAGATCACTGTACCTGGCCAGGGCGCTACCTGCTGGTCCGTCTTCGCGCCCGAGTTTGACGCCGTGTACTTGTCTGACGGCGCGTCGCCCAACATCACCGCGCTTGACCCCGTGTCCGGCAGAACCAGGTTTGTCATCACTGGGGACAGTCGATCCACTGGCTCTTTTGATTCCGCCGTGGACCGCTCGAGCCTTTATGTTCTCCAAGGCAGCGCGGCTGTCGCCGTGTTCCATCTCCAGGGGTCAAAGACCGGCGACCGTACACCTAGCCTGTCTCAGTACCTCGACCTGTCCTCCTTTGGAGCTCGATCTGGCTGGATTGGAATGGCTGTCCATTCTGGCTGAGGTGCTTGTTTGCGCTGATGTAGCTTCTTTTGAAAATCTCACGATACTATAGAGAGCTGAGTTGTGGCTGGCAGGCATTGGGGCGCCATGTTACGGAGATTGGTCTCTTGTATATCTTTCCTGTATATTCTACAATCCTTTTTATCTTGCTTTGAATGAAAGACTATCTCATAGTTTAAATATTTGGATAATATCACCGAGGGGCGATGTTATGATATGTCGCTGGTGAATATATAGCCTAATCGATATTTGTGTTACACGGAAATGGCCCAATGTCAAAGGTAACACCAGGGCTACGGTCACGGGATTAGGGCAGAAGACCCTCGCCGACTTCTTGTATTTATAGAGGCCTTTGGTCCCTCAAGGCCTTGAGGAAAACCAAGGACCTTTGCTACCAAAGACTGTTATTAGATGAATCGAGTCATTGCTCCAAGCGTAAAGCACTTGTCACGGCAAGCTGGACCTGGTAGGCCAGCAGGTAAGCGATTGGAATCGCTTTGAAGCTTGGTGGCGAAATTTCCTTCGCGTTTCAGAAATATCCTGGATTGAAGACCATTCAGTGAATGGAAGGTTGATCTATCTAGGAGCTGGCATGATTGTCATGGCAGTAAATGCTGCGAATCAATTCACAAAGGCAAGCGATAGCGTTGTTGGATTCGACATAAGCGACCAGACGTGTCTTTCAAATGGCCCCTCAACGTCTGGTCTCACGAGACTCAGCCGGCGTGGAGATACAGTCCGTCATGCACCTGGCGTCCGAATCTGCAAAGCCTCTAAACCAAAGATCGCAGTTTCAAGTATTTTCATAGGCGGACGACGACTGGATGGAGTGCTGCAATGGATTCATCCGAGCGAGATATCAGCATGTCGCAAATGAGATTTAAAACGGCAAAGAACAGACCAAGGAGCTCGAGTCGTTTGTGCAACAGGCCGTGCCTCTCTAATGGAACAGGAATGCGTAATCCCCCTTGGCACAGGAAATTGATGAACTGAACGACACTATCATTGCTCCCGGTGCAATTAGAGGCGACGGATTGTACCGAGAAACCTCCCCAGCGTCTAGCTCCCCGTGTAAGGCTGTGCTTGCTGGAGTTTTCGGAATCATCTACAGACGGGCATGCTTCAGGCAGGGGCCAGGCAACCAAGGAGAAATCAAGAAAATCAGGCCATCTAGAGATGTGTGTAGAGCTAGAAGCACCAGGTACAACCGAAAATACCAAATCCGTGGCACGCATTTACAGCCATCCCTAGAGCCGAGAAAAAAACCAAAGGAACCAGAATCCTTGTCACGTTGGATCCACCATGAACCTTGCAATCGGTCACAGCGGTCATATCGACAAGCTATTGGAAGCGTAAAGCCGTACGTGAAATCAGGACCGGAACCCTAGAAGAGGCAATTACTTCGGAACAGAGGACCAGCACAATCTTCGTAGTCTTACCCGAGTTAGGCGGGCCATTCTTGTACTACCAGTCTGACCAGGACAGCTTACGGCAGTTAAAAAACTCTGCTACAGTCTACTAATAACGTTCTATGGCCAACGTCTGCGGGCGAATCAAATACCGGCTTTCCAGGCTAGGCCTAATCCACGGTCTCTCGCGAGCACTTCGCAATGAATACCCTCGTCTCAACATGACCGTTATTGCGGTCGATGCCAAGGTCGGGTTGTCTACACGACAAATAGGCGCCCTTACTCGGCTAGTATACGCGAAGCATGTTGAGCCCAACCTCTTCATATTTGGATGTGGAATATCTTGAGGTGGGAGAGACTTTGTACATTCCCCGCCTTATTCCTGCGACCAGGGTCATGCACGAGATACATCGGAATTCGACAAAACGCACCTCGGGCGAGGTGCTGATCAGGCATACGCCACCGCTCCCACTGACTATTCAGTCCGTCAGTGTTCTCGACGGTCTCTGCTTTGAAGAAGACCAAGTGTACCGGCTGCCTCCGGAAGCAGATGAGATATAAATGCGAAATCACGCAATTGATCTGAACTTTAAAGACTACCTGACCGCGATGGGCAGAATTCCCCATGGTTTTGTGGAACAAGAAGATGCTGGTGTCGTTACTCGGCTAGAATCCGATATTTATTCCAGGAAGGAGATCGTGTCGTCATGACGGCACCGTCGACGTTCAAAACATTGGCCAAGGGCAAGGTTGCTACCCGGATTCCCAATGATGTGAGCTTTTCTCACGCGGCCGCAATACCGGCGCAGTTCGTTGCCGCATGGCAAGTGATACACCGCCTGGCTCGACTCGATGAAGGCGAGACGATTCTAATTCATACGGCAGGCAATGGCACAGTACAGGCTGCGATTCAACTTGTCAAGTCACTCGGCGCCATTGTGTACGCAACCGTGGGATTGGCTGAGAAGAAACAACTTATCATTGACGTATCTCGGGTTCCAGAAGAACACATTTTATATAGTCGGTACGCGAGCTTCGCCAAGGCCAAGCCGCGAATGGACGAGGCGTTGATGTGGTTGTCAACACGTTGGCAGGCGACGAGTTGCTCGCCTCTTTAGACTGCGTCGCGCCGCATGGTCCATTTGTCGAGATGGGCGAAAAGAAGCTCGTTTCAATCACCACCACACCCCTATCTGGCTCGGAGAAAACGTCTCGTTTATTGCAGTTGATGCGTCTGCCTGGCTCAAGGAGCGGTCTACCATCTCCCGTCGAGACTCGCACGCCATCATGGACCTGTTTGGCCAAGGAAAACTTGACTCTGCCCTACCCTTGCACTTTTCTGATATATCGGAGATTGGTCAAGTCTTGAGAGGGATTCACCGAGGGGACAGTGTAGGCAAATTGGTATTCGATATGAGACCCAAATCACAAGTTCAGGTAAGAGAGACACAGCCAGCGATAGCAAGCGATGTAGAAACTAAACCAGCACCCGGGGTCTTTGGGCTTCAACCAGCACCAAACCCAGCTTTTACATGGATCCCAACGCGACATTTGTAATTGCAGGCGGACTCGGAGGCATCGGCCATGTCACGAAACCGGTGGACGAATTGCAGTCCAAGGGGGTGCGTGTAGAGACGCCAGCTTGTGATATCAGGGACTTGGAGCGCACGAGGGAGACCTTTGGCAAGCTGATGCCAGAAATGCCATCCACCAAAGGCGCTCTACAGATGTCCATCGTGGTAAGGGTAGAAAAATACACACGTTTACCTCGTTCCATCACGGCTTGCTAACCGCCTACTCGGTAGGACTGCCTCTTTGACGACCTAGAATACGACGACTGGTCGATTGCCGTGCGCTGCAAGACGGTGCGTCTGTGGTCCGCGAGAGGCCGCTGCAACGGTACAGGGTGGACTCCCTTCTGGTCATTGAGTTTTGGAATTGGATCGTGAAGGAGTTGGACGCAGATGTGGCTGTTTTCGAAGCCTAGGGATCGTCAGCCCGGGCACGCCGAGTATGCTGGTGGCTGGACGAAGCACCATCAAGCATGAGAAATGGTTCTTGGCGGAGCAATCTGTCAGTGTATGCCATCTTGTATGTTTGACGCTATTGGTACAGCGTCTTTCTTGAATATAGATGCGTATGTTGGAAATACCGACGTGGACGCCTTTTCTGTGCCCGGTACATGAACCTACTCGCACAGATTGTACAACTGTCACCAACCTCGTGAACCGTTGAGTCTCAGCGACCACTGGAGAGACGACCACTTGTTCCTCCTCCGGTTCTTCTGTCCAGCAGGTATAATCTGCGCGACCTGCGACGTAATTGCTATCAGATCCATTGTCTCATCAAACAGAAGCACCTGCAGATCCATCCTCCCAGATAGTGATGTTGGAGAGATAATATATCACGACGGTGCTTGCTATCATGACATGGTATTACCGTCTAGTTTGGTAGTTGTTTTTGGTTGGAGTAGTTGGTGACGGGGCCGCTCTTCTATTTAAGCCTTGACGGTCCGGACTCGGGCAGTAGAGCTGTGCAAAGGCGCCGAGAAAACTGTAAAAAAAATAGTAACCTGCCTGGCTAAACACTACATCAGAACACATCATCAAGTTGCCATCACCGTCATGTTGCGGTTATATCTCGACGCATAGTGGCTGCCGGTTCATCCATAATGACGTCCTGTTTTCCCGAGGAAAGACTATCTCTAACCACCGCCATGCCCGTGACATACGATGATTTTGACCTCGAACACATGCAAACAGTGAGACCCTTTGATATTCTAATCGAGCACACCCAACAGAAATCCAAGAATGCTACTTCCAAGTTGGAGCCCACAGATAATTTGCGACAAGGGCGGGGAAAGAGGGCTTAGAGCAATTCAGTTCAATTCAACTAATAACAGTCTTTGGTATCAAAGGTCCTTGGTTTTCCTTAAGGCCTTAGTCGCCAAGGACGTCTTTAAATACAAGAAGTCGGTGAGGGACTTTGCCCTAGGTCTCGTGACCGTAGCCCTTGTGCAACCTTTTGACATTGGGCCATTTCTGTGTAGCATAATTTCTCGAGGTCATGTTGCCGTTGTGGCAGAGATGAAATCTGACTGGAGGGCATAGGGCCTGCACACTGCATTGTACTGTACGCTGACGCTTTGTCCTTGATACATCTTGGTCACATTTCGAAGCAGGCCCAAGGATGGTGATTACCCCATTACCGACGAGCTTACCGTTTACTAATGCGCAGCATGGGGAGATTGCGAAGGCTAGCCGGCCCTGTATGCCGGACAGCCCCAGCATCAGATAAATTAATTCATCTCCTTGTGCACCCGATGGTGCTCTTGAACTAGAGGATCATGTTGCTATTAATGTCCACGGCAGAAATCCACTTTTTCCTGGTAATTTGTGATATATGATGCTTTTGGAACGCTCAGTGTTGTGGTGGTGGCCGATAAGGATGACCTCAAATTCGACGCCTTTCGCTTGCTTGTGGTGACATGTACACTCCCGCAGTGTCGAGGAAAGATGTCCGACTACCTCGTTACATAAATCTTTTCGGATTAGGCTCGGACTGTTCTTACTCTCTAATCGCTGGTGCATCTTGTCAATGTGGTGCGGCTATTGTGAGTTTCTCGTTAGACATGGTCTGAACAATTGTTGCCGAGATGTTGTCGGAATACATACATGTATACATAACACAACATTTCGGCTGCTACGGTAAATCATCCGTGGGTGCTTAGACTTTTGCCCTGCAGTACAGTTGGTAAAATTCCAACAGATGAGGGCATCGTAGCCGAGGCCATGTTACTCTGCTCAAAGGTGTCTTGATGCATGATTCAGCTCAAAAAGCAGCCTGTTCCGAGGATGAGCCCGTAATCTCAACCATGTCTCGCATACATCAGTCCATGCCCCGGAACCCGCAGTTGGCATTGATTGGCCGGCAATGTAATTGCCAGAAATGAAAACTTGTTGGCTCAGGTCGACGGTGCAACCGCGATGTAATAACCCTGCACCGCAGAACCAATCAAGCTTTTCAAGATCAATTGATGACTTCTGATGCCCGTGCCTGCCTTGTCGCTGAAAAAAATGTCTCGGTCGGGCTTCTCCAGCCCACACCTCACACCTTCCGCCCCTCGAATCAAGCATCAACAAGTGCTGGTTCTGCCATCAACAACTTGTGATGATGCGAAATATCATCCCGTTTCCTATCATTCCATAATTGGTGTGAGGCTCAGTACACGCAGATCGATTTCTCGCAACAGAGGCTCGGGTCCTAGACGGGGGGCTCTCCCGATTCTCACCCAGCATGAATTGGCCGTTGTCAAACGCGACTCTCGGCTCCGCGATGAGGGTTTTCTTCGAGTCAGTGGCGGGCAAAATCGCAATTGCCATCATCATTTTGGTCATATGCCAGAGAATGATATGCAGACCAAAGAAACACAACTTGTTTCCAGTCTATGCGACCATTGAGATTGCCGTGGCAAGCTACATTCTGCGCGGAGATGGCTTGGGTCGCCGAATTTTGTGAGTAGAACACCGATGATGCTGATCATCGCCCACGACGCCTAACACGATGCAGCTCGTCTGTCAGACGGTACGGAGGCTCTCTATTCGGCATCACGTCCACCCATCAAATCCTCGTCAATCTTCCCGGGCTGGATCGTTTCATGTCGCAGTCATTCCACACCCTGACGGTCGTGCCCGTCCAGTACACCCTCCTCGCGCGAGTCTTTGGGGCCGTCGACTCACCAGACCTCGAGGTGAAGCTCGAAAAGTCCTTCAAGGATCTTCTCGCACCTGTCGAGCGGCTGTTCCTCAATGACGCCGCCGTCACCGCTGCGGTAGAAAAGGCCCGAGTAGAGGAGCGAGCAGCTTCGTTTGTGACCTTTTCCACTGATCCCGCACACATGAAGCGGTGGGAACGCGCCGCCGACATTCGAGTGATTGCGCCCGGCCCCGGGAAGCGAGCCGTGGTCGAAGCGAACCTCCAGAGCTTGGCCCGCGATTTCGGCGCCTGCATGGCAATCCCTCTCCTCTACGGCGAGGACTTCCTCAACCGGTATCAACAGCTGCTTGAAGACTTTTGGCTGTTTGACAATGGCTTCTTCCCGCTGTTGATGATAGGGGTTCCTCCCTGGGCTCCATTTAAGGCGATCAAGCAGGGGCGGGCGGCCCAAGCCCGAATTCTGCGCGAAATAGAGGCCTTGTACCGGCGAATCGACCAGTATCAGCGAGGAGAGGACGTCGACTTTGGTGCCGACATGTCCGACGTCAGCAGCGCCGCATTGGGCCGAAATAGGGTATATGCGAGAGACGGTTGGTCATTTGCAGAACGCGCCTGGGGAGACTTTGGCATGTTATGGGGGCAGAATGCAAATACGCACCCTTTGCTATTTTGGCTGCTCATCTACGTTTATTCGACGCCGGGCCTCTTGGGTCGAATCCGAGCCGAGCTGGCGCCCCATGTCTGCTTGTCCCGGGCAAACTCCCCCGAAATCATGTCGACGGACCTGGCTGCCCTCTCGCGCAACTGCCAGCTCCTGAAGGCTAGTATATTCGAGACGTATCGGCTGGTGAATGAGCCAACGTCGATTCGGTATGTTGCCAAGCCCACGACTCTCAACGATGGCGGAATCAAGCACAAGCTTCCATCTGGCATGTTTATATCCGCGCCGCTTTCGCTCATCAACCGCGACCCGTTGGTATTCGCGGACCCAGAACGTTTTGTCCCGGAGCGCTTTCTCGAAGTGGATTCAGAGTCTGGTAAATCTGTGGCGCGCTATGGCAGACTCCAGCCCTGGGGCACTGGGCCAAGTATGTGCAAGGGGCGCACGTTTGCGGAAAGGGAGATTTTGTCTTTGGGTGCAGTTATTATTAGTATTTGGGATATCTCTCCTGCAAGCGGAGTGTGGGAGTTGCCGGCTATGATACCTGGGACTGGGGTGAAGAAGCCAAAAAGGGATGTGCGTGTGTTGATTTCGAGGAGAACTGTGTGATTTGTGGGCGCCAATCTCAGAATATTACAATACGCTATACTGATTTGTTATTTTGGAGTGTAGTCTTTTGTTTTCCATGGCTTTCTTGAACTGGAATCACTGCGCAGATAAATCTATGATATCTCGCTGCATTTGGGTATGTCATATGTACGCTCCTGCTAATGGCGTTGACGACCGGGACATGGTTTGTATGCACAAGGGTGCATGCACGGAAGTCCTCATCTATTGTCTCGGCCTTGTAGCAAGGTTTTGCGGCATTAGGAGTATAGTCGAAGTATCATTGACAACACGGCCATGTAAACGTCGCTGATATGGCGCACATCATGGACTGTGTTACACGGAAATGGCGTTGGTTACACAAGGGCTACGGTCACGGGATTAGGGCAGAAGGCCCTCACCGACTTCTTGTATTTATAGAGGCTCCTTTGGTCAACGAGGCCTTGAGGAAAACCAAGGACCTTTGATACCAAAGATTGTTATTAGATGAATTGATTTATTGCTCCAAGCCTAAGCCCTTGTCGCAGACTGGGCAACACATGATGCGTTCTTCAGGAGCTCCGGGTACCTCTGTGGTCACTCTACAATCTACTTTTATAGAAATCCAAAGTTTCACACCCTTCGCCTAAGGGCTCCTGGCCATATTTATGTTGCCTGTGGTCTGCGACGACTTACGAGAGGTCTGTTTCTGTATCATGTTCCCATGATACGGGTAAATAGGGCTTGCTCTTGAACCCGGCTACAAGTCCTTTTTCTCCTCTTCGGAGGATTGGTATATCGGACGCTTCTTTTGGGAATGTTCAATATTCAACAATCGAGTTGCGCATGGCCGTCGTGCCTGGCTCTAAAGGGCCAATGCGTATTCTATCTCAGGAGCCTACAAGGCAGACGACGCCATGTTATATTTCGCAACTGATTTGTATTGGCTTTTTCAAGTCTGGAGATGAGCAAGTTTTCTTTTCGTGTCCACTAGTCCCGCTAGCTTCAGCTTTTATCGACGTTTAAGGATGAATTTGGATGCACTGCAAGATATTATGAAGCATACTCACTACATACCCGGCGGATGGCATCGACTGGCAAGTCTTGTGCGCTGCCCTCGACCAGTGAGTCTTCATAGCTGGACTGAATGAATCCCTTACCGGTAAAGAGTAGGCGGTAGTCTGGGAGCAGCAATGTCGATTCTTCGGCGGTCGCGTCAGGAGCCGAGGGTAATAAAACCCATGGCGGGATCCAGAAAGATAGCATCACGACGCGTTCTGGTGGGATGCTTCCTACCAGAGAGAAATTAAAAGTTGAGGCTGAAGAATAATTGGCCCGTAAAAGTGACATCAGAGGCGCCAGACTGTCTCCTTGATTAACCAACACACCATGAACTCCTCGCTGAGCAAAATCATGCGGCCCTCTATTATAGGAAACTGCAACACCGCTGAACCCTGAACAGTTACGTCACTGGGACCCTCGCATGAGAACCTCGGCTGTGTTCGAAACGCCGCATTGTCTCAACTTTATCGCGACCCTTAAAACTCACGCGTCTACGCGGGGCGATGGCGATTTTTCCTCCGGGCCACTTGGATCGATGATGGATCGATGATGATGCTTTGGCGGATCAGAAGGATGGGGAACAAAACTCGGCCTTGGGTGAGATTCATCGTTAGACTTTGTTTGTACTGCCACACGCTTGGCAAGGAAGGCCAATCTTCAGCTATGGTGAAGAAGCAATCAAACCGTGGCAACTCTGCATGTTCGGAACCAGACGTCTTGGAAGCATTCCATACTCGGCCTTTATTTTTTTGGGCTTCTTCTTTGCCCTCCTGGGCCTGCTAAATGGTCATCAACCCTGGCAAACACGGGCGCAGTCTGAATTCAGTAGAGAGGGTTAGGGTTAGTCGGGCCAACGCAACCGAACCGGTCAGCCTTGGACCGCCATGCAACCTACTCCATACTTTCTACTTCTTTCTTGACCCGACCGGTTCGCCGGGATACCCTTGGTTTCTGGCCCACCCGCCGGCTGAACGGTGCGGGCGGCCGGGGTTGTCATCCGTGCCAGTTCAATGCGTGTCCCATACAGCCACGATATTGGCCAACGGAAGTCCTGCTTTGCCGCCCCTTTACTGGATATAAGGGAACCGCGTCAAAGAAACATCAACGTATGGAAAATTTTGCTGCAAAGTCTTTTCAGTTGGCATTTGACGCGATGGCGGCGTTGGATGGCAATTCTCTGTTGGGCAATATCATGATGTCATGCCCGTTTCAAATGCAGATTTATGAGGGCCACATTCACCTCTGGGCGTTGATCATGATGACTTCTGCGACTCCACTGTACGTCGCGTCAAGCTGCTAGTGCATGAACATGAACATGGCAATGTCCCGAGTTGTCGCGCGTATGCCACACTGCTTCATTTGCCACTTTGCCTGGGATCCAACGAATCATGTCGGCGGAGTGAACCCCGTAAAGCCGCTCTATAATGAAAAATCCGTGCTTCAGTTATAGGTGCTTGTCAGATCTGCCGTTGAGTCTTGTATATGGACAGGTTACATCATAGGAGCCATGGCGTATTAAAATCGGCTCAAGGGAGTAAGATAAGAGGCACACTGACACCGGCACATTCAACTTGAACCCCATCCATCTCTAATATTCTCTTGCTTGTCTACGAAAGAAGAACAAGAAACACAGAGAACAACGAGTCCTCTGGCCTTTTATTTCATCCCAAGACTTGGTGTCTATTTTCTCGTCCTAGTCCTAGGTTTCTACCTTAGCCTGTGTGATCCCGCCTTGTGTTACAGAGGTTCTTCGCCTTTCAGACATCTTCAACTAAAGCGCTTCCGACTTTTCTTATTCATTTTCGGCTAGCTCGGCTCTATTTGTCTCTTGTCCTACTCACACAGTAGACATGGCGACCCCCTCTGCGGCCCAGAATTTGGGTTCAGACATCTTCTTCAATACATCTGTGCCTACCCTTAAGCTTGATGTTGAAGACTCCATTTATCACAATGATGAATCAACCAAAGGTTCAAATATGGAACAGCTTCGATGGCCTAGAATCCGAACTATCTGGCAGGATGGTTTTTCCGAGTTCTTTGGAACAATGATTCTCGTTTTATTCGGCTTGGGCGCCACCGCACAGAGCGCCCTTACCAAAGGCGCAAAGGGCGACTATCAGAGCATTCTATGGGGATGGGGGCAAGTCTTGAAAGTCCTTTACAATAGTCCTGCGACAGTTGAGCTAACAGTATGAGATGTATAGAACTGGTGTTATGCTCGGGTCATACGTCAGCGGCAAGTCTGGCGGCCATATCAACCCGGCCGTTACCCTAGCAAGCTGTGTCTATCGTGGCCACCCTTGGCGAAAATTCCCCATCTACGCCCTGGCCCAAACACTTGGTGGTATAGTGGCCGCTGCCATCGTATATGGGAACTACCGCGTTGCTATTGATGAATTCGAGGGTGGCGTTGGCGTTCGCACCGTCTCTGGCCCTAATGCTACTGCCGACCTATTTGCCACGTACCCCGCTGCTGCTTTTATATCACGTACCAGCATGTTCTTTGATGAATTCCTTGCTAGTTCAATTCTCCAGTTTATTATTTTTGCATTGTCTGATGAATTTAATAATTTTGGTGCTGGCCCCCTCAAGCCCCTGGGCCTCTTCTTTCTTGTTCACGGCATTGGTGCTGGCTTTGGCTGGCAGACTGGTTATGCGATTAACCTCGCCCGTGACTTTGGCCCTCGACTGGTCACGTACATGGCTGGTTATGGCCCTGAAGTCTTTTCAGCCGGCGGCTATTACTTCTGGGTATGTACTTTTGCTCGCCGTCTCTTGCCTTTACTGGATAAGCAGCATTCGAAACTGACACTTAAATTATAGATACCTATAGTTGCCCCCTTCTTGGGCTGTCTAAGCGGTGGTTTTCTCTATGATGTCTTTATATACACCGGTGAATCGCCAATCAACTCCCCCTATTTTGGTTTTCGTCGGTTCCTCAGGCCTCGATTTAATTGTTCGACATGTTCAGCCGCATGCAACAAGACGACTCACTCCCAGGTCTAGGGGCAGCATTCAATTTTTTTTCTTTTGTTTATACCAATGACATTGAATGCCTGCGACGAGAAATGATTAAACAGCATACACGGAACAGTTGCGCAAAAATACGGAATTGAATGAGCAGGCAGAAGGACCAGAAAACGAGGTCATCTCAGAAGAGCTTGTAATTAATCGGCGTGAGGATTATTTTGGGTTGGGTCGCGTTTCTTTTTTTTTTCTGTGTTTTTTTGGAAATATTTTTTTCTTTAAATGGGTATTTATATGAGCCTATAATTGTACTTATATGATGCTTCTTTCTTGTCAAGCTTTATTACGCCAGAACTTCCACTGGTAGCAACTACAGTAAATAATATTCAGATTTCCAATTTGAACTGTAGTCCTAGTATACCAAAAGCGCGAACTGTGACAAGGGCTCAAGAGGGCTTGGAGCAATTAGCTCAATTCATCTAATAACAGTCTTTGGTATCAAAGGTCCTTGGTTTTCCTTCCTTGGCTTTCCTCAAGGCCTCGTTGACCAAAGACCCTTTAAATACAAGGAGTCTGTGAAAGACTTTGCCCTAGGTCTCGTGACCGTAGCCCTTGTGTAACCAGCCATTTCCGTGTAACACAAGCTGCAAGAGTACAGCATGTGTGTACCGGTCTTTGGCATGCTCCTATTCTGATACGTAGAGATATTCGAGTCAATATGTGTTCTTCATAGCATCCCCATAAATCATCGAAGCCAGTCAATTTCGGACCATGCAGGATCAATAGTCACAAAGGGCCCGTACCTTGCCCATCTCCCAGTGTATGAATTCTGTGAGACACTCTTCATCCTGCACACGATCTGACCACACGTATCTGTCGGTTTTATCGTAGTTTGCATCAATGTCGGGATCATAAATCCGAGACAATTCATTGCCATAATGTCTTCGCCATTTCTTTCTCGCACAATGGAACCTTCCAGTCCCCATAGGACTTCTCCACAGACAACAACGGACCCTGTAGCTCGTTAGTTTTCAGCGAAATATGTGAGACAAAAGAGAAGCATGTGACTTACGCGCCAGATGTCGGAGTGGTAAGTCGTATGTCACGCTCCTTGCACCACTCGGCAATACTATTCTTTACATAAGGGGACGATGCAAACCCCCCAACCAGGACAATATTTTGACTGGCTGTTTCTTCCTCTGCGATATGTGATACTCAATCATTTATTAGGTCAATGATTATGTCGAGAACCGGGTCAAACAGGGACTTATAGTCCGCTTGGGAAACCAAAATTGATGATGATCGCTTCTCGTAGTATTTCTCTACTTCCGGAGTGAGGTTTAACGGAGGCATGTAGAGGAATCTGATGTGACCGTCGACGACAGCCACCCATCCACAGTCGCACTGGTACACCCTCATCAGGCTTCACGACGAACCCTTTTCGGCATTTGACAAGGGCTCGGTGAGGGCTTGGAGTCAGTAGCTCAATCATCTAATAACAGTCTTTGTCATCGAGAGTCCTTGTTTCCACAGGGCCTATATGACCAAAAAGCGATGTTTGTTTATTCAAGAAGATGTAAGAGCCTTATACGCTAGGTCTCGTGATCGTAGCCTTCGTGTTATCGTGTGTCGTCACCCGTGTTATGGCAGAAGCGAGCATCTCACACTCCCGACCCAACAGCACCTCAATAACTGTAATGACTATATCTCAAGGCAGTCCGCACGCCTCTGGCCCACAGTAACGTTCACAGTAACGTTGCGATACACTTACTCGACAACGAGGTAACCGTGGCTCGGAGAAGATGTACATTTGGATACACTCTTTCTTAAATCCCGGGTACCAAACCTGTTCTTTACTCGTTGCTCGGTATCTCTGACTCCAATCGGAATTCAAGGAAGAACGGGAAGATGGAGGGGGACCGATGAGACTACGTATCAGTTACTCGTCTCGGCTACAGCGAGGGTCCGACATGTCATTTTCCGAGGATCCGTCCCGTTATTCCTGGCTGACCAACTGCAACATGAGCTAGAAACGGGAAAGCTCTACCCTCCTTTTCCTCTTCGTGCAGACTCTATCTGGGATTCGGGCGGTATGACTACCTGACGGTACTTCTACCTAGGTATTCGGCCAAGTATGGTTAATTAGTCTTGCAGCGGGTCCAACTATTCCAAGTTAAATGGCAGAATGCGAGTAATACCAGAAGTAAACAGAGTGGTCCCCCGATCAATTCAATCTAATCGACACTCTAATCGCCGATCTCAGTCGCCGACCACTTCGATCGGTTAATCGGGTGACCACCCTGGAAGTTAGAGGGTGCCGTGCTCGCCGATGCTCCGGGGAGGTGCACATGCAGATCACGTCCTTGTTCCAGTAGACTTACAAAACTATTGTTTCTGGCCGGTTTCGTATCTGCAAGAAGTATATGAAGTATACCAGCCCGCTGTAGTCAAAGCCATATGTAATGAATTCAACCCTATCAATCTGCTGTGTGACCCTGCTAAAGAAACATTCTGCATAAAAGGCCATAAAGAGATCAAGTACCAAAGAGTTCTTCGTCTTGGAGCTCTACAGTGTCGTGCCAATAGGTAAAATATGAGACAGAAGTTCTCGTCTGTAGCCGATTGTTCGCTCGATGGACTGCATCTTATGTCGTCTTGGTGCAGCCTTTTACTTGTTTGCCGTTGGTTCTGCTGACAATGCATGGGGCCAAATGGCGGTAACCCAAATATAAAAGAAGCCCACGGAACGGCGTGATAGAGCAAGAGCAAACAAAGAAAGAAAGCACCAATATCCCACCATTAGTGAATTTCCCTTCCCTGCATACTACAATGATCCTACACCGCGTCTTCCCTATTCTTGTTGCTGCCGTAGCAATGGCACTTCCGAATCCCGGCAAGTCACCTGATGCTCCTGCTCCTGCTCTTTGCCTACATATGTACCTACTTCCTGCTGCAACAATGTGAGTTGAGGTTCTGAGACCTTATTTGTATATACTGCACTTAATCACTGATGTATCGGTAATAAAGTGGACTGGTAATTGTCCATACTGGCATGTAAGTCTTGATTTGCTGCAGCACGAATGCCAACTTCGTGATCGATATTAACCACGTATGGCATGTAGAGACAATGTGGCGATTGCAACTGCTGCTAATGGGCCAGCTGCACGAGCCAACGCATCAGCTCATACGAGATGCTATGTGACGGGAATTATCTGGAATCAAAACACTCACTTATATAAACACAACATGCCGTTGCCTAAAAGGTTGCAGAGCTATGCTGCTATCTGCGATTCACTACTTTATGACATGGCAGGGATGAGTAGAATAGTGACAAGTCTCAGTCCTGTCTGATTCAATGTTATGTGAAAGACGTGCGCAATAGATCGCGAGCGGTGGATAAAATACTGCTCCTCTGCAATCATAAGATTGCGCCACCAGCTAGCAAATAGATGTCCACGTGGCGTTTTGGTTGCGGAGCCAAACATGGACCCCTCGCTATATTTGGCTACCAAGTCCTAGCTCCGTAATCTATGGGACTATAGATGTCTGGTGTCGCATCAATTTTAATTTAATGCGGAAGCTCTTAGTCGTTCCCATGGAAAAGGCATCAGACTGCGTAGCCGGATGCCGGACCTGACCACACGCAACCGGTTTCGCTCGAACGAGAAGAATAAATAGAATGAACAATCAGGATTTAAGAAAAACCGCTATTTGTAGGTGGAAACCACTGGTAGCTCTCTAGCTGTCTTAGCACTCAGCTTTATGTACCTCCGTACACCACAAAGTAGACGCAATTTCCTTCACAGCCAATAGGCGCATTACTCGATATGAAATTAAATATGTAACCTGACGTTTGGTCGGCCATCCCCGAGGAGACGTGCTTATCAAGGTCAAGCACTTTCTTCGCTTTTTCAACAATGCTATCCCAAAAATTTCATCTAGGGCTTTGCATGAAATAGTGGAGTTAGTCTTACTTGGCTCTATCTTGCTAGAGAATTGGGGGAGAAATTACGTATTATAAAGTTTATATAAACCTGCCCTAGTCTTGGAAAGGTACGACATATTCTTCTCCCGTATTAAATTGAGACTACCCTATAACCCGTCAGGTTTGCCTGCGGGCTGCTTCGGATAGCCTCCTGATACCGAGTAACCAGCCAACTCAAAGCTGCCATGGGTCATGAACCCTTTCAAGGAAGAAAACTGGGCCCATGGCGAGTATTTTTGATCCTGCCTTGTAATAACGGACGAGTCTGTTCGAGAGGCATAGTCTCGGCTTCTCTTGCCTTTCGGAAAGCCCTATGGCGCCCGCACGAGGCGGCCGCGCGTTCACATCGAGTATGCGGCTAATTTTAGCAAATTGAAGTGGCGGCATTCCCCTGGCCATAGAGGGGGTGCCTTTCCGAGAGGGCGGATAATCCGGCACGCCACGGATTGTGAATGCCGAAGGCTGGACGTTGCAGCGATGGGATTGGGCCAGGTTGGCAGTTTGCCGCACAGCCGGTACACAAGGAAGAGAGAGAATATGGCGTATATTAGAGCATGTGCCACGTTCAAGGATTGATTCTGTCTTGGTCGCGTCATGTCGTTTCGCATAAGGCCGTCCCTGAATTCTGCCAAGCATCTTCCTGTTATACTCCGTTGATATGATCTAGCTTTTATTTCGCAAACGGCAGTCGTGAAAGATTTGCAGCTACTTTCAGGCAGACACCACATCTTCGAAACCATGGTCGCAACAGCAACGGCGATAACGAGTCAATAGCAACTGCTGGTCTTCAAAAACCCACATCTAACTACTATGAGGCGCCAAATTTTGTTATCCGTTATCGCTACGGTATTCACAACAGGCGGCAGCGCCCAGGCGACACCCTTCTCACTCGATTCTGATGGTAAGCACGAGGATAAAGTTGCATCCCGTTACACCGTCTTGGGGATTACCACACCGACGCACATATTTTTGAGCAAGAACTCACATGTGCTAACCCATGACCCCAAATAACGCATCCAAAGACGCGACCGAGTGCCTAGGCTAACCGCTCTTCCTTTAGACGCTATCAAACAGAGTGCCAGCACGCTGGCCTGGGACATGATGCAGTACTACAAGGGAAACCTCTCAGGCCAGACACTCGGCATCCTCCCCGGCCCTCCTCCTGCTGGTCCCTATTACTGGTGGGAAGCCGGTGCTATGTGGGCAACTCTTATCGACTACTGGGCTTGGACCGGTGATGCGAGTTACAACGATGAAGTGATGCAGGCGATGCTATGGCAGGTTGGCCCGAACGACGCATACATGCCCCCCAATGTTACGGCCTCCCTGGGCAATGATGATCAAGGATTCTGGGGCATGAGTGCCATGACGGCTGCAGAAATGAAATTCCCCAACCCACCATCAGATAAACCGCAATGGCTTGCCCTTGCTCAAGCCGTTTTCAATACCCAGGCCAGCCCGGACAGACATGACGGCTCATGCGGAGGCGGCCTACGCTGGCAAATCCCCTTTGCGAACAACGGCTACAACTACAAAGCGTCCATTGCCAACGGATGCTTCTTTAACCTTGGCGCCCGCTTATACCGGTACACGGGTAACACAACCTTCTCCCACTGGGCAGAAAACACATGGAACTGGATGGAAGGCGTGGGCTTTCTTGACAGCGCCACATACGCTATCTATGACGGAGCCAACGTTGGTGACAACTGTACAGACATTAACAAGGCCGAATTCTCGTACAATAATGGTATTTTTGCACTCGGCGCGGCCTACATGTACAACACTGTAAGTCCGTCGTCTATGTCCCTTGCTGTTCTTCTCCTATGCCCTGGCTCTAACACGCACCAGACCAAGGACCAAGTTTGGGCGGACAGAGTGACCAAACTTGTAAATTACGGTCTTAAAACGTTCTTTCCCGGAGGAATCGCTGTGGAAATCACCTGCGAAGACGAAGGTACCTGCACAACCGACATGATCACATACAAGGGCTTTATGCACCGCTGGTATTCCTACATTACCCAGCTGGCCCCGTTCACCGCCAACACAATTAACCCTGTCCTGAAGACGTCCGCCGCCGCCGCCGTCAAGCAATGCACCGGCGGCGCCTACGGACGACAATGCGGATTCAGGTGGGCGAGCGGCAAGTATGACGGCACAACAGGGGCCGGACAAGAGATGAGCGTCCTGGCGGCCGTTTCGTCGCAGCTTATAAACGTTGCTGGCAAGGCGCCTGTCACGGCGGACTCGGGTGGTATATCAACTGGTGACCCCAACGCCGGTTCGGGTGCGGACAATTTCCAAAACAAGACGCGACCGGTCACGACGGCGGATAGGGTAGGGGCTAGTATTGTCACTCTTCTACTTTTAGCCGGTGCTGGCGTCGTGTTTGGATCGATGGTCATGAAGGAGTAATATCGGTAGATAGATCGCAAGCTCAACGGCGCAAGTACGTAGGCGCAAGCCACCATGTGCCGTTCCTCACGCATCGCCGCCTCCAAGGTCCTACAGCAAGACGGCGCGGCAAGGCGAGAACCTTGATACTGGACAAGGACAAACTGCTCCGAGGGTTGAAGAAGGGCACGCTGTCGTGGCCCGAAATTTTTCAGCAGTTTGATTCAGTCTCTCCGAATCGGCGCACTGTAGGGAGCCTCCAAGGACATTCGTTAGTCCACAACGACTATTGCCTGTTGTGGACGATAAGAAGGGGTCAATATTCCCAGGTAAAGGCATACCCAAAGCTCGTAGAAGGTATATTAAACAGTTGGAATTACGTGGTTTTCTGCCCCAAGCGATAAAGGATTTTAGAGGGCCATGTTTCTAGACGAAGGAAAAGTTGGCGTGATCCTGGGTGGGAGGGAGAGGGAGCGAAGAGGAGCAATTTATACTTCACTTATGTTGACATGTTTATATATGAGATCCGCAATCTCATGACAGGTCATGCCTACTGTGATCTCATCTAGCCGACCAGGGTAGTGACCGCCAACAATAGTAGCTGAAAAGAAACGTGATAGTCCTTGCATTGACCCAAGGCTCATTAGTTGGTAGTGCAGCTCAGTATATTTAGAAAAATTTATGCATAAATTGTAATAGTCCAAGACTTTGTAACTCTTCTAAACTTCTTTTTTCTAGAGGCCTTTAAAGAATTCTCGCACGTCCGATACCCAATATTCAGGTAGAGTCCTGGCAGGAAAGTGACCACCCCTCTTATGAGTCTTGAAGTAAGTGACGTTGCACAAACGTTCTATCCAGTTTCGAGGCTAGAATATTTTGTCAGCATCATATTACTCCCCAAAGTCGACATGATACGTACCGTGAAAGGAAAATTTGCGATACCTGGAAACGGTCCATGACCCCATCCCCACTGACTAACGCCACTGGGTACATTCGTTTTTGGGAAGTCTACTATATCAGGCTGCAACCATGTTAGTGTAAAGAATGCAACAAGTAATTTGAGAAGGTGGTTTCTGCACATACTCGAAAGATTTGTCGATACGACCTAATGTTGCCATACGGGCCGGGGAGCCACAGCATCAAGGCATCCGTAATCAACTCATCCATACTATGTGGGATTCCGTCGCTAATAGCATAGCTCAAGTCCCAGTACCATCCTAAAAATCCCACCGGGCTATCCGCCAGGGCCAAGGACATGGCAATTGGCTTCTGACTATGAACCATGGAATACGCGTTGTGAAAGTCGTCCCAGACATGCAGGGATTCAACAACGGCTGTTTCTTCTGCGGTCGTCTGATTGGCCTGGAAGCGTTCCATATCAGTAGAGTTTGGGTTCGGGTACCAGAAGTCGAAAAGATGGCCGATTATAGAGTCGGCAACGTCATGTACCATCCACATTCCGATAAACCAGCCCGTATCTGTCGTAGCAAGGCCGTAGGTCGAGTAGCCGAGCTGCTTCATCAAGGCATCTACCGCTCTTCCAATTTCCCGTGTTCCTAGACCATCTTGCGTTGCTGCCGGGCTGAATCCAAAACCCGGCAAGTCGGGGGCCACAACGTGAAACGGCAGCTCCGAAGATTCTGCAAGGGGACGAATTACCTTGGACCATTCCAGTGATGTTGACGGCCATCCATGCAGCAGGAGCAACGGTATAGCACTATCATTTTCCGATTCGTGGTGCAGAAAGTGCAGAGGAATGTCCGAAGTGTAGTTGCCGGAGCCAGGCACCTTGGTAATATAGTGCTTGTAGTCGCGGTTTATTTGCTCCTGAGTATCTTCCCAGGAGTATTCATCCGCCCAGTACTTTGCGACACTGGTGATGTTGTCCTTGCTCGGCCCTTCTACTGTCCAGTCATCAAAGAGACCGGTGACTGGCCGATAATCTCGCACTCTCTGGAGGGTTTTGCGAACGATGCGAGGGTCCACGGAGATGTTTACCCCTTGTGGCGCGTACCCGATATCATGGAAATTGAATCCAAAATGAAAATCATTGTAAGCGTTCACATGGCTACTAAAGGCCAGCGCCAGAGCTATGTGGTGTAGCATTGCGGAGAGGCCCAAGCCCATTCTAGAAGGATGCATTCTGTGATTTGGTGCGCTGTATTATTTCCACGACCATATATGATACAAGATTATCTGTATATATACTTTTTCAGAATCATCTTGTAACAATCACGATGCACAATGGCCCAGCCAAATTTTGGCTGACAAACCCACATCGCCGTGGAAAAATTTAGTATTAGAGCCAAGCATTGCCGTTCCACGGTGCAGAGGAAGAGAATAAAGAAATTTAGACGACTGCAGGGATTTAGCTGGCACAACTGTTGGTTTGCCTGCATTCGACCACTTATTACTAATCTTACCTAATGCTTAGAGAATCTTCTGTAGGAAGAGGTCTTATGGACGATCTTGCTTGTTATAGGTTAGGGGAATTTTATATGTTGCTTGCCCTTGGCGAGCCTGGGGCTTCACCATATCCTCTCTATAACTACATATGTAGGAATTTATATGACAACGAACAACTACTACCATCAATTCACGCCAGATTGCGCTGATAAGTCATTTTCGTCACTTAGCGCTTAGCGGCCAGTGATTAATATCAATGTAAATGGTGTTCCAGTAATGGATCAATGCGGAGGGATTTTTCCCTAGCTGCATAAAGCGCCAAGACGACTTGAACTCTATTCAAATGCCGACGTCTGAAGCTTTCGATTACGGAGCGAACACGTGCAGTCGCCGATATGCCGAGATAGGTGCTTAGTAACAGCGCAAGTATGCATCGACAGGCCGGAAATCGACTTCCGAGCATGAAGAAACATCACCAACAACGCCATGGCGGTAACTACGCCGGGGCGAGAAACGGTCTTGGCATTCCCGTGGGGAGGATGTAAGGCAAGTAGAAGGCAATGGAATGAACATAGCTATTCGTCTTAGTCAGTCGGCGACGCTGTGACGAGGAGCCGTGTCCAACACAATATCAAGGACCAGGGTAAAACAAGACAACTCGACTGCTCCATCTTGAAGTCGTGATTCCGTGTGATAATACTTTCTTTGTTGTTGTGTGACCGTTGTTGACCCAACACCTTTGTTGTGGCCTAACCGTGTGACAGTCAAATACATCTTAGTAATAAGACGAGCCGATATCACAAAACCAATGTCTACTCTGATAGAATTCCTTGTCAACCTATCAGATTAGGATATTTACCTAGGGCTCATGCGGTCAGCCCATCCTGCGACCGACGCAGCAGCTGGTGAGCTGGGTCGTAGCATATAATAGAGCTATAGCTTGGAAAGAATACCTTTCTATTCAGATTGCAATATAGGGAAAACCTAAGTACATTCAGGGGAAAACTTATATCGAGGCAATAGAGCTACTCCTGGTGATGTTGCTGTAATTCCATGGGATTCTAGGAAGAAAAGCTAGTTTTTATCTTGGCCTGTACATCAAATCCTATTCTTTTCTCTAGATTTCTAATATTATAAACAACTCGCGGGGCAGGATTAAAGGTGAACCTTGCAAACTCAGCGCAGTAGTCATTCACGGTATCAGGCCCAGTGCTGATGCAGCCTGCCTAGCAGTATTGGATAGCCGCGACTCTGTTGTTTACTCGGCACGCGAAGAGAAGATTCTCTACATCTGCTAGTCCTTGAGGCGGAACGTTGGGATTTAATTTAGCAATATCCTCAAGTTCCTTCTTCGTCCACCCTGTTCTGTTTAGCTTCCAGTTGGTACGTATATAACTGATGTCAGTAGTTACCATCTGGGAGTGGTCCGCGCCCGCAACAATGCTCGCCAGGACGACAGTGCTTTTGTGCTAGTCCACTCTGAGCAAGGGCAAGGAGTACCGCCAGAAACTGAGTCAAGACTAATACTCTTTAGTGCGTCAATAATTCGACCCTGAAGTTCGTTGCCGTAAATGTCTTTGCGTTGGGGCCCGCCAATAACTTCCTCAAGGCTAGTAATGGCGTCGTCAAACCATTTCACGGCGTGTCCGATGGGATTATCCCACTGCTTGAGCAAGTTGAGCAAGTCGCGAGCGTAGGGCACCACGGCCATGAATGCTACAGATTTGCCAACTGACTTGGCCACGCGGAAGCGGCTGGACTTGCTGACCTTTGGTCCTGACCTGCCGTTTTCACCCTTGGCTGGGTCACAAAGAGCTGGTTTACTCTTCAAGCCCAAGCATCCTGGAGACTTCTTCAAGACGTAATTCTCATTCTTAATCGTCACAGATCTGTCCGACGGGTTTCGTTTAGGTACCTCATAGGCGTGTACGATACTCGAGCCTGTAACGGCACCCTGTACAGCAAATTCCTGGTTGTTGATGACTACACGGTCCGATGGGTATATTCCCGGAACCCAGTATCCTCTCGGTACGTCTTTAGGAGCTATAACATAGATGTAGCCTTTATGTTTCTGTGCTCCAGTCCACCCAAAGGCGTATCGTTCCGCTGATTGAGGCGACCGGGTGACCGAGGTAAATGCCGAGTTACCAGTAAAGCTCAGGTGATGCTGCAGGTTCGTGTCCCCTCCCTGTGGCGTGAATCCCGACTTGAATACTTCAGCAGGTGGTCGAGAATCTCCATGGTAGAGTACCCCTTGTTTGCCACCTGACACCTTTATTTGGGAAGCTCCATCTGCCGACATGGTGGAGGGGCTTGTGGGAGCCTGACGCTTAAGAATGTCTCCCCGTAAAACCAAGTCACGCCTTTTCACTGCATCGTAGTTGTCTGGAATGATGCCAAGAGCGGTCTTGTTCGATAACGCGGGATCGATGTCAAAACCGCCAGAGTTCCTGACGCGATTAGACTGAGAGGGAAGTAGATTCGTGTGCTCAGGGGCCGCGAGGGAACTTAGTGCAAAGACTGCAAGCCACTGGTGTGCCTTCATACTGGATCAACTTGTTGTAATCGCGGAGTTATGCAAAATACCCGCTGCTCGCGAAGAGTTCAGGCTCGGGGAAGGAGTCCGATTCGACAATCATAAAAATTCCTTGGAGAAACCCCATTATGTCAAAGATGCCGAAACCGAAGCAGGCCAGCCATCCCGCATCCACCGGCCAAGACCTGACAATTTCTGCATCTACTTAGTCGACAACACCACGAACACCCTCCTTACTTCGGGCGAATACAGGCCTCCACACATACTCCCTACGAGAACGCTTCGTTTGGGGCTTAGGCCGATGGACTTGTGGGATGAAATGGTTGGATCCAGAACAACCCCCACGGGCGAGACCGAAAGGCTCAGATACAACGCAGAGCGGCTTGTGTGCTCCGCCATTGTTCAGCAGTACCACGTGATGATACAGGAGGGCCTGGGGGTCTCATATTTGACGAATGGCTTTTGCGACATTCAGCTCTGGATCCCTCACGATGATCCCAGCACTTTACACTACTATCTGTACGACCCAAACCGGGAAGTAGACGCAGAAGATTGCACTTTGCTGGAACCGAAGACAGCCATTGCCAGAAGGCTATGCCTCTATCTATTGAGCTGTGGCCATTCCATACGCAGTCAACAGTGGCGAGCCGCCGCACGAGACCAGCTCCGTATTTGGCAGACGAGCTTTGACCACGTGCGTTCTCAGATCCCTAAAGCTGAGCTGGGTAACCCTTTTCTTCACTCTGACAGTTCCGATCCCGACCATGAGAGCCCAGATTGCAGTTCAGAATATCAGCCATCCTCGTCTCCACCAATAGAATCGCCGACTGCGGAAGGTCGACGGGTGCCAACGACATCCAAGGCTTGTCGTGCGTCACAGGAAGCTCAGCAGCGTGCAGAATCGCCGGATTCATCAGGATCAGACACGGGTCCGGCAGTGGCACAGCGCAAGCGTGGCATTAGTCAAGTCTCTCCCCTTGCACAACCACCATCACGTACACGAAGTTTTCAGGGTGATAGAGGAAATTCTCCAAGACAACACGACGCCAAGTTTTGTACGCTGCATTGTTTGCTTGGTCTGCAACGTCGAGGGGTTCTTGATGATAAATGTCCAAATGTAAGACTTCATCAACAAGACGAAAAGAACAAAAAACACCCCATCACCGCGGAGCAGTTGGTGTGCTCACTGAAGGAGCAACTGAACCAGAATCTCGATCAAAATTGCACGCCGTTTGGGCGTAGCGGGCGATCTGGCGCACCGTTCAAGCTAACATGTGCTACTTTCGGCTATACTGTAGTCGGGAAAGGAACGACGACAGATTGGTGGCCAGAAGTTGCCGGTGAGGTAGATGCCTACCGGTTATTACAAAAAGCCCAAGCATCTGCGGTCCCCGTCTTCCTTGGGACAATGGATCTATCAACGGCGTACTTTCTTCACGGGGCGGGAGAGATCCGTCATATGTTAGTCATGGGTTGGGGAGGCGAGAGCCCGGAAGAGATTGGTGCGGGATCGGAGCTTTCGAGAGAACTAGACCGGTCAGTAAGGGAAATTCGCCGGCTAGGCGTCATTCATGGGGACCTTCGACGCGAAAATATCCTGTGGAACACTGAGGTCCGTCGGATCTTGATTATTGACTTCCACGAGTCCAAATTAGTTCCCCGGCGCACAATACAACAAATACGACGGGCGAAGAGACCATTTGGCGGATCGGCAGACGGCATCGAGACACGAAAACCAAAGCGGCTGCGAGTTTTGTGATTGTCTTGACGCGATGTAGCCGATGCAGAGCTCTGCAATCAATGTGACAGCGTTAACGAAGTTGATGTTGCTGTTGAAATATGGAGGTTAATGTCACACATGTGAGGGTTTGTTACACGGAAATCGCCCTGTTACACAAGGGCTATGGTCACGGGATTAGGGCAGAAGGTCCTCACTGACTTCTTGTATAAATAGATATCTTCGGTCCCTTAAGGCCTTGAGGAAAACCAAGGATCTTTGATACCAAAGACTGTTATTAGATGAATTGAGTAATTGCTCTAAGCTAGGCCCTTGTCACAGTGGCTTAATCGAGCCAGTGTATAAGGAGAGATATCTGTGAAGACGTCAGAAAGTTGCCCAAAAAGGTCGATGCTATACTGCCGGGCAAACACACCCGACGACTGTATGATAACTTGTCGAGGGAAGAGGCCAGGGTGCTGGCGCAACTCAGAACGGGTATTGTAAGGTTAAATGTATACCCCTATTATCTCAAAGCAGCGCCATTACAGCAATGTGCATGCGGGCAAGCGGTAGAAACAGTTAAGCATTTTCTGTTTTGCTGCAGTCAATAGACAGCACACCGACACGAAATGATAAGATACACCAAGACGCAAAGAGGAGACGTCTTGTTTTATGTAGGTGGGAAATCGCCGTCAGACAACGCAGAATAGATGCCAAATATGGAAGTTGTCAGAGCAACTATACCAGTGATTTGCTAGGGCAACAAGGCGACTTAACAGTACACAGCAGTGAAGACAGATTAAAACCCACGCCTTTACTTCTCACTAACTTACACCACGCACACGTGCTGCAGACAGTGGGTACCGCTTCAGCCGCTGTAGAGAGGACTCTGAACAATTGAAGAATAGCCTTCGAGTTCGCTTGCCAGAATAATAAAACCCCGCGATCACACGTAAAGCGGTGAAAGTTTACTGACATAAAGGTAAAGATTGAACATTGTACGGGCTAAATACGTCAGAGCTTGGGAAATAAAAATGTTAAATAGCAGATAGTGGCGTTATTGGCCACATGGCTACCAGGCGTAATCAATCTACTACTACTACTACTACTTTATACATGCAATATATTGCCAATATGAATCGCTTGATATTGTATTTTCTCAATATAGCAAACTGTATTTTGTATTGTCACAATATCAGAAAATGCGTATTATATAGTATCGCGATTGACAGCTACGGACTGGATTGAAGCGTGGAATTATCCTTGTATTTAAAGCTATCTAGGGAGGGAAAATAAGCTCTTTTTATAAATATTAACTATTATTTAGCTAATTACTTAAGAAGTTAGTAATTAAGGGATTTTTAGCTATTAAAAGTCTAGCTTTAATAGGGTAATAATATAAGCTTTTTAGAGGCTTTTAAAAGCTTTATTTTAATAATTATATTAAGGCTTTTAAGGCTTTTTTAATAATATTAATAAATAGCTTTTTTTTATTAAAAAAAGGCTTTTAATATTAATATACTTTTATAACTTATTTTAAGAAATTATTAAGGTTTAATAACCTTTAAATTAAGCTAAAAATTATTAAACTTTAATTTTTAAGATAAGCTAGATTTTAATTATTTTAGTTTTTTTTAATAATACTAATAATATTAATTAATTTTAATTACTTAATAAAGTAATTAAATTATTAGCTTATAAGAATTTTAATTAATTTATTTATTAGATTATTATTACTTTAAATAAATTTTATATTAAAGGTCTTTTATTAATAAGCTTATTAAATCTAGTTATTATAAATATTAATATAATAAAAAATAATTTTAAGCCTTAAAAAACTATTATTAATAAACTAGATTATTTATAAATTATTATATTATATTATAGGTTTTTTTTAACTTAATTAAAAGCCTAGTTATTAAAAAAGCTTATAAATTATAATAATTTCTTTTATAATATATATAAAAGCTAGTAATTTAGCTTTTAATTTTTTAATATATAAATCCTAATATAATTAAAGCTTTTTAGTAAGCTTATTTTAAAAAACCTAGATACTTAGGAACTAATATAGCCAGCTAAAATCCTTTATATTATTGTAACGGCTAAGGTTCCCAAGGGATAAACTAGTCGTAGTTTATGTTGGCAGAGCCACTAGGGCAGTTAATCTGAGCAGTTGGGTGTTACGTTGGTAATAGGTTGTAGACTATAACCAGGTGATCAGAGTTAAAGAGTTGTAAGCGAAGCTTATTTAATGTAATGATCGGTGTTGAAAGCTAAGGAGCTAGAGTCTATCTATGAAGCGAATTTGGGGGTCCCTATATACTACGGCGTTCACCTGTTATTTACTAAAGTCCTGGTGAACTATAGTTACATGCGTGCTATTAGTTCGTCTAGAGTTCACTGAACAGTTAGTGAACTCTCCCCTATTAGCGGCCCGTTCCGACTATTAATCTGTCACCCGCTATGCCTGCGCCGTCCCGTGGCTTATATAGCCGGCCTAACCTGCGACCTACGCTGCAGCTTATGACTGGGTTGTAACACGATGTCCCCTCTCCTATGGTCTTGCCCTCAAGACCCAAGCCTTGTTTTATAAATAGTCCTGTTCGCCCTTTCTTCTGTTGGTTGTAAGTGTTCTGCTTCCTCATAATATCCTTCCTTCACTATGTCTAACCGTGTGGATAAACCTAAGAGATCCCGTTCTACCACTAATCGCGTTGCGACCGCCGCCTTTATTCGTGAATAGGGTTTCGAGGTATTACCTTGTAGTTGTTGTTTTGAAAAGAAGAGTTCTTGTTAGGTTGTTAAGAGCATTGGTTGTTGTGCTCTTTGTTATTCTCTGGGTCGTTCTTGTGATAGTTCTCGCACTCCCATGGCGAACCGTATGTGCGGGGTTTTCCTGCTGTAGTATGTACTGCTAATGTGTTCTAGTAAACCGTATTACCGAGGAACTTCGTCGGCTTGAGAAGGAGGAGGAATTGACGGAGGAACTATTAATCGAGAGGCATTGTAAGGCTCAGCTGGAAATAGATGAGGCCTTAAATCGTTTGATGCGTCTTCGGCGCATGTGTTGTCATTTGCGTAAGAAGGGTCTGGAAATAGCTCGTTGTGACTTCGCTTCTCTGGAGGAGATAGAGGATACGGATCAAAAGAAGGAGGAGGAGAAGGCTCGGAAGCGTGAATTAGAGCAGGTTTAACAGCAAGAGTCTGAGGCTGTTTGAGATGCTTAAGACTAGGGTGCCTTTAATGTTTTAGACTAGGGCGCTTTACTTAGCGCTAAGTCGTAAGCTACTAGTAATACTGCCGTAGCAGGTGCTAGCAATTCTTTAGGTGTTCTATAGGTTCCTATGTGTTTTCCTCGTCTCTATAGTTTTTCTATTTAATGAGATATTAGCGTGTTTTGTTTTTTGTTCTCATGTCTAGGATCTGTTCTACTTCGTATTTTGTTTTGTTTATGACTTCGATGTCTTTTTCTGCTGGTGCGTTGCTTAGTGCCTTTTTAAGGAGTAAAATGTGTATTATAGGATGATTTCTCATAGTCTTTGGTAATAAAAGTTCATAGTTGTTTGTCGATATTCGTTTTTTGATGGCGAATGGTCCTAATTTTTTGTAATCTAATTTGTCGCTTGGTCGCGTTGTTTTAATGTTTCGTCGGAGTAGGTAGACCATATCTCCCTCCCTAAAGATTGGTCCCTTTAATCTTTTCTGATTATGGTATTGTGCCATTCTTTTTCGTATAAATTCTAGTTCGTGTCGCATTTCTTCGTGTAATTTTTTTAGTTCATCTGCTTGTAGCATTGCTTGTTCTGCTTGCGGTCCTTCACGCTGTATTTGAAATACTTCAGGATTAAATCCGTAATTGGCGTAGGCTGGTGTTTGCTTTATTGATTCCGATATCGAGCTATTGTAAGCCAATTGCGCTGTAGGTAACCATTTAACCTAATTGTCCTGTTGATGGTTGATGTAGCATCGCAGATACTGTTTAAGCGTCTGGTTTAATCTTTCTGTCTGTCCATCTGTCTGTGGATGATATATAGTGCTTAACTTGTGATTTGTTCTAAGTTATGCCATAAGTGCTTACTAAAACTTAGAAGTAAATATACTTCCTTTGTCTGATATAATTTCTTCTGGCAGTCCATGGTTGCTTGCTATTATTTGTAAGAATATATATGTAAGTTCTTCTGCATTGCTTGCTTCTTTGTACAGTAGAAAGTATCCATACTTTGTGAGTCTATCCGTGACCACGAATATGCTGTTATATTCCATATTGGTTATCGGTTCTTTTGACATTAGTAGCTTCGTAATATGATCGAAAGCTATTGATTCCTATGGTTGTGTTGGTACTGGTAATGGTTGTAATTCTCTATATAGCTTATATCGTGAAGCCTTACTTTTTCCGTATTGTATGCATTTGTTAACAACCTTTTTAACCACTTTCTTGATTCCTAAGAAATCGTATTGTCGTCGTATCTTATCCAGTGTTTTGCGGATTCCTTAATATCCGTAAACTGGGTGTTCATGCATTTCTTTGATGTATTCTTCTTATAAGTCTGGTGGTATCCAGATTTTTTCTCTATATATTAGTACTCCTCCTGGGTAGCATGTGCATCCTATTGGTACGTCTCTAATATATTAGATATTGTCTGTTGCCTATTGGTGTATTTTGCTGTATACTGGGTCTTCTTTTTGTACTTTCAATATGGCATTTAGTTATCTCTGCTAGAAATTGCTATTTTTATTGATCTTAAGGAGTTGTCCTATTACTGTAGGTACTCCTATATTGTAGTTGCTTCTTCGACTTAGAGCGTCTGCTCGTCTGTTCTCGGATCCTTTTTAATGGATGATTTTGTAGTTGAATTCTGAAAGATATTTGGCCTATCGAATTTGTTGTCCATTTAATTGTTGCGTCATCGTAAAATAAGAGATGTTCTTATAATTGGTATACACCTTAACTTTATGTTTACTTCCCATGAGATAGTGTCTAAATTCCTTGAAAGTATTGATAATTACTAGGAATTCTTTATCGTAGATGGGGTAATTGAGTTCTGCTCTATGAAGTTTCTTCGAGTAGAACGTAATAGGGTGTAGTTTTCCGTTATTATCTCTTTGTTTAACTTGTGCTCCTAGAGCAAAGTCTGATGAGTTAGTTTCTAATTCCGTTTCCTTTTCTGGGTTGAAGGTTCTTAAAACAGGTTTGGATGTGATGAGTTCTTTGATCTTGTTAAAGGCACATTACGCCTTATCGTTCTAGTCCCACTGCTTATCCTTTTTGGTGAGTTCATCTAAGGGTGCTGCGATTTCGCCGTAGCTCTTGATGAATCTCCTGTAATAGTTCGCAAAGCCTTTAAAGCTTTGTATGTCCTTAATATTTTTCGGTGTTGGCCAGTTCCTTACTGCCTTAATCTTTGTTTTTTCTATTTGTATCTTGTTTGGTTGTATTGTATGTCCTAGGAAGTTTACTTCCTGTGTATAGAACTTATATTTTGCTGGTTTAAGTAATAGTTTAGCGTCTTGTAGTGTTCTTAGTACTATGTGTACGTGTTCCTTGTGGTCTTCTAGGGTTTTTAAGAAGATTAGTATATTATCAAGATATACTACCACGAAGTTATCCAAATATTCTCGTAGTACACTGTTAATTATTCTCTGGAATATTGCTGGTGTATTGGTGAGCCCTATTGGCATTACCAAATATTCGAATAGTCCGAACTTCGTTCTGAAGGCTGTTATCCATTTGTGACCCTTTTTTATTCAAATCAAGTTGTATACTCCTTTTAGGTCTACCGCGGTGAACCAATTTATACCGTGCAATCGGTCCTGTAGTTCCGATATTAGTGGCAACGGTGTTCTGTCTTTTATGGTAATCGCGTTCAATCGCCGATAATCCACTACTAACCGCAATTTTCCGTTTTTCTTTGGAACAAACATAACTGGGTATCTAGCTTCTGATGTCGATGCTCTGATATAGCCTTTTACTAGTATCTCGTCGATGTATTCTTGTAACGTTTCGAGTTCTTTTGCGTTTAAGTTATAGATCTTGTGGAATATTGTTAACTTTTTATCTGCTAATTTGATTTTATAATCCTATTGACTATGTTCGGGTAATCCGGTTTCTAATTCTTCTGCGAATAATTTTTCGTATTTCTGGTATTCCTTAGGGATATTCTTAAGTCTTTCTTCTTTTGTTATTAGGCTTTTATTGTCTTTATCGTTCTTGTTCCTCTTTTCTCCTTCGAGTTTCTTGTTTATGTTCGCGAGGTCTTTCCTTAAGGTGGCAATAACCTTTTGGATCTTAGCTTTTATCTTCTTGTTGCTTATTGTTGTTTGTATCCCGGTTTGTAGCGCCGTTAAGGTTATTACGGTGGATCTAATTGTTTTGACTGCTTTTTTGCCGCTTATTTATTATTGTTGGTCTTTGGATAACTTGCTTAAAGGTTTTTTTTCTTCAGAACTTTGTTCATAAGCTAAGTTATGACGAAATTTTGTTCTTTCTTCTGAATTCTGCTGATTCTATTGGCCTGAAGTCTTGTTCCACTTTAGTTGGCCTGTTCTCTAGTTGATTAGTGGGTTACTCTCCCATAACCATGGGTACCTTAACACTAGGTCGTGTTCCGATACGTCTATAATATCAAGTTGAATCACTTCTAAATGACCTTGAATTTGTACTTTAAGATAATTAGTCTCTTGGTTAATAATTCCGTTATTATAGGCAAAAAGTTTTCCTTTGATATTAGTTAACTCGTATGGTGCCTTTTTGTGTTTCCATGGTAGTTAGTAACAATTCACAACTCTGGGTGAGATATAATTGCCTATCGCGCTACTGTCCACAAGTATGCGAACGCGATGTCCTATGACTTCGGCGTCTAATACTATCTTATCGCTTTGTCCGCTTTTGGTTGCGTTGAGGGTTATTAGCGTCTTTTTTTTTATGCCAGCTTGTAGCCCTTTTATAGATGGCGTGCCTTGTTTTTTGAGTTTTTTGGAATAAATTCTTCTGCGATTTGTCGTTTTATTTCTTGGTATTATTCTGTAGGTCTAGTTCCATTTTGTGGGTGCTTAAAGCAAAACCCATCGTTAAACATTTGACATAAGCGATTATAAATTTGGTTTTTTATTTCTCCGTGTTTTTTGCATCTTAGGTTGTCGCAGTTTACCGTATATTTCCTGTTATATCTGGGGTTGAACTTCCGTTTGTTGTACTACTTATCTAGATTTTGTTTATTGTAGTATATTGATTCTATGGTTCCCCTGGGGTCTTTCTGTTCGAGTATGTCTAATGCTCGTTGTGTCCGTTTGTATGCTGCTGGTGTTCTATATTACCACTTATGCTATTCTCTGGCCTTATCTACCATATGTTCTAAGCAATTTGGTAGTGGGCATTCCATGTGGTCTTTTGTTTCACATTAAGGTGATTTGAGTAGTAGCTCTCTTCGGTGCGTTGGGATTTTTCCCTTATATACATACTAATACCACTGCCTGTTCTTTGTATATATATGTAACTGGCATGTGTCTAATTTATATACGTTTGTAGGATCTGTATAAGCTTGGCATTTAATGGGTGTGTTTGAATCGGGTTCTAAGATCATTGTTTGATTGTTATTAATTATCTTTACTCTTTATTCTAGGAGTTCTTATCTGAAGTATGGTGCTTTGATTGGATATCCTTTTATCCTGATCGGAAATGTATCTAGTTGTGCCTTGGTTTGAAAGTGTGCCTGGCACATTGTAAACGCGTATGATGCCCATGCTAAACGTGTGTGTTTCGCGTGTCTTAGTGAGAGTCTAGGATCGTCTTCCTTCTCTCCTTCCAGAAACTATAGTGTCTGGTTTTCTATTACCGTGGTGGTATCTACTGCTAGAATAGGAATTGCGAAATGTTTTCCTGTTGGTGCGGGGAAATATCGCTGTACAGCTTGTTCTTATGTGGCTGTTAGCCTTATAGGCGTTTCTTCCTCGTTTTGTTCGTTTTCAGACGCTTCTGGAGTATCTAGGATTGCGTTGTTGTTATTGACGCTTATTTCCCTTACTCTATCTTTCAGTTCGTTGAAGGTGGTGAGGATTTGTGCGTCTTGCTCCTTCTTATATTATTGTTCCCTTCGAATCTTCCTTGCTTCTGCTTGTTGTCGCACCCAATCGAGAATTTCTTGGTGCGAGTCTTCGTCCAAATATTCTGGCGATTTTGGTTCATGGAGTTCCTTTCGTCCCGTTATTGCAAGCGTTCTCTTTTCCATTGATTGTTCGTCCAGGTCTTCTTGTACCAGTTGTTGGGCTACTTGCAGTCTGTTTCCCATGAAGTTTATAATTTTCTTCTTTGGTTTTCTTGGTTCTTTTGGAAACCATCCTCTTTCTTGTTTGCTGCTCATGTGAACGTAGCAGTTGTCGTTATAGCAGAAGGTCCAGTTGAGGTTCTTATGTTCCACCTCTGATTCGGTAACTTCGATTTTCTGTTGGTTAGTAGAATTGAGTTGTTTCTTACCTTCTTCTGGTACTAGCTTCTATTCTTTCCTGGGTTTCTTGCATTTATTGGCGAAATGTCCTGGTTTTCCGCAGTTATAGTATTTCTTTTCCTTTTTGTTGTCTTTCTTGGTAGCGTCAAGCTCCATTCGTCCAGGGTTAAGAGTGTGACCATAGGCAATAGGTTCGTCACGCTTTCTGCGTTAATTGGCTTGGTAACTTTTTCCTTTGGTAGGGTTCTAGGTTCCTTTACCTTGTTTCTTTTATATGCGTCGCTGATACTATCTGTTATCGATTTGTACCGCTATAGCAATGTAATCCGATAAGTTGTTTGGTTTGTTCTCTTTGTAGAGTTTATCTTTGACTTCTTCCTTAAGTCCTTTATAAAAAGCTGACATAAGAGGTTCGTCCTCCCAGTTAAGCTGAGATGCGAGTTGTCGGAAGCGAGCGGCATAATCGGATGCCGATCCCTTCTGCTTGAGCCCGTTAATGTAGTACTTAGTAGCTCTAGCTTCATCAACTGTTCCAAAGGCTTTCTTGATGGCTTTTTCGAACTTATTGTAACTTTTGAAAATGGTGTTGGTTTCTTCTTTGCGGTCGTCTTTTTCTTTATTAAGGTAGTCCCTTATAATGGGTTTAAACCATGCGAGTGCTACTCCCGTTATATATCCTCCTGCGTGTAGTACCTTGACAGAGGATTCTTCCATTTTGTTCGGGAATTGTTGGTGGTAAGCCCTGAGTTAAGTGAGGAATTCTTGAAGCGCACCCGGGGATCCGTCGTACGGTCCTGGTGCCCTGGGTCTAAGGATTTCTCCTAAGTCCTTTTTAATTGTGGCAGTAGTCGTGGCTTATTCCTGCCGTTCTTCTTCTATTTATTGGACCCGTTCCCGAAGGCGTATGATCTCAGCAAGCATCTCGTGAGCAAAGATGGTTGTTGGTCCTTCTCGGGTTTCATTTGATCCAGATGCGGTGGTAGTCTCGTGTGGTGCCATATTGATAGTTATTAGGTATTACTCAGAGTGACGCGGTAGTAGTCTGAATAAGAGCTTTTAATGTATAACGGCTAAGGTTCCTAAGGGATAAACTAGTTGTAGTTTATGTTGGCAGAGCCACTAGGGCAGTCAATCTGAGCAGTTGGGTGTTACGTTGGTAATAGGTCGTAGACCGTAACCAGGTGATCAGAGTCAAAGAGTTGTAAGCGAAGCTTATTTAATGTAATAATTGGTATTGAAAGCTAAGGAGCTAAAGTCTATTTATAAAGCGAATTTGGGGGTCCCTATATACTACAGCGTTCACCTGTTATTCACTGAAGTCCTGGTGAACTATGGTTATATACGTGCTACTGGTTCGTCTGGAGTTCACTGAACAGTTAGTGAACTCTCCCCTATTGGCGGCCCGTTCCGACCATTAATCCGTCACCCGCTGTGCCTGCGCCGTCCCGTGGCTCATGCAGCCGGCCCAACCTGCGACCTACGCTGCAGCTTGTGACTAGGTCGTAACAATTATAAGTAAATTTAAGCTTTTAAATTAATTAATTAATTACTTTTATAGCTATTTAATAGTATAAAAAAATAATATTATTAACGTAAAAAAAGATTATTAAAGTTAAGCTATTAAAAATATAAAGGTTTTTTAGATAAGACTTTAAGCCTAGCTACTTAAAAGTTTAATTAAGAGTTTATTACTATAAAAAAAATAACTTTTATAGCTTATATAAAGCTTATAATAGCTTTATTATTTAACCAGGCCTTTTAAAATTATTAAGAAATTTAATATAAACTACTTTATTAATTAAGCTATTTATAAAGGTATTAATTATATTAAGCTGCCTAGCTTTTAGGTTAAATTTAGCTATAATAATTATTAAAATTTAAAATAACTTTTTAGTTAAGATTATAATATAGGTTTTTTTATTATTAAATAATTAAAAGTTATTTTATATATATAAATAAGCCTTAAATTTATTAATAAATTTATATATATTATATTTATACTTAAATACTTAAGTTAATAATAATAAGTATTAATATTATTTAATTTAATTAGGTTAAATAAGCTAAAAAATCCCTTACTTATAAAGGGTATTATATTTAGCTTTTATAACCTTCTTAAATTTAAGTTTATATAAGTGTTTTTTTAGCTTTTTTTAATATTAAGGTTTAAGTAATAAGCTTTTTTTATATAGCTTTTTAAGCTATTTAATTAAAAAGCTATTATAAAAGCTATTAAAAGCCTTATTAGAAATTTATTATAATTATTTTAAGCCTTTAAATTAATTATTTTAATTAAATAATTCTAATAAAGCTAATATTAAAAAGTTTAATTAATAATTATTTATATTTAATTTAAGGTTTTTAAAAATATTAAAGCTTAATAACTAGCTTTTATTTTAACTAGCTTATTTAAGGCTTTAAGTATTAACTTTAATAACTAACTATACTTTATTAGTATTATTATTATTATTAGATTTAATATAAGTTAAAAATTTAAGCTATTATAGCTTTTTTAATTAAATTTAATAAATTTAACTTTAATAAAAAGTTTTTTTATTAAAAGTTATATTTTTAATTTATTTAACTTTTAATTTTAATAGAATTTATATATAAAAAATATTAATTAAATTATATTTAATAAAATAACTAATTTTTATATAAGCTATTATTTTTAAAAACTATTTTTAAGTATTTTAGAGGGCTTTTTAGGTTATTAGATAAGCTTTATAGCTATATATAACTAAATATATAATATTAGGCTTATCTAAATAACCTATATTATAATTATTTAATTAAAGCTATTATTAAAGCTATTAAAAAGGCGTTTTTTAGTTTATACCTTATTATAATAATAAATTATAAAAGTAGGTAATAGCTTTTTAGATTTTAAGCTATAATTTGGCTAAAAAGTTAGTTATTAGCTATATTATATAAGCTTTTAACCCTAGAATACTTTTAGACCTTTTAGTAGAGCTGTTTTATATAGGTATATATAGTAATATAAACTTATTAATAATATCTTTTTAGGTAATCTAGGCTTTATAAGCTATTTAAAGGCTTTTATTATTATTCTAATAAATTTAATAAATACTTAATTAATATTATTATTAAATTTAAGCTTTAAATAATTAAATAATTAATAAAAAGGTATTTTAAGTAGTATTTTTAAGCTTAAAAACTATTAAAAAGCCTAAAAATTTATTTTTAATTATTAAAGCTATTAATTTATTATTATAATTAAGCTTAAATTAAAAAATATTAATATAAATCTTTTAAAAAGGTCTAGAGCTTATTATTTATAAGTTTTTTTAAGAGATAACTTTTTTAGTTTTAGCCTTAAAATAAGCTTTATAATTAATTTATATAAGGCCTTAAATTCTAGACCTAGTAATTTATTAAACTAAATATTTAAGGCTATTTATATTTAAGTAGCTTAACTATTAATATTAAAAGTTAATAAAAGCTATTTTCTTAGATTAAAATTATATTAAATTAGATTAAAAGCTTTTAATTTAATAGATTTTATTAAATTTAATAATAAGTTATTTAAAATAATACTTTATAAAAAAAATAACTTTATTATCCCTTAATATAGCCTTTATAGCTAGGTTTTAATTATAGCTTTTTTCTAGAAAATAGTCTAATAATATTATATTAATATAAAAGGTTAGGATAAAAGCTACTTAATTAAGCTAAAAAAGCTTTATTTATATTTATAAAGTAATCTTTTTATAGCCTTTAATTTAAAGCTTTATATTACTTATAAAAGCCTTATTAGGCTATTAAAAAACTTAATAGTTAATAAATTAATTAAAGTTATTATAAATATATATATTTAACCTAGAATTAAAAATAAAAAAATCCTTTAAAAAGTAGATTTTCTTATAAATTAACTAAATAAATAATATAATTATTAGCTTTATATAATTTAACTTATAATTTTATTAATTAAAGCTTTTACTTTTATTAATTTAAGTATTTTTAATATTTTTAGTATTTTTAAGCTTTTTAAGCTGCTTTTATTTTTTAACCTTTTAAGCTTTTTAATATTTAGGCTTTTATAAGCTTTATTATTTATTAATTTTTTAGGCTTTTAATATTCTTAATATATATATAAAAATATTTAAAGCTTATTAAAAATAATTTTAACTTTTTATTTATTAAAAAAGCTAAAAATTAATTTTTTAATATTTATTTTTTATTTTAAAAAGTTATTAAGGTTTAATAACTTTTAAGGTAAGCTATTAATATTATTAAACCTTATTTTTTATTTTAAGAAACTATTAAGGTTTAAGTTATTTTAATACTTTTAAAAAGCTTTTATTTTATAATAAGCTTTATATTTAAAAGCTTTTAATTTAAAAAACACTTTATTATTATTATTATTAAAAGCTTTTAATCTAAAAATCACCTTATTATTATTATTAAAGTTAGCCTAAAAATATAATATTTTTTATTTTTAGGTTTTCTTATTATTTTTAATTAATTTAATTAAAAGCTTATTAATAAGCTTAATTAATTTTAGCTTTAATAAATAAGTTTAATAGCTTTTATTAAATTTAAGCTTTAATTTTAGTATTAAGCTTTTATATTAAGTTTTTAAAAAGCTTATTAAAATATAAATAGTAATAAAAGTAGTATTTTTAATTATAAAAGTAAGTTAAAGCTATTTTTAACTTTTTTAACCTTTTTTATTAATAGATTTTAGGTTAGTTAAGTGCTTATAATAAATTTAAAGTTCTTAATAATAAGCTTTTTTAAAAGGTAAAAGATAAAAAACTGCTTTTACTTTTAATAGCTTTTTAATATTAATAATATTATTTAAATAAATTATTAATTTAAAAGCTATTTAAAATTTTATTTTTTTATTTTTTTTTATTAAGATTTAATAGGTTTAAAATATAATTATTTTAATAGTTTAAAAATATAAAGCTAATTAAAGCTATTATAATTATAAAATCTAGGGTTAATTAAAGCTTTTAAATATTAAGTAAGTTAATTTAATAAGCTTTTATTAGTATTTTTTACTAGCTTATAATTTAAGCCTTGATTTTTATATAACTTATATTTTTTAATATTAATTTATATTTTATTAAAACTTTTCTTTTAAACTCCTAAAATATAAGTTATAATTAGGCTTATAATAGCTTTAATTACCTTAAAATACTATTTTTAATAATTATTATATTATAATAGTTATTAATAATTTTAATAATAAATTATTAAATAATTAAAAAAGCTTTTTAATATTTTTAATAAACTTAAATATTAACCTAATAATTATTTTTAAGGGATTTAAGCCTTTTAAATTAAACTTTATTAAGGTTTATAATTATTATAACCTTAAGGTTAATATTATTAGATTAGGGTTTTTCTAAAGAAATAATAACTACTTTATTAGGCTATTAAGGGTTAATTAAATACTAAATACCCTAATTTATAATATACTTAATAAAAAACCTTTAATATTTATAGCTAGATTATTTTAAGTTTTTTATTAAAAACCTTAAATATATTATAATTTAATATTAAAATATCTTAAATTTAATAATAAATCTAGGCTTATAATTATTATAATTAATAACTATAAACTAGATTAAAATATAAAATTATTCTTATATTTAAAGCTATTTAAAAAAGGAAAATAAGCTTTTTTTATAAATATTAACTATTATCTAGTTAATTACTTAGGAAGTTAGTAATTAAGAGATTTCTAGCTATTAAAAGTCTAGCTTTAATAGAGTGGTAGCGCGAGCCTTTTAGAGGCTTTTAGAGGCTTTATTTTAATAATTATATTAAGGCTTTTAGGGCTTTTTCGGCGATACCGATGAATAGCTTCCTTTTTCCATTGAAAGGGGGCCTTTGGCGTTGACATATAGTATATATTGCGGTATATTGTTTTATTGTTATATTATTTACCACACTGATCGAAAATGAGGATATCTGCTACGTGCGCATCCCAATTTGACAGAATCACCCATCGCGTGTTACGACCCAGCACGTAGGCTGCAGGTTGGGCCGGCTGCATGGAGCCGCCGGGCGGCACAGGCATGACGGGCCACGGAACATTGGTCGGCACGACAGGACCAATGGGAAGGACGCTCAGTTATTATAAGTGAGCATGCACAACGCTCACCAGTGTTTGGAAGTGAGCATCGAGGATGCTCACCTCCGCGATAACTAGCAACCGTAGTATATAGGGACCCCCAAATTCGCTTCATAGATAGCCTCTAGCTCCTTAGCTTTCAACACAGATCATTACATTGAATAAGCCTCGCTTACAACTCTTTGACTCTGATCACTTGGTTACGGTCTACGACCTATTACCAACGTAACACCCAACTGCTCAGATTGACTGCCCTAGTGGCTCTGCCAACATAAACTACGACTAGTTTATCCCTTGGGAACCTTAGCCGTTACATCGCGCATCGCTTCACACGGGACCCCCTGGGCCACGGATAAGACGCAGGGCCGGTACATTTGTAATCCAGATGGTAACAGCCATGAATCCTGTCAAAGTCCTCGTGTTGCTCTGTATCAGACCAGTATCGTATCAAACCACTGTCGCAGCAGTATTCGCTAGTTCGAAGGGACTGTTGTGTGTCTGGGGCTCCTCAAGGTAAATGAGCATGACTAGATGTCGTCAAAAACTTTTGAAACAAGAGCCTAGACCCACTTGACCTTTTGCCACTTTGGGTAATTTATTCGTCTCTACAACCCCTGGTTAATTAACCACCCGTGACCTAACAAGGTTAACAGACCAGGGTCTCCTAGCCGTATTAATAATTTAGCTGCTAGATAGTAAGTAGCTGTTAAGTAATTTAGTAAGGTATAATAAAAAATATTAGCCTTCTTACTTTTTTCTTAAGAAATTAGGTATTAATTTCCCTTACTTTTTAACTTTTTATTTATTGTATACCCCCTTGTGAGGTTACAGGTGGTTAATCAAACAGGGGTTATACGGTACCTTTGACTTCCGTTCTCGCCAAGGTTGCCCCCACTTAATCGGTATCTGCCGACGCCGAGCCAGCATGAAAGCTATATGTAGGATTTGATCCAAAGGCAGTTCAAACTCGTTACTGAGCGGCCCAGTAGAAGTCTGGTGGGCGAGGATCCAAAGGCACATGTGCAGTCTAAACTCGTTACTAAGCGGCCTAAACTGGCCACTAATGAGCATGACTAGATGTTGTCAAATTGAAACAAGAGCCTGGACCCTGTTGACATGGACCTTTTGCCACTTTGGGTAATTTGTCCATCCCTACATACCTTTAACTTCCGTTCTCGCCAGGGTGCCCTACTTAATCGGTATCTGCCGACGTCGAGTTAGCGTGAAAGCTGAAAAACGTCTCGTTCACATGATTACTATGTACGCTCACCCCTGAAGCAGGCATCCATTCAAGCATCCAAAATCTGCACAAGCACACGGTACCTTATGCAGGCTGGGTCCTGGGCGAGGCCGTGTACGTGGCAGAACTACTGTGGCACTATTATGGACACTTTTTATGCTGAAAGTAATAATGTGATGTAGTGTTTTCTGTTCTGTCCCTGTCACGTTATGAGACTTATTGTTGACTAAGCTACTTTACAAAACTATTATTCTTGTTGTTGTCCGTGCGGCAGAGAGTGTACATCTATCTTTTAAATATAAAAAAACTTGCCTTTCGTCTCAATCCCATTTCCGGTTATGTTTAGTTATATTGTAGATGCTTTATTTTTCGGTGACTGCCTTGTCTTGACCGCAGACTTGCAGCCTTCGGCTGGTCGCACGCCTTGCACCGCTGCTCTAAAGTGCAAGGTGTAACGTAGTATTTCAACTTTGTTATCATGCCACCAGGCACTATTCTCTTGACACCGCTCAGGGCAAGGATCAGTCATCAAAGGAAGCCACCGTGGCAACAGACGGATTGTTCGCGGAAAGGGTAGCCAGGTATGGGGCTTGGACCCCACGACAAACTGCCGGGCACTCAATAGTTCATGCGCTTTCGTGATACATCTAGAGAGAGAAGGCCAGCGACCATCATGATTCAGGACATTCGAGACGTAAGAGTCCCACTCTAAGCGCTGCGATGCGCCAGCCCGGCTGAGTCCTACGTTAATAGACGAGAACTACTACCCATTTTCCTACTTAGGGCCGCCCCGGACGGGCTAGAACTATACGAGCAGGTATGATATTGATCATGCAGGTCAAAGGGCCCCTTGTGGAGCGATGAGACGCTTTACCCACCACACCACGTGTGGATAGCGTTACCGGATTGTACGGGATGCTGAAATATGCTTAAATAAGCTATAGTACGATCTCGCTCTATATATAGTATCTAGCAAGTGGAGCCAGTAGTGCCGCAGCTACATCATGCTATGGTAGAGTTCTTGGATATACCAGATATTAAACGGAAGCCTGGCCCCCAACTCACGCGCCTGCAAGGCTTACTCGTTTCATGCCGAGATGGTGAGCGCGTATTGTAATTTCGCCGAGGCGACTAGCCTATTAGTCTTAGTATAGTAGTATTGTATGAGCTTTCTGTAAGCAAATTAATTTATCTTCCTAGTCCACGCAGAAAAACAAAATCACCCTTGCTGCCTACTAGCCTGATAAGCTGAATCAATCGGGCCTTGCCAAGCATCACTAGGCCATTATGCATGAGCCATCAATTTTGCAAAATGCCCAACGAGGTGCTCGGCTTTTAATAATATTCCCGGCATGTCGGGGTCGCTTGCGGGGGTCCTCGCCATGCACCCTCTTCTGCGTCGTATGATCTAGACGCTAGACATACACATGTGATCATCAACTACTGAAGCTTCATTTCGTGTAGCGAGTCATGCGATGCTGTGCTGGAGTAGGGGTCGGCTCGTCTCGAACCGTTCTCCGAGAAATGGACATGAGTCCGGATAAATATGAATCACATACAAGTAATTATGTAGGCGCGAGGATAAATACGGCAAGCTACCCATCCAGCTTCTTGTTCTTTTTTTCGATCTATCAAGAGTAAACACTAGCTCGTGATATCTTTTACATTTTTATTCTACAAGCCCATCTTTGGCAATCTATCAACTCCTTCAAAATGGTACTCAAGGCTGCTATTCCACTAGCTGTCGCGTTTTCTACTGTTTTGGCAGCAGCGGCAACTATTAATAAGAGAATTTATCTCGGAGAAGAGGCCAAGGAGGGTGAATTTCCATTCATCGTCCGTTTACACTACGAAGATCCTACTCTTTTATGTGGAGGCAGTTTATTGGATAGTACTACAGTTCTTACTGCTGGTCATTGCCAGCCTAAACGTGTTACTAGCGTGAGAGCAGGCAGCTTGGTAAATATACCCTCTTTTTACATATATTATTAGGCTACGCCGTTGGCTACTACGGCGCTAGTAACTTGCGCACCTAACAAAACAAACGTGAATACGCATGAAGAGCTAATAAATTATGCAGAACAAGGACTCCGGAGGAGTAGTCGCAGAAGTCGAATCCGTAGTAGTCCACCCGGATTACAAGAGGTTTATCGGCGAGGTGAACAATGATATTGCTATCTTGAAATTATCAACACCTATTCAAGAGAGCGAGATAATTAGCTACGCGAAGCTGCCTGCAAGCGGCTCAAGCCCTGTAATTGGCTCCATCGCCGTAGCTGCCGGCTGGTAAGTGCTATTAAGCTTAGAACTGCCGGATATACTTAGACAAGACGCTAACCAATACGCAAGGGGTACAACCGGGCCTCTTAGCAAGGGTGATGTGTCTGACAAACTTCTCAAGGTTGCCATGCCTATTGTCGATATCAATTCCGATTCTTGTAAAGCCTCTTCTGCTGTACAGCTTCCGGATACAAAAGTGTGCGCTGTTGGTGGGGGGGATACAGGCAAAGGCGACAGCGGCGGTCCTCTTATTGACCAGGAAACAGGACAATTAATCGGCATCGTGTCGATCGGACCCCGTTATACTAGGATTAGCAGCTACATCCGGTTTATTGACGATGTTAATAACGGGATTAACGGGGTTGATCCGCGCCATGTAACGGGCTAGGCCCGGGAATGGCTCGGCTTGCACTCTTGCTTTTGGTCCCGGCCAGGGGCCGGGACCTATCTATAAGCGAGATTAGCAGCGGCAAGCTCAGGAGCTCGACAGCTCGAGAGCACTCCTCTTCTTGTTCTTTCTTCTCTTTCTTTCTCAGCTTTATATATTCCTTAAAGTCGTCTAGTTAGTCGTCAATATACTCTCTGGACCGTTACATGGAACATCTGAATATCCCAGGCAAATGGCACTTTTCAAACCCCCTTACAAAAATAGCCGTTTTAAAATACGGGGCAATAAACTGTGTTAGAAGATCTTTTGTATAATTTCGAATATCAATCTACATCTTTATGTGCTGTCCACAACCTGGGTAAGAAGATCAATCACTAGTTATTCACATTGTAGGGTCGCTATTATCTTCAAATAATATCAAGTGACTACACGCAGCGTAAAGTTTATGTAATATCAGTCCAATCTTTTGTAGAAATAGCTAGAGAGTGAATCAACAGGCACTGTAATATATTTTGGTGGGTTTACTCAGGGGTATTAACAACGCCATTTACATAGGATGTAGTTAGAGGTGTTCTACTCGGTGGTGTTTTCCGCTTATTGCGACGCCATTGGAAAGGTGGAAATTGCGCAGGAAGGCAAAGAGGTCGTCGTAAGTGTCAAAGAGTGGCGATGGCGGCAGTTGTGGGATCGTAGCCCCAGTGTAGCCATCGTCTCTTGGGTCGTTGGCGGCTGTCGCGCTTTTGCATCTGTCGCATTGTCAAATAACACCAAAGAACGGGCGCGGCCACGCCACATGTAATTGTCTGTTAGAACCAGACCAGACATGGACCCCCTATATCCTGCGACAACTTGTGCCCCACCAGACCCCAAAAAACCTCACCGGCCCCCCTTGTCGCGCGGACCAACATTGAATCATGTCTGTCCGTTAGTGGCTAGTCTGGGCCGCTTAGTAACGATCTGAGCTTGGACGTCTCGAAATATGCCTGTGCGGGACTTCAGGTCTATTGTGACATTACACGCGGAATGGATCGTGATTCCGTTAATTTAAGCAGCAGCGGCTCCTGACGTGGCCGTGACAATGATCTTGTTTAACATGCCATTCTCTTCAAAAAGTGCAACAAGGGCTTGGATTATGCGAGATTTGCCCGTGCCTCCTTCACCCCTAATAACTTGGCAGTGCTGGCCCTTGTTTTTCCCACTTTCGCCAGATCGTATTCGATCCAGCTGTCTACAGATCAACAGGAACGCTGAACGCTGCTTCAGGTTAAGTCAAGTGTGTACCCTGCGGCCTGTTTAAGCCCGGCCTCCATGTAAAATGTCAATGGCCCTAGGCAAACACGAGCTAATAGTCCTGTGTCCCGGCCCTCGATATCAGCGTGCTCCGCGGCCTGTCTAGAGCCGTCTTTCGCTTCATGGCTTCCTTGAATGCCCTGTATCATTCTCTCGATCTCCTTGGAAGCACTGGCCTCCTGTGATTTTATGGCCCAAACTTGAAACTGTCGGGGAATTTCATCCACTGCTAAGATAGCCCTACTTCTTCCGCCCTCGTCTCCCAGTCTGAAGCTATTCAGGTCATCAGGTGACGAGAGAGCCATCTCCTGAAACCGACCCAAATGCCATATCAGCTCTGCGAATTCCCTGCAGCCAGATGTGATCTGACTTGACCCTAACGCCGCTCTAATAACATGAATTAAGCGCATGGCGGCACCTACGTTATCGCCCCGGAATGATGCGCCACCAAAGGCTCCCATCTCGTTTGCTTCCGCCTCTGCCCCTTTATCATCTAAGTCTCCGTCCCCGGATGAGGCAGCCCACTGTTTTGCATCTCGTTTTGCGTCGAGGGCTAAGTGGCGAAGAAGTTAAATATTATCAACCAGGAAAGACAGCCTTGGCTGCAGCATGGCTTGATTATTTCTCCAGATTTCATTAATATCACCAGCACGCTCTGAGAGGAATTTCTCCTACGGCACGAACAACGCCAGATGCTGTGTCGCAGCCCTAATTCACATATTGTAAATTACATTCTGCAGACCCAACATTTGCTAGGAGACGTTCTGCATACCTTTTGAAACAATTATCATCTTCTGCGTCGTTGAAGTCCATGCTGAGATATCCATCAAGGCGGACGATAGAGTGTTTGCCAGGCCGCCTGAGTACTTGGGTGTAACCTGTCAATTTTGACCGATCGTCGTTTGCGAAAGGTATCTCCCCCTAAATATTCCTTTCCTTGTTTTTGCGTCTCCCGCTTATAACGGACATGTAATCGTACAGGCACATGTCCTTGAGAAGTTCCCCACGATGAGTATAAGCCTCAACACGCGATATTTGCCTGCCTGATTCTTGGGCGAGTATCGTCTCGTCATCTAACACCTCCGCGAATCCTCCTTCACCGCTCATTGTCTGCAAATAATGCTACTAGCAAAATACATGCCAGTATAGCAGCGACACATTAAGGAAACTACATGTGGGATTATGCATGAACTCGGTCGGATACCCCAAAAGATAAACAACTACTTCGACTTGTGATAATACACGGTTGGTAAACACACAATTAGCTATCCGCATCAAGAATTAGCGTGTTTTATTTCGCGTTGCGCCTTGTCTTGTAAGATCAGCGCTCGCTATGCTGCCGTCTTGTTCGCCATTGTCATCCAGGATAGGTAGGAATTGCGATGCCGCAGCGACGCGCTTCCAGATTAGATCCTCTACTTTCGTTATATAATTAGTAACATAGAATATCAAAGCTTTGGTCTTACACTAGGTGGCAATAAATAATATGTCATGGTTATATTATAGACTGACTGCTATAGCCTTGTTCCACCGATTCCTAACCGGGTAGGTTCGCCGAATTTGTAAGACACGATCATTAGTAACAGTAGTTCTGTCCACTAGTTTCCAAGGAGCACGAAATCGCCAAAGATTTCGCTTCCTATCTTAATGGGCAAATAAGTACTTTACACAAGTCGGGCTGTGTGTATTAATTTGCGTTACACCAGCACAGAAATTAGCCTCTTCATTAAAGGCCGCTGTGAGCTTCGACCTATTATTAACCAGTTCGGACATGTCATTGATCACCCTCTGTGATTGCACAGCTGAGAATGCCTCCTGGTCCAACTCCTGTCCATGAAGTTAACACGAACTCGAGCGATTGACTAAAGGGTTACCGTACTCGTCGAGTCAAGTTTTACCCAGTGGCTTTTACTTGTACTAATTAATTTGCTATATTATATCACACAAAGAATACTTAATCAAAGCCGGGTGCAAATGATCGTCCCTACCACCCTGCCTTGGTGCTCCAGCTATATGTACATTGACTCGACAGTTACGCTTTCAACGGCTGAAGAAATGCATATTGACTCGAAAGTCAAGCATCCAACAGTCGAAGGGATAACAGAGCCGTTCTGCTTCCATGCTCATCAGTTTTGTCTTGGTAACTAGAGCTGGATTTCGTAAGCCCTGTGTCTCATTTCGCCGTTAGTCAAATTTTACCATTCGTCAGCGTCATCTCCTAGTGACAAGAACAGACAAATGCGATACAATTCTGAATATTGTAACATTATTGCATTTATTTTTTAATGTCTTTGAGCTGACGTGATAAGAATATATGCGGCCCTTTCTGACTCATTCTAGGTTGTACCACCAACCAGGCAGTGCGATATTCCGAACATCTGTAGAAGATTGCCAACTTATTGGTATTGCCTGCAGTCAGAGATGCATAAAATGGGGTTGCACAGGCTGTGTGGTAATGCATGCCGGCCCCCTCGTCTCTCGTCCAACCACCTCCGTGGTCGAGGATGAGGTCTGGTGGTGATCGTTCTACCATACCGGCCTGTATTATTCCGCTGACAACGGGCTAGGCATTCTTATCTTCTAGCCCACAGTTTCCGCAATCAGCGGAGAAGACGTATTGGAGGGACCAGACGGAAAAGAAAAAACGGTGCAAGACGGTACATTCACATGGAGCGCAACGACCTTCTGGGCACCAATAATATGGAATGTAAAAGACTATGAAAAGGGTTGTAGTTGTTGTTGTTTTCTTTTTTTAAATTAATAGCTATAACAAAGATTAACCGCGTGTGTACTAATTACATCTCTAACGGCGACTGTCTTTCCAAACTTGCCTAGAGATATAACATCTTCCAAGCTCGCCGAATTATTCTGGTTAGTTTCGTCCAATCTTACATTAGAGTTGGGGCCGTGGTACTGCCACATGCGAGAACCATTATTTCTTCGTTGCCATAACCACCATAACCGGTCTACTTGGGCATGATGCAAGTAGAAGACAGGGTCTAATTTGTTAGAGAACCCGTTTATTCACGAGATAAGATACAGATGAATTTGCTGCATACCATTTGGTGCTGTCTGCAACAGAAAGTCACCTCTTATAAATTGCGGGATCGCGTTGTGCGCATGGTCCTCTAATTCCTTGAAGAATTCGGCGTAGGAATCTTGTTCCAGTATACTTTTGATACTTTCCGGTGTTACTCTCGCCTGAAGCTTCTTCTTTGCATCACCAATCTGAAACCCCCGGCTGAGACAGTGTGGGTTGCGCGATATTTTGAATTGGCTTCCTATTTCTTCTGCTTGCCAGTTACGAGTCGAGTTGGCAAACGGCCCGTCAGTCACGCAGTGGCCGTTTCCGACTCCTCGCTCGCCAGTCGAAGTTCCGTCGGAGCCGAATCCGGATGTGCTCCAGATAGGAGATTGGGCAAGATCTGCGGCATCCAATGACCAATCCCAATAGCTATACTTTGTTAATATACGTTGTTAACCAAGCATATTAGTCCCATATATCATAAAATGACATACGCAAGTGAGCCAGTGTAGAGGCATTCTGCCCTGAGAGCTTCTTCAAATGTGTGGATAAAGTGTCGATGCCACGGCAGAAATGCCGCTGCATAGTGTATATCCAATCCTTCCGATATGTGAGCCAGCGCAAAGTCGTCAAACCGAGAAGTGCTGTTGTCAAATTTGGACGGCTTATCGGAAAGACATTTGACAGCACTAATGTAGGCTTGCTTCTCTGCAGCGCCGAGAGATCTCCATTCCCTTCGAATTGGCGGATCCGGGCAGGCACTATCTTCCACTTCAAGCAGCATCATGTAGGTGTCTGCCATGGCAAACGCCAAACTGACAGTGATGCAAGCCACAAAGACTATGGAAATAAGTTGAGCTATACTATAAATATATGTTAGACGCGAATGCATAGGAACCGGGATCGGGCTATCGCTGCATGCCTTTTGCACTGCCGCTTTGTATCTCTTTTCCATCCTGTCTGGCTAGCAGGATCTTGAGACAGACACGAATAGTTTTGCCGCCTCCCACATAGAAAATGTCCACCCATATTGTCTAGGTGGTAACTAATTCAATGTTAGAATCGCTCAAACGAAACGAAATGGTATCCTCAGTTTTCGAGAGGGGATGACGGACGTCAACTGTCCACTTACTGTGGCAACGCAATGGTTTTCTTGTAGTTTATTCTGCGTTCCGAGAGCAGCATTGACCGCTTTTCAAAGAGGTACCAAGCCAGCCACTAGTTCCTGGGCGCCTCTGTTTCCACCACGTCATAGCACTTGAGACACAACTCATAGTTGTCTTGCCGCAGTTCTTGGCAACTCAGACCAACGCTAGGTGAAAGGGCGAACGATGAGCCAATGTTGATCAAATCCTGCTCTCTTGAAAGTCAACATCGTCGTCGATCCATGTCGGCAGTTAGGCTGGTGGCTTGGCTTTTACGTCAGCCTCGGCCTTGGATGCTACCATGGACGTCCTTGCACTGCGCCGTCAAGCTTGGCAGCTAATGCTTTAATATTTACATATGTACGGAGTACTCGGTAGCAAAGACTTTTCTTGGTATTTCGAGCAAGGCGGCTCAACACTTATAAAAGCGTAGGGTCAGACGGGCTCTGTTGTACACACACTTACACACAGACACACACTTATATACACACACGCACGCGCTCGCGCAACATATATCAAAATGCATCTCAAGTCTCTGCTTGCCGTCGTCTTTGCCTTCGCGACCGCCGCGACCGCCGTTTCTAAAGATCGCTGCAACTGCCGCTGCACATCCATCCCAATCAACAACGCCAAGGACTGCACCAATGACAACATATGCCCGGACGGGCAGGCTTGCCGCTTCGAAATACCCAACTATAGCCAGAGGAAGGTCTGCAAGTGGACCTGCCAGGTGCCGCGCACGACTTCTTGAAAGAAGTGCAGCATTGAGCGGTTATCTTGCGATAGGTCGTCAGTTACGGAGAGCATAACCAGGCTATGTGACTTGAGGTTTGGGTGGGAGTTTGCATCAAGAGAGCTGACCGGCATACTCGAAGACGGCGTGTAAGCAGAAATAGCGAAAGACTATACTATTGCTGAGCTATAGAAGATAGTATTAGGCTGGTAATTTAATGACAAGACACTTATATCTAATGTATCAATTGTACACAGCCTCCTGCCGCATCAAAGGTCGTTCAAAGTGCTAAACAGGAGTATTTGTTAGATGGGCAGAGAAAAGCTTAAGTAAAGGTCCAGATATCTGGTCCAACTTACAACGAGAGGGGTGCTGCCTAGCTGACATGAATTTATTAATACCAACAGTTGACCTTAAGTGGCCCTGGCCCGGCTTCTCTTTCCTAATCGGGGAATAGCAGACGAGAATAGAAACATAGGTATCGATCGGCGCCGCGAAGATACCTGGGGAGCCCGTGCCCACAGCGCCAAGCCAGCTCAGCAAGGCCATGGCGTAACTTGGCAGAGATGGAGGCAAAGGACGCCGGGTCTAATATGGACGGCGACTCGAAACAGTCCACTAGCATTGAACGTACAACAGGGGCGACGAAGAAGCCAAGGTTGAGAGGAAGCTGCTAACCCAGCTGCCGGCTTAGCAAGAGCTTCTAATAGGAAGTCGACCGATGCATGTAGAGGATCGATCAAGTACTAATAGGCTCTTTGCAGTATCTGCAGTCATACTTGACGACAGGAAGAATAACGACCAGCCAGTCATTGTAGACGGCACAATTCAGACAAACCGAACCCACGATACGTATCACGGTAGAAGTTGGCGGTAACCATGATCTTATATTCTCTCCACCCCGTGCTCCTGGCCTAAATTCTTCGTAGTGCATTTTATTTCTATTTATGTTAGTGACTACAGAAACTAATAAACTCGTGTTATTATTAAAAAAGCGGGTGTCCATGTACTGTGAATGCCGAGACGGGAAATGCTACCTGCGCCTAGTCGTAGGAGAGAAGCTTCGCCCACGGGGGAGCTCGGGGGAAGGGCTGTATTGGAGGGTGGTGTCAGGACTCGTATAGACCAAGAATCGGGTGTACAATGAGGTGGAGAGACGGAGGATAGATTCAGGAGGGTTTATTTTCAGAAGAAAGCTGAAGATGTGATGAGTCATGACACGCAAATCGTGCACATGCCGTTTTAAACGTCGTCCCGACTGGCAACATGGACGACGGGTTATGCAAATATAGACACCGGATGCGCCGTCGCTAGGCTTTGATCTTTGTTCATTATGCAACTATCGTAGATACCACGCCCCGGCGCCAGGGTACAGTTCCCGCAAAGTAATCCATATACATCCGTCTAAAATTCATGAGCCATACACGTAACCCCCTAAATACACCAGGCTACCAACTGATCATAAAGCCCAAACACCCCGACCATCATACCTGCAGCGTCAAATGATGATTCTGTCTTAGGCTGAAGCAGTAGCTGTGCGTCTCTGAGCACCTCTTCTCTGACTGGCACCCGGTCTTGTAAGGGTGTACTTGGCAAATGCACGAGACAAAGCCTTCTTGCAGCTGAGCTTCTGGCTGCCGACAAAGCTTTCCACCGTAACGGCAATGGCACGGTCAATGTCGTGCGTGGAGCAGTATTCCGACAGGCGCATCCTGCAGAAAGCTTCGCTGATACGAATGATGGCTTCCAGATGACGGACCTGTGTGTTGCATGTTAGCACAATTCGACTTGTTACGAGAGGCGGATATGTGAGAGCATACAGTAATGGGGTAAGCGCCAGTGGCAAGCGATTCCCTGCGCATGTCGGCAAATAACCGAGCGACCTTGTCCTCGTCCATGTGGTACAGCTTAGGGTGGCATCGCTCCCGCGCGTACAGGATGTACTTGCGAAGTAGGGCTTGCGGAATATCACCCTCCTTCTTTGTTGACGAAGCAGATGTCCCCTGGGTCTCTGCCTGCAGGGAAGATTGTTCAACTTGCATCGAGTCCTGGGTCGGTTGGCTAAGAGGGTGGCTGCGGCTGTGGGATCCAACAATAAACCGAGCCAGTCGTTCGTCCTCTTCAGGCTCGACAGTATCCCTCACGACACACAAAATATCGAAACGTGACAGAATGGGCTCAGTGAGGTTGACGTTTTGTGAGAAGGGCAGGGTAGAGTTGTAGCGGCCGGCCGGGGGATTGGCGGCTGCAATAATTCCGCATCGCGCCTGTAGTGTTGTCACAATACCAGCCTTGGAGATGGAGATGGTCTGCTGCTCCATGGCTTCGTGGATAGATGTCCGATCTTGGTCATTCATCTTGTCAAATTCGTCGATCAAGCAAGTACCTCGGTCGGCTAACACCAAGGCACCGCCTTCGAGGGTCCATTCGCTGGTCAAAGGATCGCGCCGCACACTGGCTGTCAAACCGACGGCACTGGCACCTTGACCAGTTGCAAATACAGCTCTGTGTGCTGTCTTTTCAACGTACTTGAGCACCTGAGACTTGGCGGTACCAGGGTCGCCAAGAAGAAGTACGTTGATGTCACCGCGGACATGGTGTTGTCCCTTTGTCGTCTTTGCTACACCGCCAAACAGTGAAAGGGCTACGGCAGTCTTGATGTCAGTGTGGCCATAAATGCTGGGGGCCATGGAGTTGATGATCTTGTCCACAATGTTGGGGTCCCGTGACAGCTTGCGAATTTCGTGCTCATCTTCCTCCGTCATGCGGAATCCCGCCAGCTGATCGTGCGCTTTAATGACATTGTTTGCTTCCAAGATAGTGGCAAAAACAGGGAAACCATTTCTGTTGTTGAGTTGTGCATCGTAGTTGTTGCGGTAGATGCCAGTTACTTCAATCTCCTCGCCAGGCTTGGCCTTGTCAATAAGATCCCACAGCAAGATGACTTCGCGAGTTCGCGGCAAGCGACCAGCCGGGACTGTACCAGGAGACTCCTGCAGGGTCAACTTCTGATAGTTTCGATATACAGTCTTTTCTGAGTTGAGTGTAAAGGGACCTCGAGACTGACAGCTCTGGCAATAGGTGATTTTGACTTCGACATTGGACTCTTGCTGGAACGGTCCCAGGGTGATACCACACTTGGTGCAGTCAAATTTGACATATTTGAGCTGAGGGAAGACACCACTTCGTCGAGTTACAACACCGCTAACGCGAACAAGACAGTTTAGGTGCGATTGACGCAATTGGCGAAGGGTGTAGTGCACAGGCAGGTCAAAGATGCGCACGTGGATTTCCGAGTGGATGCGCTCATAATCTGGGTAATGCAGGAGAACTACATCCATGGCGACCTCATCAAAGAGCTTCAGCATTTCCGAAGGGGCATTTGCCAAGAAGTATGCCAAGATGGCCTTGCTTTCGGACAAGTGCTCATAGGAGACCTCGAGTGACTCGGCGTTGATTTCACCGAGAGTACGAATGCGGTTACCGTAAACAGACGAGCCAGAAGCATCTGTATAGGAGGTGAGGAATGCTTTGAATTCACGCTTGACTGTTCTCTGGACCGGAGGTTGCGAAACCCACTCAGTCAGATTAGCAGCCTTGACATCGCCGAGCGCTTCAAGTGAAAGTTCCTCGTCCATAATGTCGGCATCCATGGCATCGTCAGGGTCCTCGTCATAGTGGTGGCGACGTCGGCGAGGTTGCGCAGTAAGGTCAATTTCGCCATCATCATCATCACCCGGGAGAAAAGCGGCTGGAATACGCTGTCGACGGGCAACTTCCCTGTCTCGTCGATTCAACTGTGCCTCCAGCCTCCGTCTGGAGCCCAGATCCATGTCGTCGAATTCACCGTCGTCGTCCAGGCCCATACCCTCGTAGGCATCATCTTCACGCGATCTGTAATCTGTTTCAAAGCCCTCACGGAAAAGATCAACATCGTCATCAGCCATTTCATCAATATCGTCAAGATCGTCTTGGATTTCGGCCTCCTCTTCGACGTCATCATCGTCTTCGACGCCGTGCTCAATGTTAAAAGGGGCCGGAGGAGATGAGGGCATAGGGCTTGAGCCTAGCCCGACAGAAGATGTGGCATCATCACCACCTGCTCGCGAGCGTTTGCGGTTCGATCGTGGACCAGCGCCACGGTTGCCCGAGGTCGAGCTATTGTGGAGCGGGGAACTATGCTGTTGTTAGTTCAATTTGCTGCAAATTGTGCACAAGGGAAAAGTCTACCTCATCTCCTGGGTGTTCTAGTCGCCAAGTTCAGTTCGGAAGAATGTGCAGAGCAGATAGGCGGACAGAATACAAATTGGCGGGGCGTATGTTGTCGGACAGGAGAGATAAATGATAAATTGGAGCGAGTTAAGATGTGGGACGAAAGGGAGCCTGGCATCGCATTCAATGTCGCGTTTTCGAGACGCGTCTCACGCGTTAAGTGGTTGAGGCGCTAGACCAAATTAGAGCACGCGCAAAGTGGTTGCACAAACCAGGGAGCTGACAAAAATATGCCCCGCATCGTCCGACACTTTCTGCCGCAAAACCGTATCGCGTTATTTTGTCGCTACACATCCGTCACCAGCTGTCCACTGCCCACCATCATGCGTCAAATCAGTCGCAACACCCTTCGCCGTCACCCTTCAGACTGATGCCACCAGCTTCAGATCTATCAAAATCTAGTCTAAATGCCAGCAAGAATTGAAACTTTTTACTCATTTGTGTTGTCATAACTACTGCAGATCCACACCTCTACTTGTATTTGCTTTATTTGCACGCAAACGCCCCCATCACAATGTCGACTAATTCCCCCCAAGAGAAGGCTGCACCAGCACGCAGCAATAGCTTTTCCCAGCAATCGCAAGCCTCGGATGATTCGCAGACAGCAGCAGAGTAGGTTCCAATGCACATATCGAAGCATACATGTGAGCTTGTCTAATTCTCTCCGCAGCTTTCTTCGCAACCAGGAGCTCCTTGAGGCTGATGCCCGCGAAGCGCTTCCCTATGTTGGTCACCAGTTAATGCTACTTCAGCCCCATTGCCCATCACTGACAGTAGCAGAGTATCGAAAGCTGCACGAAGATTCTTGGACCGCTTCGACAAAACGTCTTTGCCTGCCTAACATGCAATCCTGCCACAGCCGACCTAGCCGAGTGGAAGCCAGCAGGAGTATGCTATGCTTGCTCCGTGCAATGCCACGGCGAACACACGCTAGTGGAAATCTTCCAGAAACGAAGCTTTACATGCGATTGCGGTACCAAAAGAATCCCGGTGACAAGTCCATGCACACTCCGAACGAACGAAGCGACCAACACCAAAGGCAACGTTCATTCAGAAGAACCAGACGTCAACAATAAATACAACAAGAACTTCCGCAACATCTTTTGCGGATGTGAATGCGATTATGATCCGTTTCAGCAAAAGGGCACAATGTTTCAGTGCCTAGGACTCGGTACTCACGAATCCGGAGGCTGCGGCGAGGACTGGTACCATCCCGGCTGTCTAGTAGGCATGGGCCCCAAGTGGTTCGAAAAGATGGGAGGTGTCAAGAGAAAATCATCAGGCAGTGCAGCAAACGGCAGCGCCTTGGCCACCATCTCAGAAGCCAACGAAGACCAGCCAGACGCCCCAGCGAACAATGCCGATGTGGCTGTGCTCGACGACGAGGATGAACCGCCCATGCCTCCCGGCTTCCCTGACGAGGACAACTTTGAGGGCTTCCTGTGCTACAAGTGTGTAGACGCTCATCCTTGGATGAAGCGCTACGCTGGCACTTCAGGATTTCTGCCAGCCATTTTCCTCAACCAGGCCGAGGACAGCCAAACCAAGCCAGAAATTAAACCAGAAGAGGAGCCTAGTTCCAGAAAACGCAAGGGCGACGACAATATCGAAGAATCTGCGGAAGCCAAGCGTATTAAGAGCGACGAGCAAACCCCAGATCTTAAAACCGAACCCAACGAAGACAGCACGACATCTACTCTAGAAGCTACCAAGACAGACAACACCCCGTTGGGATGCAAGCTTCCAAACCTGCCCGCCGCGCCAACGGGTCAATTTTCGCTCTTTTTCAAAGAAGGATTCCGGGACCAGCTGTGCCGCTGCATAGACTGCTACCGCATCCTCAACGCCCACCCGCAACTCCTCGAAGAAGAAGAGGTATACGAGCCACCCATCTCGGAAGACGGCGCCTCACAACACGGCGGCTCCACCCATGGCAGCGGCAGTCTCCTTGAGCGAGGCGAAAGCGCCCTGCGGAACGTAGATCGCGTCCGAGCCATCGAAGGCGTCATGGCGTATAACCACCTCAAGGAGCAGCTGAAGCCGTTCTTCCAGCAGTTTGCAGAGAGTGGTAGGGCGGTTGGGGCGGAGGATATCAAGGCGTACTTTGCGAAGCTGCGTGGCGATGAGCAAGGCATCAAAGAAGCCGGACAGGCGGCAGCCGATGCAAAGGATGGGGAGGGGGGCAGCGACGGGAGGCGTGAGCAGAGCGGATGTTAATTTGAAGCGTATCTTGCAAGTCAGGTGCAGACGGCATGACCAATGGGATCGAATGTAGTCTTGAACATTACGGTAATATAGGCGTTATACGGGCAAAACCACAGGCAAGAATGTTGGCAACCAGCCATGCAATTGTTAATACACATACATAAAAAGGGGGTATCCGTCCGTCTCGTCGTGATTCCTGCTCTACTGCCCCGTCGACCCGGTACTCGACGCGGCGCTCAAGGGCCTCGGGGGTGGCACCGGCACCGCCCTCGCCGACTCATCCCTCTGCATGGCGATGCCGCCCATGACGCCCGCGTGCGCGGCCATCTGCGCGTGCCCGCTCTGCATCTGGCCCTCGGCAGCATCGTCGTCCACCTGGCCCTCCATCAGCTGCTCCTGGGCGGCCCTCTGCTCCAGGTCGCGGAGCCTCTCCTTCTCCGCCTCGTCAATGACGTCGTCGTCGCCGCTCCAGTACGAGTCGTCGTCGTCGAGCTCCGGCATGGCCATTCTCTTCCAGAAGCGCAGCTCCTGCCGCACGCTCGTGCCCTCGACCCGCTTCTCCCACCGCTCCGCGTCCTCGTCGTACTTGCTCCGGAACAGGCGGAGGTTTTCGTTGGCGCGGCTCGCGTGCGTCTGCATCTCCCAGATCTGCTCGCGCAGGCGGCTGTTCTCCTGCCGCGCCTCGTCGAGCTGCACCCGGTACGAGCGGTGCCAGGCGGCCACGTCGGCCACGTGCTTGGCCTTGTATTCGTGGAACTGCTTGAGCATGGTGGACATCATGTTGGCGTACTGCGTCAGCAGCACCGCGTTGGCGTCGCGGCTCAAGTTGGCCTTTTCGAGGGACTCGGAGAGGATGGACACGATGGTGTCGAGGTTTTGGGAGTCGGCTGCGCCCGATATTGGAGATTAGCTGGTTGATTTACTCTTTTTTTTTTAGGGGCAAAGACATGATGGGGGCGTGGTTGGTGTTTACCTTGGAGGTCGGATGCCGCAGAGGCTATTAGCTCGTCGTTGGACAGGTTCTGGTTCTTGGCCTTGCTGCGGACTTTGCCCAGCCCGTTGACAATGTCTTCCGTCACCCGGCGGTTGTCTGCGAGCTGGCGGCTCAGCTCCTCGACCATGCCGTAGATGTAGTTGAGCTCGGCTTGGTGGCCGGCGGGGGTTGGGCCGGCGGGCATGGGAGGCGCGCCGCCCATGTTGCCGTTGATGCCGTTCATGGCGAGCTGCTGCTGCTGGTGATGCTGCGGCTGCTGGTACTGCGGCGAGCGGACTTGGACTTGGACTTGGACCGGCTGCGGCTGCGGCTGCGACGCGTACTGGTGCTGTTGATACTGCTGTGATGAGGTCTGCGGCTGCGGCTGCGGAGGTGGAGGCTGAAGCTGCTGCGATTGCTGCTGCTGCGGCGGCGGCTGCGGTTGAGATGGTTGATGTTGGGCGGTGGCGTTCGTCGCGACGGGCAGGCCAGCGGCCAGCTTCACAGCAAAAGTCATGGTGGAGAGCGGCTTCGGCCTGGCTTGGTCTAGTTTGGAGGTTTGGGTCCAGGCGGATGCTGGATGGCGGATGGCGCAACCCTGGTCTGTGTCTGGTGGAGCGTTGAAGTCGTGAGTCCTGGCTCCTGGCCAAGACGACGAGCGAGGAGGCTGTGGTGACTCTGGTGGGTGACGACTGATCGAGGAGCAATGATGCGTGCTGCAAAATGTCAATCACATACGCACATGTGTCGAGCCGTCCTGCACTATGGTTCCGAATCGTGTGCAGCGAGATGTTGTTTTTTTGTTTCTTCTGACGCGTTCGGCCGCTTCAATGTTGTTTTATTGGTGACGATGTTGTTGGTGCGATGGGTCTGGGTCGAGGCGCGGCCGGGTGGCACTTTAATGTTGTCTGGCCCCAGTGACAAACACGGCATCTGTCTGTCAACTGATGTCGGGACTCTATTTAAATATGTAAATTGATCAATACATTGTACATGCATGTGTACTGATTTGAAATGGCCAAGTCGTGTCGAGTCCCTGGAAACGGAAGCAGCCCCACTACTTGACACTTTTTCAGGGGTCCAGATGTACTGTAAACATTGAAAATCAATCCTGGCCCGCATCATCATTCGCCGAGCACATCTCAATCCCGCCAATTGCAGGGCCAACCAAGGAGGAATTCAACCCGACACATCTACACATTGATAGCTGAAAGCGGCTGGTACTCTGTTGGGACTCAAGAAGTCGTCAAGGATAGATGGAGGCCTTCTATCATCAATTGACACATACCACTTCTCTCCAGCACGCTGCTCTTGCTCATCGGCGTCGATTGTTCCATTGACTCCACTAGAAACTCGTGCGAGTAGTCGAGAGTTTGATAGACTGACGTCATAATCGTTCAGCCGTGCCATTTCCAATACTTTCTGGCTTTGTTCATTTCAGGGGACAGACCAGCATAATTTTTTCTACGACTACATATGTAATATGCAAGTTGACAATCGGCAGTACAGTCCAGTTCAATACGCCGGTAATCGTCTGCTACATGTATGTCGAGAAAAATTTCCGATAGCTGGCGGCTGTGTCTCAAATCCGGCATCATGGACAACATGTGACAAGGGCTCGGAAAGAGGGCTTGGAGCAATAGCTCAATTCATCTAATAACAGTCTTTTGTATCAAAGGTCCTTGGTTTTCCTCGAGGCCTTCAAGGTCAAAGACGTCTTTCAATACAAGAAGTCGGTGAGGGACTTTGCCCCAGGCCTCGTGACCGTAGCCTTTGTGTAACCAGCCATTTCCGTGTAACACAACACGCCCCGGGGTTGATGCATGTGGTTCGCCGCGTGAGTGGATGGACATTTCAGACCAATATCTTATAAAGTATCTAATCAACTACGGTGAAAATTTCTGCGCCTTGTTTAACGATGGGGATATTTGCAGTCGTATTACTAAGGCTGCCTACATAGTGTCACGGCCGTTAAGGCTCAATATAGCACCGGCGTCAAGGTAGTTGTCAGATCTTTCAACAGACATCCATTGCGCTTCTGGCAGTAATAAAGTACTTGTTCTTTCGACCTGCGGTTCTAGGCATTGATAAACAGCAGTAAACATTGTTTATGGGGCGGGTAAAGACCTGTTGTATCGGCCACTGCCCGAGAATTATGACTTGCATGATACATATGTAGCCAACTGTAGCCAGAATCCTCTCCCGGGGCCTGAGCAAGGTAGCCAGGTTGCTACAGCCCCAGTTTGGCATGCAATGCCCTATCAATTGATGTATTAACTGAGACGCCATTGTATGACGTACGATATTTTGGCAAGGGCTCCTCTACATCCAGTACGAGCTTCTGTGTGGGTGTATTTGTCTCGCAAGAAGTAATAATGCTCGTGGTCATCTTTCTTTCCAAACCCATCTTGTTGAAGGTCTCAGCTCATCCAAGTTCAAAATGGCTACCACCGAGATCACACAATCTCCGTATCTTCGCCATCTATTGAGGAAGACCTTCCGCGTCTTCTCGAACTGAAGGGCATATCTGACGGTCAACAAGCAATTTTCGATTTGGAAGTTGAATTTGCAGAGCATGCTTTCGGTATTGAAAGAAACAACGAACCTTCACCTAGCTAGATTCGCGAGCCTGTCTATTAAGAGCTATAAAAATGGCACCTACTACCCTATAGACTATGCCACGGATTGTGCGGAGGTACCTGTGCAGTCCGAAAGGAACCTGGGGCTACGGGTGGCTACTGGTCCCATTCTGGTTCCTGATGTGCACAATTGCCAATCAAATTATCTGGTATGGTGCCGTCAATGGCTAGGGTGCAGATTCTGCCAGAGTCTTTTCGGCCAGATACAAAATCCAAGCGAGGTGCAGGGATAACCGTGTTATCGGTAATATGAAATCAATAGCTGCTCCGGAGTCTATGATATTGCAGCCGAATTCCACAAAATCTCCATTTACAGTAGCTCATGCGTTTGCTGTGAAGTCAATCTTGTGATATGTTGGGAGTAAGACGGAAACCCGCAGACCCAGAATCCAGTCCCAGGTCAACGGGGTTGCCTTGGTTACTCTCACTATCCACGACGACATCCTGACGGCCGCCTCGATTAAAAGAAACACGTGGGATAAGAATGGAAGCTCTGCGACTAGCATTAGTATAGGCAATAGCTCCATAATAGTACAACCCGACACTTACTGCTCCTTCCCAGGCACCATTTCGAGCTTCTCAAGCGGACCAGAAAACTTGCTGGCATCCTATCCGCCGAAAGTAAGCGAGCCACGCCCATGCTGGCGATGGTGCTTCGTACAATTTTCTAGTTAAAGAGCTTTCGTGGCATAGAGACATCATCATCATGGCCGAGAACTGGGAATAGAGGTAGGATCACGACATGCCGATTTATAGCAGTGTTAGTCGTGTTTGTGTACACAACACCAACTATCATTGAGCCCACGGGCTGACCTATACATACTTAGAAGACTATTTGTCAAAGATGAAGTAGTAGTTGTCAGCCATTTTCCTACCTTCAATAGCGACGTCATCTTAATACCCTTCCGCCTCGACTGCCTTAATATTACTATATGCGTAGGTTCTTTTGCTTCTAAGCTCTTGTATAGAACTGCTATGACACGAATCAAAAAACGTAGACTCATATCCTTCGCCCTGGTGGCCAGGTGGCAGTCTTGGAACCTAAAGAAGTATAGACCTCGTATCTGGTTCTACGATTACCCTTTGAGGTGGTGTTCCGATCTCACTCAAAGTCCCTAGGGACACCTGACTACAACGAGAATGACGGGAATTATCAGTTTCCATTGAGACTTGCCGCCCAGTCAAAGCTTGGCGGTCTGTTGTATTTGTGGGCGGCACCGGAAATAGAGACAACTGGAGAACTCCAGCTGGCATTGGAAAATTGGGCTGCTGTGTCGAAACCACGAAGGCCTGGGGAGCTAAAAGCAAGAAAGGAGCTTTTAAAAAAGCTATAATAGCAAAAAGTGGTTTTGTGGTTTTGTAGCTAATCACGAAATGTTCTATTTGTATGCCACTTTTTTACAGAGAGAGTGAAAAGTTCCAGCAGCCGTGTTAGACGAGGTAACGTCTGGTAGCATCTTAAATCTTTTGGTTTCTTTTTCTAAGGCCGTGTGGAACCGCTATAATCCTGGTTATCTGAATGCGCATTGCTCTCAATAATACTAATATTATTCATGCTTTTAATACCGCATCTTCGGGCAATAACTCGTGTCGGACCTCTGTCCCTGACTAGAGGCTGCCTAAGTAAATATATATATCTATAACGACGAGTCATAGCATAAGAATGCAATTGAAACTCTTCGGGGAAGTACTATCCCACTTTGCCACGCAGCATTGAGATAGTCCATGTAGCATGCTGACACCTCGTCACAATAACGTTATTGCTTATATTAAGGTAAATGACAAATTCTTATGCAAAATGGACCACGTCAATCTATGCTAGCTGAGTAGCAGCCAATCTAGTTAACCAATCAGACAAGGTCCCATGCGCTCGGTGATGCGTAACTCTTGTCACGGAATATATTATCAATGCGACTCCTCCAATCCTACCACCGTATCCTAGCAGGTTCCTCACACCTGAAATACCGTCAATGCCAGCCAGTGAAATAGACCTTGGGGAAGTGGATGTAGTCCTCAGACGCCGGCAGTTTCAACGTAATTGTAATTGAGATTAGTTGATTCCGCGACGCCTGCCACAGGTATAGGCAATAAGTATTTGCCCACTCGGCGCATAGAGTAATGCCGGTGTGGGCACATACTACTCGACTTATTTCCTCCCACCGTCCCGTGAAGCAAATCGTGTCAAATTTTTAGGGGCGCTGTCACGCGCGTGTGGATGCCACGATCTCAAAACGTTTCGTCTCACCTGCCCTGTTACTCCCCGGACCATGTTTTAGTGACACAGCGCTTTATGAGCTATATGTACCTTTTCGGAAGTCAGAAACCGCTTGGTTTTTACGCTGGTTGGTTCCGATGCTGGCGGACAGGCTGCGGCTTACGCCATAGTCGCATCGCTGCCGTGATTGCACAGGAACTTCTGGAATTTAAGGCGCTTACTTATGCGTCAACGTTTGCAGGGGCTGGCTTGGATGAAGAGCCGCGGCGACACAGTCAGAGGGGCAATCATGATACTAGTACCGTCGGGCACCACTGACACTTGATCGTCGGCCCTGGATGTTTCGTTACCGGAGCTGATTTGTCCTTGGCGATCGGGGGAGCTGTTTTCCCCGCCATCAAATCGCACATGTTGAGATCGGCCGAAGATTGCACATAAGTCACTTGTTTCCACCACGTCGGGTGGCAGCTACCTCTCCAGATTCCCGAGTATAAATATATGGTAAACAAGTTGAGCGCTGCTTACTTCCTTACAGACAAGATCTAAAAGGCGTAGGGAGTAAGTAATACTAGGTATCAGTTGTTTCATAGCCCCGGTTGGGATGCCGATACGCAGAGGCAAGCAGCCCAGGATATGTAGTATACAAAATAGATTACGCTTTCCATGTCCAACAAGACAATGCTCATGCCATATAAACCGTAACGGTCTATTTCTCTGGTCTCTTACTGTTCTGGGCCTGGTACAGCCGAATACTGTGTTATTAGATTTTATGCTTGCACGATACTCGTCTCATGCTTGTAATTTCACTTGACTAATGAGCGATGCAATTCAAACCTTAACATAAACCGTAACTCCTCTAGTTTACTATGCGATATGCTACCAGATAACTCACCCCGTCGCCAAGTCTTCGTGCGGTTATGCGCAGAACAAAATCAAGCACAGAATCTTGCTTCAAGGAAGCAAACTGACTAGCCAGATCCACTGCGTCGCGCTTAGCATAATGGACGGCAAGTCTCATGCTGTCAATGTTTTAGTCGCCGCAGAAGCCGACCAATGAAAGAGGACCGCATTGCCTTCCAGCTCACAGAGACGGGAGCTCATCTGCATACGCCTAAGCCAATATACGTGATATATATGAATCAGCTTGTCCCGTAGCAGACAAAGACTTGCAATGTAGGCCCTTTACTTGGCTCAACTTGTTGACACGCGTCTCATTCCTGCCAATTATGCATCTGCCACGTTTGCGAGCAGGGGTTCCTGGCACCGGGATCGACCCGACGACAGCTAGGTACACGCAGAAGGTAGCTTCGGCATTGGAGCATTGACGGCATGTTTCATGGGTTGTCGTGCTGAATCAAGTCCCTGACGCCACTTGGAAATACTTATACAAGCAGAATCAGACGATCTGTTCCGCTGCTAAGTACTGTCACTGAAGAAATATATATTGCCCATATGTGATGCTTCTGGTCTTGATGTTTTAATTCTTTGCCAATATCGCAAGATTGACACTCCTTTCATTGAACACGATTACTTTACTCAACATCACTCACAATGCTTCGTGCCGCCGTCACTCTATTCTCGGCGAGTCTGGGAGCCATCACCGCTACTGCGCAGGCTACTACCGGTGGTGATCCGGCGAGTCTGGGAGCCATCACCGCTACTGCGCAGGCTACTACCGGGGGTGATTCGGCGAGTCTGGAAGACATCACCCCTCCTGCGCAGGCTACTACCGGGGGTGATTTCAACATTACTGGCGCCCAACTCTATCCCGAGAAGTGTGTATTCGATTCAAAGCGCGATGTCATGTACTGCAGGTATGACTAGAACACAACATCTCCTAGTATCATTTGCTGTATGTTGCGAAACTAATCCACGTAGTGAACTATACGAATCCAAGATTGCGGTGGTTGACCTAAAAACGAAAACCATCGTCAAGACGATTGACTTTCCAGGACTTTCTGGGGATGCAGACTATCACGCAAGCGGTGTCCTAATTCAGGGCAAAGACCGACTGATATCTTCGATCAACACTGGTGCAGCATTTGAAACCTCTGGCGGGAATATTACCGGAACCAACTACCTCCTCATTACTGACTTGGAGACTGGCGAGGAGAAGGCGCGGGTTAACGTTACTGATGTGACAAATGGGACCTACGGAGGGCCGCAGGACTTTGCGACCGATACTTGCGGCAATATTTATCAAGTTTTTACCTACCCAGGGGCCATCATCAAGGTGACGCCCAGTTTGAAGGTCATTCCTTGGTATTTGAGCAAAGAAACCAACTCTACAAAGGCGGGTTTTACCGGCATTGCATCCAGAGGCAACATGTTGCTCACGAGTAACGAGCAACAGGGTGGCAAGATAATACGCTTCGATGCTCATAACAAAACGGGCGATCCTTTTGAAGTTCCTATTGCAAACAACGGGATGCTTGGCAGATTCCTCGACGGCATCTTGTTGCCTGCCAAGTATAACGGCACCGTTCTCCTGGTGACTTCTAGTCAGAATGGAACTACTGTGGTCGAATCAAAGGATGGTGAATGGAACTCGGCTGAGATACTGGGAATCGTACCCAACCCTTACTGGGAGAATGAACAAGGGTTTTCTACGCAAACTTTTGATCGGGAAGACCGTATTTATCAAATGTTTGAATGGTTTTTGGATTCGAGGGCGCCTGCCAATCTGAATGGTCTGTCTGGCAACCGAACCGTATTCCCTTTCCAGGACATCACGGATGCTGTTGACAAGCTCGTCAGTAAGGGAGCCAGTGAGGCACTGCAAGCATGCTAAAGGCGAGATGGTCCAAGTTTGGCAATAGCCCACCTAAATTCTTTTTTCATGCTCAGAGTAAATCCAATCAGACAGAGATCAGTGTTAGATGAGAATAAAGTACTTGAATGAATTCGTATAGAAGGAGCGCTGCAGAACCGTCTGAAAATGCAATTCCTTTTTCTGACTCTCTTCCTCATATGTCTTTGCAGCTCTGATGACATGGTCCATGAACCTCTGGACAAAGCCCTGGAGGCGGCACTACATCACGCCGTGTGACAAGGGCTTCAAATGATGGCTTGTGAATAGCTTCAATACAATCTCATAGGTGTTTTGGGGTTCAAAAGGTCTTTGGAGAAGTGAATCCAGAACCCTGATGTGGATGCCGTATATATACATAAAAATCTAAGCGTGCGCGAAGGATAATAATGTTACACGGAAAAGGCCCAACAGATCGTGAAGCCCAACAAAGGGGCTTCACCGATGAGGAACCTGTTAGTTACACAGCTAGAACACGTGCCTGGGTAAGAGCCCTAGGCCCGGGCGTTCCTTTTATGTATGGAAAGTCCAGATGGACGTTGGCCATCGGATATTCTCGTATGCATCGTTACATTGCTATCAGGCTCGGAGGCATCCCCGTTGAAAGCGCCTTGGGGATGGATGCAAGGTGTGAGATTGCGAGTACATAATGGTGAGGGAAGTATTGTCAGGGATGGCATTAATGTTTTAGGTAATCGAAACGTTTATTACTAGACGAAGAGTTCAAGGGACCTCCACAACAAATACATTTCCGGATCCACGCCGTGGATTCCGCGCGTGCTTCCCCCGCATACTCGCGTCTCCGTGCAGCCCGGCCTTCCGCGTTGCCGCAACCTTGCTTATGGCCGACGAGTGATGGACTCTGCATCAATCTACATAATGGGTCGAAAATTGTCAAAATGATTAGCCTACCCGTTGGCGTCGTCCTTGGTTCTTTTTACACAGTACAGCTGAATGCGGATGCGGCTAATTCTCTAGTCATCTATTAAACTAATCTCATAAGCTTTGCCGCCTTTTCAGGGTACAGTACTGCGTCAAAGATGTTATAGAGGGCACATGCACGTAACATCGGTTCTAGCCGGGCATGCAGCTTCTATGCACGCCGAGAAACCTGTCGACTTTGTTTTAAACGCGGCCCACAACGAGTCAAGGATAATCATGTAGGGAAATGATTGACATTATCGGGCCCAAAAAGCAAACAGCATTAATAAGGATATGTAAAATAACTACCAATCTATTCGTTAGACTCAAGATCCATGCTCCTAATATCGGGACTTTGGCGTGCCCCGAACCCGAAGCACCGTGAGTCTTGCATAGAATGCAAGCTTGCGCGGTCCCTCACAGACTGTTACATGGTTGACACGTTGCCATGAAGGCACGGGCCAAACCTTGATCCCGACGATAGTTACATAAGGGCTCTGATCACGAGACCTAGGGCACAGTCCCTCACCGTTTCTTGATATAAATAGAGGTCTTCTGCCCTCAGGGCTTCAAGAAAAACTAAGGCCCTTTGATATCGAAGCGAAGTATTAGATGAACACGAAAAGTTGTTCCAAGCCCCTAATACTAACCCCTTGTCACACAGACTGTGACTCTCTATATTTTTCATCAAGCTGCTTGTAATCAAAAAAGACCACCAGCATCAGCAACCGCTTTTTAGCGTTATTCGACATGGAATATTCACCATGGACTGAGATCTGGCATTCATATGAAGCTACAGGGAAATCTTTGGCCTTCGCCATCACGGCCGCACTTTTTCTTGTCTTTTGCTATACTTGGCAAGGCCCTTGTTCTAATATCCCACTCGCCAATCCGAAAAAGGGGATATATCTCTCGGGACAGAGAGCAAAAAAAGAATTCGTCTCTCAGGCTAATAAGCTTGTTTGTGAATGGTTCAAAACTAATCCAAACAAGCCCATTCGCCTTATTGGAGATGTAAAGGAGGTCACTGTGCTGCCTCCGAGCTTGGCTCAAGAGATCAGAAACGACAAGCGCCTAAGCTTTAATCAGTGGACTTTCAAGGTACCGTCAACTTCATTTTGGTTACCTGCTCCACAATTGACGCTCTATAGGCATTCCATGGTCACTTGCCTGGTTTTGAGGCCTTTGCCGCGGGTACAGGAGGTTCGAATCTAGTCCAGACAGTCGTCACTAAAGATCTGACCAAGTTTCTGAGTACGTGCAGCTTTCTTTAGTTGAAACCGCTGTACAGTGACTTGGCTTTCTAAATTCATCCCCGGTAGACAAGATCACCGAGCCGCTTGCAGAAGAGACAGCCATGGCCTTGGAGGAACTACTTACCAACAAAACAGGTAAAGCTCCATCCTTGCTTATAGTAAGGTGGTGTACGCTAAAGACAGCATAGAATGGCATACCATTGCTATGCGAGACGTGGTTCTGCAACTGGTTGCTCGCATCTCTTCACGTGTATTTCTCGGCACCGAGCTTTGTCGCAACGAGACTTGGCTTCGAGTAACGCGCGATTATACGGTGACGGGGTTCTTGGCGGGCGAGGAACTCCGCCTGTGGCCGGAATTCACACGCCCCCTTGTACACTGGTTCTTGCCGAGTTGTCGCAAACTGAGGAGGGAAGTCAACGAAGCTCGTTGCGCTATCCAATCCACCCTTGCTCGCCGACAACAACTCAAGCAAGATCTTGTCGCTGCTGGCAAGGACGTGCCAGAGTACGACGATGCAATCGAATGGTTTGAGAAGGCAGCCAAGGGCGCACCGTGCGACATGACGGCTCTACAGCTCAGCCTATCTCTCGCAGCAATTCATACAACTACCGATCTTCTTACCCAGGTCCTGACACGGATCTCACAAAACTTGGATATTCTGGGTCCCCTCCGTGAAGAGATAACGTCGGTTCTTGCCGATGAGGGCTGGAGCAAAACATCATTACATAAGATGAAGTTGCTCGATAGTGTTATTAAAGAAAGCCAGCGGATGAAACCTGGCGAGATTGGTAAGTTGACCACACGTATGGGTGAGAATTTTCTCTAATGGCGGCCTCGTAATTAGTGTCCATGATGCGCCTTGCAGTGGAAGATGTGCAGCTCTCCGACGGCACCTTTATCCCCAAGAATACCGGTGTGGCCGTATCCTCTCACAGGATGTGGGATCCTGACCTTCACCACGACCCCAATCACTGGGACGGTTTCCGGTTTTACAAAATGCGCGACGACCCTGGAAAGCAGAATGTCTCCCAGCTCGTGTTTGCGAGCCCGGACTATCTCGCGTTTGGCTATGGCCAGAACGCTTGCCCGGGGCGCTTCTTTGCGTCAAACGAGATCAAGATTGCCCTGGCTCAGATTATTACAAAGTATGACTTTGAGTTGCAAGAGGGCTCTGTGCCGCAGATACATAAGCATGGATTTGGTTTGCGCGGTGATCCGTTGTTGAAACTGCGTGTTAGACGACTTGCGAAAGGAATCTAGTGATGGGACGTTGGGAATAAAAAGTATAGCCACAGTTTGTATGCGGAGAGAATATTATGGGTTGACCCTTGCTGCTCCTGCATTTAGACATCACTGAAAGTAATAATAAATTGATCCGGTTCTTGTAAAAGCTTTACCGACGTTGGTTTCTAGCACACCGTAACTCGGGGCTATTACCTACCAATTTCCTAACCATGGCCTCAAACATCTTTAGGTGTCAGGTAATTCCACCGTTTGTTGAGGCCAAACGGCTGAGTAATATCGGAGAACTTATGAAGAGACTTTGAGGTGAAGATGCCGCGATATAATTTACCTAGGTCCGAGATGACGATCGGGAGCCGCTGATTCGAGTTTGTTATCAGTGGCATAGCTATAGGACAGACTATCGAAAGTAGGAACTGCCTGAAGGTTTATAAAACAAAACCTTAATGAATAATACGTCTTATGACGTGACACCAGCCCTTTCTGGGATTGCAAAAGACCTGAGGGAGCTGGTACTATGTCGAAAGAGCCTCTGCATGGGCAAATACGGGTATTGCCGCCCCCACGGATGACAAGGTCAGAGTATGACCATGGTTAAAGTATGGTCTGGTGGCGTCTGGTTGGAGGACCGGGGAACGAAAACGATGGCGAGGCGAGAAGGTGTCTGCCGTTTGCGACATGGACCTTTACAGCCTACATGTGCAGACATCGCGACAAGACGTTTGGTTCCTCAGGGTCAATATTACATTGTAACCGAGACCAGACGATTCTCGGGCTCCACGGGCTCTCCGCCACTCTCCGAGTCCGATTCCTCCTCTGACACACCAAGAGCGCGTGCGTCTGAGACAAGAATCTGTCAATACCATTGGCTCCAGCCACATAGTCAAGCCCGTTATTTCTTTAACAGAACGCCAGAGGCAATCCATGACCATTCGCAAAATATGATTTCTTGAATTGGGGTGGGTGGCATGTATATTGTGTCCATGTTTCAACCTTGCATCCAATCCAATTCACATACCAGACCCGTGCAGCAACTTCCACCCGTGCTGCAATCCTGTCACCCACCACTATGGACCACTTGAAGTGTACACGCGCTTTTAGATAACTGTGGCTGATTTTATTGGCCTGCGTTCTGGAAAGCAAAAGGCACGGGAAAGCGTAAGCCACCAGAAGCAGAGTCGACATCTCTTCACGGTGGCTGGCTTACAATGCGGTGGTTGGGTACAAACATCAACACATGCAGAGCCCTCCTCCCCTGGTTCTAGCTGTGGGCAGTTATTTCTCGTCAAGAATATCATGGCAAAATGGTTTGCGCGTCCGCTTTCTCGTCGATCGCGTCTTGGTTCCATGTGTGCATGCACCACGCTCCATCACAGATAGCTTCATTTGTCTCATTTGATTCCCAAGGGAACCATTATTTCATGTATTAAAATATGTACGCAGCGGCATACGAGACGAACTAAACTTTCCTAGTAGTCTCCAGGGTCTGCACAATTCTTTCCCAGTGAGCGTCATCCGTGGTTGCATTTAACCAGTAATTCCCCTCGTGGTCCTTGCCAACAGTAACCATGACTTCGAAGCGAACAGGGCTATTAAAGGTACACTGGACATAGGAGGGAAACCCCGGCCTAGCGGATGATGCGCCCCTTTCGCCCGTGGAGGCGTTTTCGAGCACAGCTCCAGTAAAGTCGACGTCGAACAGCTTCGCGTTGGTCCAGCTGGACCCCCTGAGGACCGCCATTCTGGCATTCCCAAACATGGGTTTCGTCAGGGTGCCTTGCTTCTCCCTCACCAGAGCAGAGAATGCCTCGACTTGTGGACGAGTGCGAGATTCCGTGATGCACTGGCGCAGTCGCGAAGCCGTGTAGCTCAGGGGGCGGGTGACGACTTCTTCCGCAGACAGCAGGAGGGTGGACATGGCTACCGCGTTGGACAAGTACGGCTTGGACGGGGGCAGGAGGTCGTTTTCAAGAGTTCGGCGAAGTCCCAGGGCATTGTAGAGGTTGACTGTGCCGCACGGATTCTTCTTGGTCGCCGTGTGCAGTCGAGCCCACCAAGCCGTGATGAGGTTGTCGTCGCTCAGAAACGGCCTTTGCTCATCCGACGCGGTCTCGCTCTCTGCTTCTTGGCGAATCTCGCGCAAGAAGGCCGATGGGAGGCACAGGACACGGCTTCGATACCTCTTGAAGACGGCGTTGTAGAGGGCTCGAATGGTGAATACCACCATCTGAAGCCTGGACAGCCTGAGCTTCTCGAGCAGATAGGATTCTGTGGGGTGTAGCCCAAGATCGGCCAAGGGATCCTCGCTTGCATCATGTGGCGTGCCGACTTGATTCAAATTTCCATTGACAATGGACGACCAGGCTCGGAGCAGCTCTGCCATGCCGGGCGTGTCGAACAAGGTATGGAACCAGCGCAGAACGACGAGGGTCGCGTCGCGGAATGACACGACGACGAGTCCGAGCTGGGGCACGTCGCTTTGCAGGTATTCGGAAAACTTGGTAGGAAGACTTGGGTGCGCCCATAAAGACCTAAAGGCCGTGACATCTGCGACTATCTGGGGTCCATGAGATGCCCTCAGTTTCTGCATCTGAGACGCAACTGTGTGTTCGGCCATAAGCATGTCATGCCGAATGTGGCAAAACTGAACCGCTCGACGATCCTCGGTGAAGGTTGCCGGGATATGATAGTACAAGCGACCCTTTCTCTGCCGTTGAGTCGTGGGGTCAGCTCGAGTCCAGCGAAGCCTAAACGCGGATATTGGTTGGAGGAGCTCTCACGTCATATCTGAACCTGGCACCGATCTTGTCCCAGCCCTTGAGGGTAGCAAGAGTTTCGAGGCCATCTCGCAACTTGAAAGGATCGAGAACGTCGTTGAAGAGCAACGTCGTGAACATGCCGGTTCGCCCACCGTGCGGAAGGTCGTCGAGCCGTCGAAGTGGAATCACCCTGTCTGTCGATATTGTTGGCGCTTGGCCGCGTGTAGGATCAAAGAGACTGAACATGGCGGCGGACGTGTAAGAGCTAGCCTTTGGACAGTCTGCTGCGGGATTACCCACGATACGTAGTATTCGCAGGACAACATTTAACGGGCTGTGGCATCTTTTAATGCGACAACTACGACATGTGTGAGAGGCGGCTGACCTAGGGAAGCGGCCCGGCCTCGTCGTAGGTCGACATTGAAGTAATGCATTCCTATTGCCAGGGGGTATAAGGTGCCGTTGGCCACGCAGCACAACCCAAAGCGCATGGCCAATACTACAAAACACGCTCAGGACCATGAGGCAGGCATGAGAGTTTAGCAAGACGCGTGATCTACGTACCAAGTACGGATATATACTTGAGAGTTTGGCATGTGTAAACAGTGAACACCATAAGAGGTATGCAGCATCCGAGACCCCCCCTAGACCATATTTTGCCGTGGCTTGGTGCACTGAGACATGCCAAACCTTGTGCCTTGCTACTACATAATGTTGGACGTATGGCGCACATTTAGGTCCTAGTTATCTACAGAGGTACTACTGCATGTTACATACTCTATGATTCTACGTACTTTCCACGGTTTAGGTTTTGCTGAAATGCACCAAGTAGATACGCGAGGAATACTCCACACTCCGTAAACCACATCAATCGGGTTGAACATGTCTCAGCCTCTCAGCCAGGTTGGGCAATTCCACCTAGGTACATTTCGCACTCGGGACGTTGCACTTGGTACTTTGCATAAAGTTCTCTTTACATGCCTAGGTACCGAACAGCCATGCTGCATCTCACTCTTGTAGTTGGACTGACGGTCCGTGGCTGCTCTCGACTGGGTCTGCTCCAGCCCCTGATCAGAAAATCGCCGAGATCAACACGTACGCCTAGTCGGACCCAGGTGAAACAAAATGACTGTCGAGTCTCTATCATAGTGGTATCGTCAACCCGACCCCTCCCTCCCGTTGATATCTGAAAATCCAACGACACATTTCGAACATGGGGGCAAGATGGGTGTCGTTAGCACAAACTAGCTGGGCTACTACTGTCAGATAAAACTGCCTCTATTGATAGAACAAGCAAACTTGGTGTGGTTTGCATCCGTTATTACGTCGGTTATAGTGACTTAACGTGGCCGAGATATGATTCGTATGAAAGCAAGTATGTCATAGTCATACAGCATAATTATATACTACCGTATAGATAAAAAAACTCTTCATTTCCCATCTAGAAGAGCGGCATGATATAAAATTTAATACTTGAAAATATTTTTTATTCAGCAGTACTATTACAATTTCCTTTCACCACTCACCACCAGCAAGTAGTCACTAGGCAGGATCGCAGGAATGCTTTGTGTGTTCTTCTCAGAAGCAGCATGATCCTTGAATGAATGCGGGACCTGATCTTGAAAAAGCTTCACCATTACAAAGATATCTGCCGCTCGCACACTTCATCTGCAGCACAAAGAACAACAAGAAGATGACTTTATAAGAAGCTTAGTTTACGGTGTCTTATAACCCGACACATACTACTACCGCGTACACACTCGTACGCACGCCCGTGCCCGGCGACTGCATTGCTCCGAGATGGATGTCTTCATGGTAAACTCCAACTCATGCCAGCAGTCTGTCCACACTTAGCAGCGACGCATTGCCCCTTCTTCTTGCAGGGTCCTCGGCGGGCTCTTTCCATCCAACATGTGTCCTTGCAACAGGCGACTCGCATGCCGAATAACGTCCTTGACGGAGACGTTATACCCGCGATACTGGTAGTACTCGCTCAGTAGCTTGGCGCTGACAATGTCAGCATCGTCAGCGAATATGGAACCTTTGTCTCCCAGGCCAACTGCCAGCCCTAGTTCCTTCCACCCCTGAATCACGACATCTCTGGCGCCTTGTGAAGGACATCGTGCCGGGGCGTATTGTGCCTCGCCCACGCTCAATGGCGACGACCCCGTTGCCGCGGGCCACGTGCCCGTACTCTGCTGGACAATGTCTTGTATCTGGCCTTGGGTCTTCTAGATGCCAGCAAGGATGGCTTGCATCACCGTTTCCAGAGTCTGGCGGATCCAATTCATCTGGTTTGCGGGGATCGTGTCCGAGTCGTGATAAAGTTGAATCTGTAGCTCCTCGCCGCGAGGAATAGCTGCCATCATTACGTCGGCAGCGTGTGCGGCACCAACCTCGATCGAGAAGAGCCCTTGGCCTTGCCGATGGGGACGGATGCGTCCACAGATCTGTGACTCTGGTATGAAATACAGGTGCTTACCGGCGTCCAGCTGGGCCATGTGGTGCAGTCCCTGACGATGGATCGCAGGCCCAAGTGATGGTACTGCATGCCCTCTGTCTCTTGGTGCTGAAGCTGTGCAATCAACGAGGCCAAGGTGGCTTCACGACGGGTGACGGGTGATGGCTCTGACTGGGACGAAGTTGATGCAGGGTCCGCAGACCTGATCGATGCCCGGCATGGTCAGGTAGCGATTGGCGCTGATTTCACCAAACAAGACGTCGCTTGTGTCGAGGGCCGCCGGGAGGACAAGCGCCCAGGCCGCCTTGAGCGTGGTTGAAGGTGTCCCGAGTGAGTTTTGCAGGTTGCGTAGGGGCACGCTGAGCCTGGAGCAATCTCTGAGATGATACCCCTGGGCAGGCATGATTCGGGGGGTGGTCAGATGCATCATCGAGCAGCCTCGCAGCATCTCTATCCAGAACTGCCGCGGCGCCGTGCCATCGAGTGCTTCCAGGTGTGATATCCGAGGGTTGTAGCGAGGGCCGCCTCGGCGCAGTTGGCCGTTGTTGTATGCCGCATCGAGGCCTGGAAGCAGCAAGTCAAACGACGCGGCATCGTACAGCGCAAGGTGAATGTTAAGACGAATACTGTTGCAAAGCTCTTCTCGGCTGAATAAGTAAAATCGGGCCAGATTGCTGCCTTTGCCGAAGAAGGCGGGTGTGGCAGGCGAGCCGCCTCCTTCTATCGTAATCGTCTCCGAGGTTGGCGTCTTGAACACCACTTGGTAGAGCATGTGTCTATGCTGGACAAAGGCGGTGCGCAATATGGCATGATGCTGAATCACCTGCCCGCAGACTGACCGAAGCTTGGCCGCATCAAGAGCAGGAGTCGAGTCGAGTGTGAAGCTGGTGTGGTAACCCGTCTCGCCCTCGACGCCGGGAGGGCCAATGATCAGGAACAAGGCTTGTGTATCAGTTGCTGGTGCGATGCTCTCGATGTTTTCATGTTTGAACTGGGGATTCGATAGGCTGAGTCGCGAGAGCCGGTCATGGAGACCACCAAGACTGGTATCCCGCGGTATCCTTGTCGCAACCGGCGCGGCCTCATCTCCCTCGATATTTGCTAATAGAGCGGCTTCAACAGCCGACTGGAGAGTCTGGTTCCGCAGCAGCCAAGAGGTGGCTATGGGGATGCCACTCCGAGCCAGTAGATGGGACGCCTGCATAGCCATGATCGAGTCCCCCCCCCAGCCGCGTAAACGAGCTCTCCCTGCCAATACTTGTCTCCTGAATGTCCAGTACTGATGCCCAGACGTACTGGACCAGCTTTTCCTCGACCGTGACAGGCGGATTCAGCTCCCTATCTGCTTGCTCTTCCATGGCGGCCTTGGCCATCGAGACATCCTTGGCCTTGAACCAGTTGTCCATGCAATGCCGGTCTACTTTTCCCGAGACTGACTGTGCCACCTTTTCAACCGCGAGCCAGATGCTCGGAACCATGTGGGAAGGGAGCCTAAGCCGCACGAATTCCCGAATAGACTGGAGATGTCGGGCCACGACTCGAGTATAGGCTGAGGGCAGATGCCGCAGCCCATCACCGCGCGGGAGCTGGGCGTCAGCCAAGGAAATCACCGCGACGAGCTCGTTGCGGCCCCGATGAATCTTTGTCGATAAAGACATGTCTCTGACCTCGGGGCTGCTGCTGATGACGTTCTCGGCATCGCCTAGCTCAAATCTCTGGCCGCGAATCTTCACCTGGCTGTCCTTCCTGCCCAGGTAGCTGATGGTACCATCGGGGTTATACCGGCCCAAGTCGCCAGTGCGATAAAACCGTGCAGCCTTGGTATTATCCCCCCACGCGGCAGGCTCCGGCTCCAGCGCGGAGGAGGTATGAACGAGGCCTTGGTCTTGACGGCGTTATTCAAATAGCCGCGGGCCACGCCGGGACCCTCGACTATGAGCTCTCCGGTGGCTCGACGTTACAGCCATCAACCGGACCAACAGGAAAAATGCCCACGTCCTAACAGACCTACCCGCGTACTCGTAGGACAGGTCAACACGATATGTGAATGAAGGGCGAGCGGTCCAACAGAGGCTGCATCCCGGTCTGCCATATGACCCGCTCATCGGTTGGAAGAATCCTTCTTCTGAGGGCAATGACGCGAGTTTCAGACAGGTCTTTACCCTCGACCGAATGCCTTGGATCCGGGACCACAAAGTCGGAGGTGAAGTCATCATGCCCATGACGGGGTTCATGTCAATGGCGATAGAGGCTGCGAGGAGACTCAGCCCTACTGTCCCAGAAAGCATCGTCGTCTCTGAGTTCTACGTTACGCGCAGTCTGGGGATTGGCGAGGATGAGCACATTGACGTGACAGTAAAACTGCGACCTGTCGTCACTGGAATAGATGGTATATCCTCATCCATTTGGAGATTTGACATCATGTCCTGGAGGAAAGAGGATGGATGAGTTGACCACTGCCACGGCCTGGTTGAGGCGCAAGTGGAGGATATGGACTTGGAGAGTCGGACGATGAAGACGGCGGTGCCGCTTGTCCACAGCCACGACATGAAGGAGAGCAGTCTATTCGACGAGATTTACGCCTCCGGAGCCCGTGAAGGTACCATCTACGGGCCTGCATTTAAATCCACCATTCGATACTGGGAGGCTCCCAGCTGGACGGTCATGGAGAGCAAACTGCGAGAGCTGGACACGGCTCGATCTTTCCCGCCCTCTGGCTCACTGTTCTCGGCCGACCCGCCGACGCTGGACGGATTCCTTCAAGGATTCCTCCCCCTACAATATGCGGGCAGGAAATGGTGTGCCCTGATGTCCACCTATGTTGGTAAGCTGCGAGTTTCTAACCATATCCCCTTGGACCACGACAAAGTCCGCCTCTTTGTCGTTTCAAGACTCATGAGCCACGACGGCAAAACGGAAACACTAAAGATCACCGTTGCAGCCTTTGCCCAGCTTCCTCATTAGCTGCTGCCTATTGCCGAGTGGGAATCAGTAACGTTTCGGTCCATCTCTTCGGCACACGCCAGCGATGCCTTGTCTCGTCTCCCCGCCTCCTTCTACCACGACTTGCTGTCTGCTCTCGACTTTGCCAGCCACGCAGATTGGCCCAAGTTCATCACTGCCGCGCCCGCCGATGGGGACGGGCTTCGCAAGCGTGTGCAGCACGAACGAGTTGCCCTCGAGTACATGAAGAGGGCCGTGGACAGGAGCTCTAACCTGGACTACTCGGACCTGCCTGAGCATCTCTCCAAATTCATGTCTTGGGGCAAGCGCTGCGTTGCAAGGGAAGAGCATAGACTGATGAAGGAGCCGCTGCCCGACCTTTCCCGAATAGCCAAGGCCGATGCTGGCGGCGAGTCGCTCTACTTCCGCTGGACTGATGCCCTCGTTCGACCCCTAGGCGACGGCGAGGTGCTGGTCAAGGTCGAAGCCACGGGCCTCAACTCGCGCGACCTCTAACTCGTCTTAGGCGCCGTGCCCTAGGCGCCCCCCGGCCTCGAGGGAGTAGGCGTCGTCTCCAAGGTCGGGTCTGGCGTCGGCAGTCTCGGGCCGGGAGACCGCGTCTACTACGGCCTCCACGGGGGCTGCTTGGCCACGCACGTCCGGATACCGGCGTGGCAGGCGAACAAGGTCCCGGACGGCTGGAGCAACGCCGACGCCGCCAGCATCTCCATTGCCTACCAAGTAGCATACCTGGCTCTCTGCCACCACGCGCGGCCTCCCAGCCACCTCGATTGCCTTGCCCGTCGTCCTGGACGTGGGCTACGTGGCGGACCGCAACCGAACCGAGGAGTTGAAGGAGAGTCTGGGGTCCTGCCTCCCGCGGCCGCATCTTGAGGTGCTCACGCGAGGCGCCATCATCGGGTCCTCGTCGGGCCTAAATATCTAAGGTAAGGCCATGTCCTTCCTCCTCGAGACGGGGGCCGGGACGGACGGCATGACCTGATAATACGACAACGTGAGAGACTTGCATCGCCCAGACCAAGCAGGCCGGACGAGCGGCGGGCAGCGATACCCATGGCAAAAGACGGTCGCAGGGGCTTGGCGCGCTGATGGACAAGGTTTCGTCCATCACCATAATTGACCGGGACGAGGTCGAGGCGGACGCGCCGCTGGCCAACTACAGCTTAGACTCGCTTGTGTCTGTTAAGCTACACAACTAGATACGCAGGGAGACAGGGGTTAATCTTCCGCTTGTTAAGCTTCAATGTTATAAAGTCCGCAAAACTAAGGGCCGTAGCTGTATATATTATTACCGTTGCCAAGACGGGGGCGTGATGCATGACACAAATAATTCATATCTCCCTAGCTCATATATAAGGGGGGGAGCTAAAGGAAGAAGGACAGAATTATAAGGGGAAATGGATTAAGCTTTCTGCTTGCTAGCAGAGTAGGCGGGTACTTGCTTTTTTCACGGGTGATCGGCTTATAGGAGTCATTTTATTATTATTATTTTACTGGACGCCTATGTGTGTATGAATTTATTTAATTTATTTATTTGTCTAATCCGCCCAATAACCTAAGACAAGAGGGCAAATCTACGTAATTACATAACCTTTGTTAAGCATTAATTATGTTAATGCTAGTCAACTAACTTTTTACATTGCTTTTATTCCTGAGCGGCGAGACCAAGGTTGACTATATTGGGTCCTATATCAACTGAAGTCTATGTAAGAGGCTATTTATATTAAACTCCTGACTTTGCGCGGTGATTTGTTGTTGAGCCGATTTCAGCTTCGGGAGAACACAGAGTTACATGATCTGGCTACAAAAACAGCGCAAGGGATCTTCAATGTTTGTTAGGCTGATAGCTCGATAGAGCCAAATTACTTCTGAACGGTCTGGTTCGGTTGGTCAAGGCGAAATATAACGCATCGTTCACCTTGCTAGAATTCCTGGTATATACACCACTTCAAGCCACATTTCTGCGCCACTCGAAGCCACAAAAGTCACGTTTTCTACGTAATTATTACGCGTGTCGGAATTGATGTTTATCCGGCGCTCCCCCCGTTCTACTCCGTACTCTTCAGTCACCATTTCGCAAAACCATCGCAGTTATTTGAGAATGATGCAATTTATTCCATTCCCCTTCCTAAAGAGGCTATGGAAATTACTGTCAGCCCTTGTGACGTGGATATCATATGGGATGTCACCCCCGAATCGAACCCACAACCAAGCGTTACCAGAAGCAGAGCAGACGAGATCAAAAACTGTACCCCTACGAGTCCATCCGATAATAATACCTCACCAACCTTCCCACTTACAGAAGAGCAAATAAAGAGTTCCATTCAGAAGTTTATTGATAGCGTAGATAAGACTGCTGTTTGTGAGTTGGTGTCGAGGCATAATAGCGGAAAGCGTTGCCAAGTTATCAATCAGCAAAACGGTAGCTTCAATCTGTGCTTTTTCGTTCAGTTTCATAGTGATACATCTGATAATACAACATGGGTCTTGAGGATACCAATCAGTCCAGCTGTTTGCAATGCCTGGGATAAGCTTGTAAGTGAGGTAACAACAATGCGGTAAGCTTTCAAATGTTTCGTTTTCCATTGCTAGCTAAATGAAAAGCAGCTAAAAATGTGTCTAGGTATATTAAACAACATACCTCAATTCCGATGCCCACTGTCTATGCATACGGGAGAGACAGCGCATTAATACAGGGCAATTCAATTCCTTTCATCCTTATGGAATTTATACAAGGGCAACAACTTGATATACGGACAGTTTTGCACGCTACACCACATCAACGAAGAAATTTGTATGTTGATATAATCAACACCCTAGCTCAATTACGCCAGCTTGAGTTCCCGTCCGCAGGCTCATTACTACCGAACCCAAACAAGACGTTTGACCCTACGGCTGGTCCCACTCTTGATTCTACAGTCGATGCTACCCTTGGCTCATTCCTTTCTATGACGGCCAACGAGTTTATACGAAACGGTGGAAAGCCAATAGAAGCCGAAGTATTTACATCCTCAAGACGCTTTATCGAATATCATGGTCATATCCTATCACAAAGGTATAAATTACCGGTTGAATGCCTTAGCCACAGACAAGCCAAAATGGAGTTATTTGCCCTTGACAGTCTATTCAAAGATATTCCCAAGCGCATAAACTTTCAGAACCTTAACGAAAAATATGTGCTGGCCCACCCAGATCTAAGATGTGGTAATATTATCGTTACTAGCGACCTGCATATTCTTGGTATTATTGATTGGGAGTTTACTAGCGCGATTCCTCTGCAATTATTCACACCACCGTCATGGATTATGGGTCATGATCCTAGTACCTTGCGCATTATCACAGGTATTCACCGTGGCAATATTTTCCCAGAATTCTGTGGTGTTCTCAAGGACATGTGTCACACCTCTATTGCCTGCACGCAGCTATGGCACGACTGGGGCCTTGAAGATGAACGACCCCAGCAAGACTACACGTACGATATTAAGCAAGTTTCTCCACTGATGCAAATACTTCGCCAGCCGGGCAGTCTCATAGAGGTATACTACTCCTCTATCTTTCCAAAGCTATTTGGACCGGAGGCGTGCAAAGACACAGTGAGGAGTGAATTCTTTGCCGACGATAAGAATCGGGAGCTTTTGGAGCAGGTAGAGGTTCAAATGAAGAATTCTGAACGATATACTGATCATCTCAGGAAACATAATCTGCTTGTTGAGGATGAACGGATTCAACTGATACAAGAATTCCTTGAAAAGACAAAGTTCCTAGTTAAAGGCGACTAGACATGATATTGATAGTCCTTAAGCAGCCACTCAATAAGTTTTTTTCGTCAACTCTCGTTCCTTTTCCTGTAACTCTGCCAACTTGTACCACAGCCTCCCAATTACTTCGCCTTTGTCAGCAATTTCCTTGTGCAGAGCAGTGACCCTTGCATCTATGCTAGTTCGTCAACAGGAGTTCGTCTATTGGGAGCTGTCATGTTCTTATCCAATACAGAGATGTACGGAGTAGTGTGGCGCCCAACGTCTGTGTCAGCCCGTGAGTCGTGACCTCCCCAGAATCCAGATGGTCGAAGTAGGAATATCTCTATTGCCACGCAGAGCCTCGTTGACGGACTTTGACTCTTTGTACTGTTGGCGATCGTACGGGCAGAGTCGAATACTGACACAACAGTAAAGAGAACGTGCGCTATTGCTAAGCAAAATTGCTACAGCTCCCTGCGATATTTCTGAGAAACGGCCGGGAAACAGGGACACGAGATGCGCCGACTATACCTTCAAGGCTCGAGGTTCGGCCACTGCATGTCTTTTATCATCCCCTATGCTGCCTATGCTGCATATCGCAACGCTGCTTCAACTTCACAACTCTCTGCCGCACGCCCAGCCCTTTGGGACAATCACAATCACTGTTGACAGAGACGGCCACAGCTATCAAGCTTCCCTTGAATTGGAAACCACCATTACTGATAAAACCATGTCCTCACAGTCGTTCTGCAATATCTGTGCTGGGCTAGACTTCTCTCGCCTCCTCTCAGAACAGGTCGAAGGCCCAGTTGCCGTAAAAGCCCTTGAGCGAACTGGCATTGGGCGGCGCTCCGGGATCCAGAACAGAGTAGATCAAGGATACCCACTTTGTAAGCTCTTCTCTGATGCCCCTAGAACTGCCTGGGATGTGTACCCCTGGGAAATGCCGGGATGGGACGAGGCGTACATGAAGCAAGCTGAGGCGACGATTATCCTGGGGCATAACAGTTTTGAAGTGCATTTCGAGGAGCCAGCTGGCGAAAAACACGTCGTCGGACGCACCAAACTTGACATCCACCGGCTGGACTCGGAGGACTCCTGCTTCCGAATACTACGTCCAATGGCGGATCTGCGAACGGTCAATTCATGGCTGAAAACCTGCCTAGAAAGTCATCAACTATGCTGCAAGGAAAGATAGCTTGACAGGTTCATGCTGGGAATAGTTTCCCGAGCGAGAGCTTGGCTCCGTGACGTGGTTGGCTGGGCGAAGCCGCCTCCATTCAATCCGTGCTTTCGTCTCATCAACACCAAGGCCCGCAAAATAGAGGACATGGAACCATCTGTTGCCGTGGGCTACGCGGCCTTGGGCTACACCTGGGGCAAGGTAATTCCGGAAAGACCCAAGTTTCAAAAGCAAAGGGCGGCGAACAACGGCAACACGGGCATTCCACTCCCCAAAAAGCTACCAGGAACCATTGCAGCTGCTATTAAGCTGGCGTCTGACATTGGCATTGAGTATTTGTGGGTCGATTCTATTTGCATTGATCAGGAAGATGGTTTTGAGAAGCAGGTACAGCTAGCGAACATGGCTGAGATATACGGCCGAGCCACGGTTTGCTTGGTTGTGGTAGCTGGAGATAATATGGACTTTGGTCTTCCAGGATTCAGCAATAGCCGGACTCGAGACGCCCAATCGCCTCTATATCTACGGGGCTACACTCTAGGACGGGGACTAGAACACCCTTCCAACAGTATTGAGAAGACGTATTGGAGCACGAGAGGCTGGACTTTTCAATAGGCTTTGCTATCAAAGCGGAATATCGTCATCACCTAGTCCGAAGTGTTCTACCAGTGCATTGAGTGCTCTCATCGAGAGGCGAATTTCAATCGGCCATGACTCCCCAATGTGCTCTCGTTCCCCGACGAGGTGGCAAGGACGCTCCCGCACATGCTACCAGATTTCCATGACGATTCTGTCTCGCTCTTTCACTTGTACCTCCAGTGTGTGGCAAAGTACACGTCCGGTAGTCTTGGTAGGGCAAGTGATGGGTTGAATCCTTCCAGGGCGTCCTTGGCCATCTGGAGCGCCACTCTGGAAGCAGGATGCTAATGGGGCTTCCAAAGATGCTACTGGCGTCGGCTTTGGTCTGCGATGTCAGGGACGATGGAACGTTGAGGCGCCGATATCGAACCCAAGAGCTGACGGAACTGAAATATCCCCGTCTCCTGTCCTGGACTTGGGCTGCTTGGGAAGGATGTATTGGCTGGGGCAGGCATACCGACTACAGCTGCATGCAGTGCCTGGAGAAGGAACAGCCGCTTAGCAATGTTTTGACTCTCCTGATGACTCAAGATGTCTTCAACATGGTGGAGTATCCGAGAATAGATGACCTGGTTCCGGGTCGCCCAGGGAAGGCGAACACGTGAAATTTCTTTATAGGCTTCCATGATTCTAGTCAGTGAACGAGACCTCTCATCCCGGCGATCTGATGTTGGATTGGGAATGTAGGTAAAAATCGGTGTTGTTAATATGAAGCGTTTGGCCTAGCATGCCCAAGATCTCGAATGAAACTAAGATAAAACACGTCAGGGCTGGCGCCACTTCCTGTCAAACTGAATTGGAGGGTGCTTACCTGGGACGAGGTGGGTAGTTTTGCTGTTTTCATCCATGATGCATTGGACAGTATTATTGTTACACCCGATGGTAGCGAGGGTGTCTGCTATCTCGCGCCTGCTAGCCAATTGTAGGGTACCAAGGCTTTCAAGGACGTTGCTATCCAGCCTTAACCGTCGCCGATCGAGTGTCTCGCGATAGATGGTCGGAGCGAAGCCGAAGCAGAATATTACCAGAAGAGCAGCAAGTGTGAATGTTACCTAAGCATAAAGATTGGCTTTGACATCAACGAGCCTCATCAGCGATGCCTCTGAAGCATCGCCGATGGACCAGAAGAATTGTTGGTACCGCTGCTATTTTAAACTCTGCCTAGAATAATACCACGCTACATTATTGTCCAGAGACACTGTTGCCAAACTTGGCTCTGAAAATGTGGCGAGTATCGCCCGAAAGCCTAAGCAGAAGGTTCAAATCTCCTTGGACCGCCACGACCGGCCACTAGGCGTGATGAATTTTAGTGTCTGGTTGTTTCAAATGTTTGTCGAGCTGCCGTTGAGCTCATAAACTAGCCACCAACAGCCCGCCCAGTTTTGATGTCAACACTTTGTTGCACTTTACTCCGAACAACATTCCACCCAAAGTCCAGTTCATGAATGAGAGCCCATGGCCCGGGCCCGCCGCCGGGCCATCGGGCATGCAATAGACACGGCGGGGTGCTGGAACCCATGATAGGTAGGTATCCCGAGATAGGGAGACGCCAGGTTTGTATTTGCTCCTCGTCACAACTCTTGAACTTGACCTGTCACTGGGTGTATCTAGGCGCACAAGCCATTGTTGCGGCTGAAGAACCATGTGGCAGCAAGTTGATGTGGCGTTCTGTCAGAAATGCATGTCCGCATCTCCCCCGCAGCATGATGCGGATTCAGCTACGTATTGGGATCCTCAGTCCGGACGAAACCAGGCAGCTCCGAGTTTGCGCCTGATAATCTGCCTCACGGCTTCATCGCCTCTCGATAATAAGCGACCAAGGCTAAGTGGGAATACAGTTCGGTTCAGTCCCGCCTTGGTAAACGTCGGCCGCGAGAGCATCTTACCCTCCAGGCCAGGGGCATACATTGGCCCCGACTCGCAAGTTAGTAGCTGTGGTCAAGTACATCAAGTTTGAATCCAGTGCCATGTATCAAAACGTCGTCATATACTACAATGATTCCGTTGACTCGGATAACCTGGCTGCTGCAATGGCGCTGATGCGGGCGATGGAGACGAGACCAAATACCCGTCTTCTCTGGATCGTGGAGCCTCGCCAGGTGTCCTTTGGCCTGAGTCCGACAAAGGAGCAACAAGACAAGTGCGAAGAAGTTGTAAAAAAACACTTTCCTACGCGCGGGAATCCTTGGAAAATTCTTTTTGGTGGTCTTCTGAGCGAGAGCGACCTCAACGGCATTGAGGAGCTTAGTACGCACGACCGAGAGTTGGCAAGTTTCCCACGGAACTCACAAATCACTTCCTGTACTAACACATCCAATCTTTAGCTCCAATTGGCGGTGAAGCCAAGCTACGGCCCGAAACAAGACGCCATACTACATAGGCGTCTCACGGCTTGGGATCAAGTGACCTGCATGGCAGGTTGGTCCAAAGCTTCGGTTGAGATATTAATGGACCTCGAGAGCCTCGACGAGATTGAGAATCCGGTCAATCTGAACTTTCACTACAAGGAAGAACTTGCAGCTCGCAGCGTAGACGAGCTCATGTCATACCAGGATATCATGAATGAGCCTTTTGCACAACGAGTCGAGAGCCTCAGAGGGTGGTACAGGAGATGCATAGAGCGGGCAGAGACGAGGCCAGAGAATCATGGGAGCTCGGTTCGCCCTCTCGACTTCAACTCGCTCCGCGATGCCATCCAGACGGCGGGCAGCGTCCGCTTTTTTGGAGGCGCATCGCTTACAATCCTCCAGCGATTCATTCAAAGAGGTGTTGCCAGTCATGTGCGGTGCCATCTTCAAGTGGTACGCAATCATAAACAGGACCTGATGCATGCATGACTAAAATTTCCCTAGGGGTCCTACGATCCATCTGCCAACCTGTTCCCAAACCAGTTTAACATTTCTCTTAACCCAAAAGCCGCCAGGTTTGTTTTTAATCATTTTGCAGAATTTTCAGAATTTGCCGTCGTGCCGAGCCACGCAGCACAGAGTACTAAATACTCATTGGCGGGCTTAAAGCACGAGGGCGGGCGTTGCTTGGAGAGGAGAGTCCTAGGTTTCAACTGCCGTGAAGACCCCCTGAAGATTGCCGAGAAGCAAGTCACCATAGAGAAGGATTATCCAAACCAAGCATGCCCCATGCCTGATCTTACTGCATTCCTGTGTGCACTTATCCCCAAATTCAATGGCGCAACCTTGGGTTATGCACAGGTCGACGATGATAACGGCGCGCTTATATTCAGAAGGGAAGGCTCAGGTATTCCAATGTACGATATAATGGATAACAGAACCTTGAAGGAAACCGAGGTTGTTGCTACATTGTCGTCGTTGGCAGCCGGAAAGGACATGCCAGAGCTTGTGCTTTAAGGTCGGACACTATACCTGAACCTAGGCAGGCACTGTCGTTTCTTTGTTTAGTCTTGTCGACTGTGATGGGGGCTGAGTCACTGTTTGTTCAACATATGGGTGCCGTACAATTATTATCTATCTAAAGCCAAGGAGGAAAGAAGGAGAGCTACCAATGTGCCTTCACAGCCACTTTGCACAATGGCATCAACGAGGATGAGGCCAGCGACCGTATACTGGTACAAGGAATAAAGGATACTGAAATCTGGTGGGGAGGGCTCCTCGAGTGGTCGACAGAGCAGAAAGACAGTACGCACCGCAACGGATTCAAAAAGTCACGTATGGAGGCAACCAAGGTATGCGGAGACTGAGACATTAAGGGCGTTTACGGGCCACAGCAGAGGTGCGATATTCTGTTCATCAGCCCAAAGTGAAATCCAAATGAAAATGGGGCCGGCACGAGTAAACAGTGTTTGTGTATCTCTAGGACTCTCTACACTAAGGGTGTGAGGTGTGGGCTAATTCGGCACAAAGGTTTAAAACTACCAGACGGCTTGGGGAATTTTTCTAGAGTAGGAGAAACGCTCGTACAGAGAAATCTTGTCCTGGCAGTTGTCTTCGCATATTTTGATGAATGCCGTCCAATACCAGCCATACTTTCAATACGATACTTTGCAAACGACGCCAAGTTCAATGCGACTTTGCAGACTCAAGAGTGGCGCGAAAGATGGGGCTATTTACTGCGAGCTTTTTAAACTATTATCGAAGATGCTGCCAATCAGTACAGTGCCCTGTCCTATTGTTGGATGACCAACAACGCTCAGATATGGATTTGGCTAAATGGTATAGCTTTCAGGATCCAGGAAAGTCTAATGGGAGCCCTTCGAGCTCTGAGGCATGAAGATGCGATATAATCATGTGGATTGATGCGCTGCGTATCAATCAAGGAGACCAAATTGAAAAGGAATACCAAGTGTCTCTGATGGAGAGCATTTATATTCACACCATTGCGGTCGATATATGGCTAGGTGCACTCGAAAATGCAAGAGTGGCTTCCCATTTTTTCGACTATACATTAACAGAGGGAAGCGAGCATCATGGTATAGGTACTGTCTCCAAGGACGTTTCCCTCTCATGCGAAATCGTATGCGAGCGACCATATTGGAGTCGTGCTTGGATCATTCAGGAAGTACTCCTCGCCAAGTCCCTGACTATTCACTGCGGGATGCAACACATATCATGGTCAACATTCTCCCGGGTCTTGGAACAACTCATCCATAGGCAAGCGTACTGCCATTTGAAGACGCTTGAATTTTCTTATCAGCCGTGCGTATTGCGCTCCAGGTATGCAAATCGCAGTGGATGTCGAGAGATGGTTCCTACATTGCCACTAGACTATCTTCTCGATACATTTCGTGGAGTGAGGTGCTATTTTACTCAAGACAGAATCTTCTCTATCCTTGGAATTTCTCAAGACCTGATAATTTGCAAAAGATTTCTGGTGAGCTACTCTATAGATCTGGGAACGCTCTTCCTGGCAATAATCCGACTTTGCGAACCGCCGTCGCCCACTCAACTTGCGCATCTGCTCCAAGAGGCCTTGCGTGTCACAGCAACCGACGTGAATATGTGCGAGTTGAGACTATTTTCATGTCCCCGTCAGGATTACCGAACTTTCGTGCTTTCTAGATTAGCTCGAAACGTGATCCGAGGATATCGACGGCGGCTTGGGGCTGCCAATACGCCGTCACAATCGGCCCTTAAAAAAGCTAGTAAACATGGAGCAATTGTTAAACCCTCCGAGTCTAACTGGACGTCATTCAGGCAATTTTTCGAAACATATTCCGTTCTGTCCTCAACTATATACACTAAATTCGACGTAATGTATTACGTTGAGGAAGCACGGCTAGGCCTCAAATTTCGACCAACAATGCTTGGCCTAATTTTAACAGGCAGTGGTGGGCCACTACGAGAGCTTGGTACCGTGTTCAAAATCTAGTATAGTGCCAGCACCGCAAAAAGCTATAGCAAGATGCCATAATTTTACACGGTGGAGGCATAGTGCCGGCTGGGTGCAGGTAAGGTGCCATCACGGTGCTACGGAGGTGCAAAAAGGTCAATATTTGTAACGTTGACAGCTAAGAGGGGCTCATAGTATGAGTTCGGCCAACACGATGGCCTCTGAGTGTTTGCAGTAGAGTAACCCTTTCGCTAAGCAATATATGGAGAGCTCATGTTATATATAGATATACTCCCACAACAAAGCTTGGTTTATTGAACGAGGATATCAAGCATTGTATGAGTTTGCCCTGCAAGTGGCCGGTGCGTCAACACCTGATAACAGGACAACACCCTCGGGATTTATTGTAAGACAGTATGTGCGTCCTTCAATCCGTAATCTGTCAGCCGAGTTAAGACGATGCTCTTGGGAATATTTGCGACCCTTCTTCCCTAAGGATTGGGAATCTGACTTTCTGATGCGACGCGTTCGCAGTCATTTGAAGAGACCGGCGGACATTGAAACGTGCCGCGAACTGATAACGGGTGCATTTGGACTATCGCTTGAAGGTCCCTTGGGAGCTTGTGTCGTCGCGGAAAATGAGAAAGTAAGGGTACAAGTACGGCCGGCTTGGTATGGAGTACATGCATGAAATTGGATGTCAGGGGGAGATTGGGCGTTGCTGGTGCCACGTAACCCAGACAGGCCAGCATGACTAGCGGGAACTGGACATGGGATTATAGGCAGAACAACCTTGATAAACTGAAGAAGATGCTATTGCCACTGAGCAGTATGTAGGCAAATACCAAGGTGTAGCCGCAGGCTATGAACCTGTCATTTGATGAACTAGTCATCTATCTAGATTATCTGTAAAAAAGGGCCTCGTTTACCTAGATAGATCGTCTGAATCGAGGATTAATTCCGCGCTCAATCGCATCTAGCTGCTGAATAGTGATAACTATTTATAGCAATAGGGCTATATTATCTAGTTTAGTGAACATCGTACTATTATGAAATTATTGAAATGAACTTTACCTTGAGTCTTCTACATAACCCCCCGAAGAAATGCGGTCTGTAGGCAAGTCGTAGTAACCTATATTCGTGTTCTTATACGGAGTACCGTTATTATTTCGCTATAGCGCACGTGAATAATATCCCCTATTACTATGCTACTCTAGTAGCAGACATTTCAGATATTCGAAGTCTGTCTGTCAACAAGACCGTGCTCTGCGGAGACCAATAGGCCGGATCAGTTATCAACGTATCAATGACGAGGGCTGGGCCGATGCTCCGCTTGGCTTGGTGTTCGAGGTGGCCTGTTGGTAATGCAAGGAAATCCAAGCATTATCCGAGCAACAACAGTACGAAGCGATAAATGAGGTTCAGGGCCAATCGCCGCAGGATCTTCCGGTGGGATTCGCAGGGTGTAGATTCGGGTCTAAAGTAGGGTCAGACAGTCAAGCCCAACTCCCTGCATCACACCCCGGCTTGTTCTTGACGCGCGGCTTAACAGGGAAGCTATAGGGAGAGACATGGAACATGACTGGCGCAAAATGCTGTGAAGGGTCACATCCGTTTAGCCGCAGAGAAGGGGCTGGAGAAGAGCCTGATCCGCCTTAAGGGCCCACTACATGATGTCATTGATGTCAAGTGTTGATATGACCTGTAGTGCATCGCATTATGTACTTACGTTTCAGGGTCTAATTGCATAATATAAATCTTGACAGGTAGATGACTCGTATTTATATTGGAACTTTTTTTGCCACGTATTATCTATATTGAATAAGCCACGTAACTCAAGTAGCTGTTTTTGTACGTTGCCCAGCCATATATGTACGTGACTTTAATTTTAATAATATTGAAGGAGTTGAGATTGAGGTGGAATTGATGAACAGCCTGCTTACACGCCTCTAGCTTATCGGCGCCACCGATATCTTTACAAATGTCCGCTACAAAGGTCTCGGGGGAAGGCTGTAGTTTCTGATAACGCTAATGCCAGCCAACATGCATACACGTAGCCTCGTTTTGCCCCAGCGTAAATTTTTTCGCGCACGCCCTATTACCTAGTATTAGCTATTATATAAATGTCGGCAGCATAATAGAGACATAGCGTACTCGTAATTGTGCGTCATATTATGACTCGTAGCGGTGTATACCTTATGACTCGTAGTAGTATATTATGACTCGTAGCAGTATATTATGACTCGTAGCAGTATATTATGACTCGTAGCAGTATATTATGACTCGTAGCAGTATATTATGACTCGCAGTAGTGTATAATATCTAAATTCTACTATTTTACTCTTGGCCGATAATACAAATATATAGTGTTTGTGGATTATTTTATGGAGACTAATATTTATTATACAATTTATTGGCCTGTCTTACTAGATTTTACTGTACTTACACCTAATATAAAGTGGGGTATCGCATAATTTACCTACCTAGAAATAAAAGTAGCATTACAAAATAAAGTAGTATAAATATTGGGCCGATAAAGGTAGAGTAATATACATGACTCGAGCTTAGTCAAGAGCTTAGTAGTATTTCCATATCCAGCTTAGTATTCCGAAATAATACATTTACTAATTTAAAGCAGTTGGCAAATTAATACGTAGTAAGAAATTTACCTGCCTACTATATATAGTTAGACCAGGAATCCACTACTATCTGTATAATACTTAGGCTATAAAAATCAAGAACTATTTAAGTAAGTCAAGAGCTCTTCCAAAATTATTTGTTCTTGTATTATTATACCAGACTTTACTTCTGGCTTTTAAACAACTAAACAAATTTATTCAAGGTCTTTCCCAATCTTATTATTCACCATGCAGCACGCTATAATTATATGGCTAGCTGCCTTTACGAGCGCTACCGTGTTGGCAGTCCCACTAGATACTGTCCAAGAGATTCAGAATGAATGCTGCGCAGGATTTTCTTTGGGAGAGGCCCCTGTGTGCCCTGAAGATGAAGACTTCCCGGAGGATGGGATTTGTTGGGGTAATCAACCTAAACGCATTCCACGACCTCCCGGCCGTGACCCCGCCGTCTTGGGCCAAAAATGGCTGCAAATGGTGAATGCCTTTGCTGATAAGCGAGAAATTACACCCGAAGCAAAGCAAGGACTTTTAGATATTATTCCCAGCTGCGAATTGAACGCCGGTGCCCACCCGGGTGGTGCTAATGCCGGAGTGCGATGTACGGTTGATTCAGAAGAGCAGAGGCCAACACCTAGCTGCGACGACCATCGATCTGACACCACCGTCTTGGGCCGAAATTGGCTGCAACTATTTCACAAGGTCAAAGGTGGATGGAAGCAGAAATGGGTGGATTCAATTTCCAGGTGTCAAATAAAAGTCCCTACAATACTCCCGAATACGGTTCTGAGGCTTGAAGATATTAAGGAGGTATGGTGTCCGCTTAATCCGACATCGATGGAATAGCTACCTAGGACTTGCTGTCGGACAAGGCTTTCTATGTTGGTTGGACGGGGCAGGCTTAACGTGGTTGCTGTATCTCATGTAATCACTTATAGTAGATGGGTTAAGAGGCTAGCCAGCTACCTTGGTAGAATTAGAATTGTTGAGTTACTCGAATAGTCGATTTAATACAAGTCAACTATTACAGCCAGGTATTTCTATATTTTAGGTTAGACTAGTTTACTATAAAAATATATTATAAAATCTATCGCGGAATTACTTGCGTCCGGCTTTGTCCGCGCGGACATTTCCAATCCCGAAAAGGATCCCGAGTTGCATAGCCTTGTCATGAGATATCAAATTCACAAGTGCAAAGACCACATTTGTGGCGTGTGTATTGATCAATCTGGAAAATTGTAATTTTTGATAATCACTAAAAACGCATACAAAACGACCGCAGAGCAGTGTGCGGCTGTGACAGGATCCTCAGGCTATTTACTCGAGTCGTAAAAGTAACTTGACTTCCAAAAAAGGTTGGACTCCTCATGAAAATAGCCCGAGCCCTGCTGAGGTAAAAGCATCAACGTTGGTTTCGTGGCAGACTGCGGTCTGGCAGACCACCCTCGGACGGTCTGTCTGCTAGCCACACTGTCTCGGAGAGCACTCTGATCTGGGTAGGCTTATTCATCCCCATGCGTTGGGTCACGGCCGACAACGCACGAGATAACTTAAGACGCCCCAGTTGTGGGTGCGGGAGGGAACACGGCGGCGAACAGCTCGTCATCCGTCTCGTCAAGATATTTAGTAATAAAAGGGATATAGCTGCCAACTCTGGTATAGATTGAGGGAGCTTTGTTGCAGAAATAGCCGTCTGGTTCGTCCATGTCTCTTAAGGGCCTTGCCGCGATACCGATTAACTTTCCTTCCTGGACAAGAGGGCCGCCGCTGTCTCCAGAACATACATTGTGGCCGTCTCCACCAGCACATATCAGAGTTTCGTATTTATCTTTAAGACTTGGGTTCAAAGGTTTCTCCTCAAGCTCTTTGCAGCGCTCGCGTGAATAAACGGTAATAACAGCCTTGCGAAGTTTATCAGCGCCAAGAGAACGCACGGGAGCGCCGAAATCGTGGGGGGTTTGTACTCCCCTTGCCAGTTAGTTAGTGTCTTTCCAACTATATCCAAGTTAAATAGCACTTACCAGCCTGCGATAGTTGCATTAGAATTGGCTAGTGGGTCCGAGCCGTTTGCTGGTAGCGGTATATATTTAATCGTGTTGCTCTCCTTAATTCAAGTTGACAATTTCAAGATAGCAATATCATGAATAGCGGCGTTTTTAACACGTTGCAAGCCAGGAACTATTTTAAAAGATGAAATATTTGCTTCTACTCCGTTTGTATTTTTATTCTATAAAATTATTAGTTTTATAATAACTACTTATAATTATTTTATAATTTGTACCGAGGTACTAGCTTTTCTAGGAGTAAAAATAACTTAATAAATAAAAAACTTACTAGCGTTCCTGCCTTAATAAACTTGGTTTTTAAAACGCAATGGGCAGCCGTAAGAACAGTAGTAGCATCTAATAAATTACCTCCACAAAAAAAGACGCCATTCGTATCGTGAAGACTAACAATAAATGGAAATTCATTGTTCTTGGCTTCTTCTCCGCCAACAATCCTCTTATTGATAGTGGCCGCGAATACTAAAGTAGCAGAAAATACGGCTAGTGCAATAGTAATCTTGCGTACCATTGTGACGATCAGAGGTGGTTTGACAGATTGGTAATAAACAGGTTATAAAGGAGAATTGTGTAAAATACTATAGAAAGGTATTTATCGTTAATAGATGATAAGGTACGAATTTGGATGGGCGGCTTATTGTATTTATCCTCGCAGCTGTATAAATATAAAGATATTAAATACTAAAAGAAGCTCAAAAGGCCTGCAAACGTAACCGAGCTCTGGCGACTTATAAGCATAATATATAATTCCTAAAGAGAAAATATTAATATACTTTGTAAAGGCATAAATACCATGACTAAAATCACAGGGATTGGATTATTATACTTGCTTTAAATACTAAAAGAAGCTTAAAAGACCCGCAAACGTGATCAAGCTCTGGTAACTTATAAGCATAATATATAATCCGTAAAAAGAAAGTATTAATATACTTTATAAAGGCATAAATACCATAGCTAAAATCACAGGGGTTGGATTACTACACCCACTTTAAATCCCACCTGTCCGTAATCTGCCTTGACTCGTATCTAGATATATTCTATAGTAAGCCTCAAGAAGTTATCTGCCGATATTTCGCCAATATAAGAAGCTGCATAACAAAACGAGTCATGAATAATGCAAACGCAAATCTTGTTGAAAACCCCCGCCGAGTCGCGTTTTAAGTTCTCAATTTTAATATATTTAATTATGGCTTCTTTTTGTAAACTATTATAACTTTCACAAATAGTATTTAAGTTAGGTACTTTTAATGCTATTATAGGCGAAATTATTAACTAAATTATAGAATTAGTTCCTAAACCTCGCGCAGTAATTTTTAGAGCTATAATTATGGGCTAAGAAAGACTACACATAATAGCAGAATAGTGCCATACTTATCTTCACAGTCTGCACTGGCCCGGTGGGATAGTAATATCAAGCATCATGCATTATGGCCAGCCATAATGGAGCCCTCCCGTTAATATGCTGACATATGTAGGCTTTGGCCTGACAGACCTCTTTGCTGTATCCCTTGTTTGCCGCGTCAACGGGGACTCGGCAAATTGAGTTGGCGACGGAGTTCGGCTTTGAGGGATCTCACGCTTACGTGGCAGTCCTATTTACCTTTGCTTGACGGAGACGCAAGACTTTTTCCATCGGACCAGCATCCACATGTAGGTGGTTGTGCGTTTTGGAGCCAGGCCGTCTTAAACGTCAACTACAAAATACGTGTACGTTTAGCACCCTCAAAGTACGTACGTATATACCATGCTATAGTACGGAAAGTACAACATCACTACTGCCAAGGCAGCAGTATTACGACTACGTGCCCTTTGAGGGACTCGGAATCAATCTCGGAATCAGAAGCCAAGAGCCAGAAGCAATGGATTGTAGTAAAACTGTCATGCAGCAGAACAAGACAAGAATGAATTGAATTGCCTGGACACAGTGAAATTTGGTCATGTATAGACCAGCTACGTGGCGACGACTCGACGACACGGTGACGGGAATGTAGTGAAGAGGGCTGCATGTGGGGTCAAGTTATGCATGTGGGCTAACGCCTCAAGTGCTCAAGTGCCTGGCTAGTTTATGCACTCAAGTCTGGTGCTGTTAGACTGCAATGTTATGTAGCGCTTGAAGTGGCTTCGTCGCCTTGTGTGTGGGGTCTGGTCTGGTCTGGTGGACCACAATGCGGCTGGGCCCAATATTGCCAACATTGAATGAGCATTGGGGTCTGGTTCAAAAATGGGTACGGCGGTCTGTTCACCCTTGAGTCTGGTTTGAGAGCGTCTGGTGGTGGCAGCCTGACGCTCTGCAACGCGTTGAACGTCTGGTCAATGCATAAGGGTCAACCATGGCTGGGAGCGTCAGTGACTCTTGCGCAGCCGTATGCATGAGAAGGAATGGGCGGCATCAATCGTGCAGACTAGTAGTAACAAAAAAAGTACATATGACAAGCCAGTTTAGCATGTTGAGGTAGGTGTGGCATGAACCACGCCAAGAGTCAGGTCCTAGTATAAACAAGTCATGAGAATTAGATGGCTCAAGATTCATGTTGAATCTCTCTTTTACATGCTACATTTCCCCTTTTCTTCGATGCTCTCCTGCCGCGCAATTGTAACCCGAGCGAGACCGTAACAGCAATTCCAACTATCCCATGCAATGCCCGTCTGGTTTGTCACAGCATTTACCACCATTTTTGAGAGGCGTCGCGAGCCACGTTGGAGCCGCAATGAGTCTCGCCGTGTAGAATATGGTGGTCAAACCAATCATCCATAAAGGTAACGTTAAAGCCGACCTGGGCATAGGCTTTAGTGACAGCCTCGGCTAAAATATCCTTGCCGCCAATAATAGGCCCCCATGGGTTGGGCGCCATATACTGGCCTTGAGGATATACGACGCCGTTAATGGTCTCGGGGTATAATGCAACCATTCGCTTCTTGGGCTCGTCGGAACCGTTTAGCTCATCGCTCCCTCCAGCCGCTTCTATAATATTCATTGCCTGGCCTTTGGCGCGCCGGGTGCTGGTTGCGTTGCAAGCGAGGCCTTTGTCTGGGTAGTAAAAGAGACTAGGGATTCGAAAAATTTCGCCTTCAGTAATGCCAGTTTCTTGCTTGATGATGTCGACATTGTACTTGATTCGGTCCGCGCAGTGCTTGTTGATTTCTTCAAATTCGGGAAGTTCAAGTACCCCGTTGATAGTAATGGAAGGAAGACAAGGGCTTTCGGGGTCATATGACTCGGGCTTGCGAGACATGGCCTTTTCCGTTCCATGTCCATTTGCCTGGGCATCTTTGAGCAATTTCATCCCATACTCAGTGTCAGCCATAGTTACAACCCAGCCCCGTGAGTTATTAGCCGGGAGAAATTGCACGTATTCATCCGTGTGGCCAACAAGAAGCCAATCATGATCAAGGGTATCAATAGGGTATTGCGCCTCCTGAGCCTTAAGAAGAGCCATTACAGTTGGGCTGATATTGTCATGCCTTCCCATGATTGCCCTTCCAGCAAGGTAATCTTTCCCATTGTACGAATAAGGTGGTATCGTCTCCAGGTTTCCCGTGGAGTCGATGGTTGAACGTGGAAGGGTATCATTGGTAAAGTATTGAACGGCTCCTGTAGTGTTGGACCTGAATTCTGAGAAGATCATCCGGCCGGCGTGGCGCCCCGGTTGGCTACTTCGAATATTAACTCGTAGGTATATCGGACCATCGGGACCAGGAATGCTGGCGTAGCCAGGTTCAAAGTAATCTTGAACCCAGATATCCCAGTGCTCGACCATGTGAACGGGCTTTTTAATTCCAGCCTTGGCGGTATAATTCACAATAAAGCTCGCAAATTGCGCCTGTGCTTCCTTCCAGTCCTCCATCTCGTCAATGCCCGCAACTGTGAAGACTTGATCCGGATCTTGCAGGTGATGGTGTGTCAGAATCGGTGCCACACGAAGGGCAACTGCATCAGAAGATATATTCTTCCCATTCTCAAACAACTCAAAAGTAACCGTAACTCTGCCATCCCACTCATCAGGTCGACGGACATCTCTGCCATCGACTCCTAGCTCTAGACCAGGTTCTAATGCAGACGCATTAAACACGTGGTCTTTACCCAGATATATCCATTCGTCATGATCTTTGTAGAAGATTCGAGCTTTATCACGGGCATCTTGGAGAGTAATTCTACCCATGATAGAGTTGCTCAAGTTATGGATTGGGAGGGTGCTAAGCGGAGCGAGGTACTGGGATTGGCGAAGGATATTATCAGATGCATCGTTGCACATTGCAAGCTCGCTTTCAGTGGTATTTTCTGTAATTTGAGACGAGCATCGGCGGTCAGTATCGACAATATTTGGCAGAAACAATGCTCCTTGTTTCTCGGTCCAGTAGGCTTTCCCCTCATGGTCCGTAACATCCACATGTCCGTCGCGATTTGTGTCTGCTAGAATAGTAGCTTTAAAACCATAGCCAGTGGTTGCAACGGCGAGTGCCAGAACGGCCGCCTTGCTGAGGGAATACATGATGGTAATAGTGACAACTTTTACCAATGAGAAACTTGATTCACGGAATAATGTATAAGAAGTTTTGTAGTGCTGGTAGTGAAGTTGTGGATAAAAGACTTCATGATGAACGGGATTCCGAGTTTCTTTATAGTTTATTAATTCTTCTAGTTGGATTGTCATTTGACCCTTCAACACCTCAAAAGCAAGAGCCCTTCCGGTTCTCCTCATTGTGAAATCTCACCTCCGCTGGCTTGACGCAAGCCATGCTTCACCGAGAGTATACCTTGTACGGAGTATCTGACACTTGAATGTGAAAGTGGCGTGCGCAGGTTGTACCAAAGAGAGAAGGCTCGAACCATTTCGGTCACCCCGTGGACATCTGTGTATGCAACTTTCAGCAAATCGTCAGTATCTGCAGCCAATTGACACCCGCTGCAACCCAAGCCGTTCATTTTGTGTAACGTGCCACCACGAGGGTGAAATCCGAGAGTGGTCTGGATTACTGGCCCAAAGCGCCGAGTCAATTGCCTGGGGTGGTCTATCTTTGATTCGGTTCAAGCATATTAACCGCCACCTGTTTTTGCCATCTCGTAGGAGTTTCTTTACGTGAGCAAGTGTAGGCAGAGTTTAGCAGAGGACTGCCTTTTATTGTTAGCTTGCCTGTTTGCCCGCCAATTGTATCAAGTCGCAGGCCCGATAGGAGTGTCAAAGAATTCCAGAGCAAGCCAAGCAATAGCAACTTGTATGCTAATGTTGCACGGTAATTGAGACACACCGACATGATAAGTGGCCTCCGGCTACGCCATGGTTTGTGTGACAACTTGCAACAAAATTGCGATTGGGCAGCGGCTAAGACACAAGAGTCAGCCCTCAAAGACCCCGCCAAGCTGAAAAGAAGAAAGGCAAAGTCATTCTGATTCAGATCAATACAGCTGAGAATGGTATTACAAAGACACTTGAGACCTAATATGTCATGTGTCCAGCGGCCGGGCGCAGCTGAGGATAGTCTTTGGAGAGCCGTGAAGGCTGGCCAGGACAAACGCTATTGGATCTCCGATAGCATTTCATCAGACTCGAAACAACACCTCGGCATTGTCACATACGACGTTGACGGCGGACGGCTGCGTAGTAGTATTTCCACTTTTCCAAGACAGGCGGATGAGCCCGTGTTATGCCGCTCCGTCGGCTGAAGAAGATATTCACCGGGCAGGGAATCTCCCAGACAACTGGATCTGTGTACCCCGTAATACTACCCAAAATGGACTCGATGGAGCCCGACGAGGCCCAAATCATGTACACGTGCAACGTGGGAATAGCGGCGTCATACTACCTCTTTCACGGACAAAAAGAGACAATTGATAATGATCATTTGAACCTACCATATCACATATCACATTTTATGAATATACATCTCTAAAAAGAAAGTCGAGTTCAATACGTAGCTACGGCTTTGCTGGACAAGGTACGAAGTCACGATGCGTAGAATAAAATGCTATGCGCTGTTAGCGAGCATCTTGGAGGGGAGGTAGAACCTCTTGAAATCACGCGCGCAGATGATCTACTTATACGACATTGCGAAGTAAACGTGGTGAGTCAATGTCTTGGCTAGGTACTTGGCCACGTCGTTCTTGTTACCGTCTGTAGTTGGCTCATAACCTGGTACGAGGATGCAGTGTAGGAGTGTGAAGCATCCGGCAGAAATTACTACCTATTTGAGGCACACAGATATATGAGACTATGAGCCCGGTACAGTAATGCGCTTGTGTACTTTGGCTTCATCATGGAATCACAAAACGAAGAGGCGGCCACCCCCTGAACGTCATTTTGAGCCGTGGGGATTACCAATTGACACCAGCAATGGGTGAATGTGCCTCTGTAGACTATCACCCAGCAACACCGGTTTATACAACAGGCCTCAGCAGTATCGCCAATCATGCTTTAGGTATTCGTCGTTGGCAAAGGGACTTGCCCGCCCGTCTCCGCCAGATCTGACGTGGCTGCATACGTGGACCATCGTCGTACCAGTTGACCATTTTCACACATCATCCACATGCCAGGTGGAAATCGGACCTGAGGCTGTTTATACAAGGCCTATTGATGGGGTTGTAGAGATAATCTCTGGGCCAACTACCCGTTCTCAGTTGCCAGTGGTTATCGGTCTATAGGATATATTGGCGATAAATTTATAAATTAATACTCTATAACTATTTTAGAACAAAGGTGAATCTCTGTACGGCATTGAAGCTGTAAAGCCTAGCCAGCAACTTTCAGAGCCTATCGAGAGAATCCCCGTTGAAGGGCAATACGGTACAACTACCATTCATTCTACACTCGCTTCAGGGTATCACGCATTACGCGTGGCTGAACAGCCGTGGCAATACCGTGACCATCCAGCTGAAATATAAAGTCATCGACGGCAATTTCGCCGTACATGAGCTGGTCAATACGGCCCCATTGCCCTGCGTCCGCGTTGAGTATACGCAAAACTCCGGGATCGTAGTTGACAGGTTCAGTTTCAAGAATCGCGCGAAAGGACACCTGGGTACCACTCGAACCAGTCGACGATGCATCCTCAGTATTCGTAATAAAGGGATACAACCGTATGGATTTGATAGTCCCACCTCCTGTCCCATCCGAGTAAGCCTGAGCTGCCTCCTGAACATTGACGCCGTTGCTAAGCCACTCCTTTACAAGCAGCCCTGGCCCCTGATGATCCGTCGTGAGCAGCAGAGACGAGTTCTTCGCATCCGAGGATACATATCGACCACCGAAGCGATGAACTGCTTGGCTCTGAGAAACCCTATCCAACACGGGCAGAATCGATTGCAGCGCAACCTCCGCGGCCATGTTAATAGCAGGTCCCGCATTGGGTCCCGCACAAAGAAAAGAAGCGACAATGTTGTAATCAGGCACCAGGATCAGAAGGGCTTGATACTGGTCATCACTTCCAGACTTTGTGTATAGGTCAATCGTGTAGCCGCTGGAAATTTGGCTTCTGGTGCGCCAGATTTCCCACGGCGCACCGACCGAAAAGAAGGGCGAGGCAGTATGTGCATGGGGCTTCATCCATCGACGCGTTTGCAGAGGGGACAATTGTCTGTGGTTTAGAAGGGCGCGTCCAAATTGGGCCAAATCTCGGGATGTTGAATAGAGGCCGCCGGTTCTGTTGGGACATAATCAGAGACAGTTTGACGGCGAGGCTTGAGACGAGCACTCACGACACTTCATCCCCCAAAGGACGGCCCCAGCCCGAATTTCCCGGAGGGATAACTCCGACTCCAGTACCCCTGGGACTAGATGTACTTGTGTTTTGTAAGCCCAGCGGTTGAAACACTGATTTGGCGACGGCCTCTGTGTATGAGGTACCTGTTACCGCTTCAACGACATATCCGAGAAGTCTGTACGCGGCGTTGGAATATGTCGGAGTGTTGAAAGGCAATGAAACGGGCCGTCTCTTGAGTAGCACGTCAAAGAACTCTGTAGTCGGTTCCTGTTAGAGCGGCAGAAGACTACTATTGTATTTGTACTTGGGTGGCGATTCAACAAACCTCTTCTAGTGCACGGAGGCTGGGTGTTATTCCCAGCACATGTCGGGATCTCGTCCAAGGATAGTTCCGGCAGCCCGGCTGCTTGATGAGGAAACGGCTGGCTGGCCATGTCGGCATTATTTACTGACGCATACTATATTAGCCAACTGGCCGTGTCAAACATTGTAAAGGACCTACCGTCGCGTCCTATTCCAGCAAGCTGAGAAGCAAGAGCCCCGATAGTGACCTTATCCCACTGCACATGATGGATTGCGGAATTTGCTCCCGTCTGCGAAACGGCCTTGCGAAGCTCCGGCAGATAATTCGTCACAGGCATGTCCCAGATCTTTTCACCACCATGTAGCAAGAGAGAATAGACGGTAAAGAGCTTTGAAATGCTCCCGATTCGGTATACACTATTCCCGGTGACACGGTTTGTACTGCCCCCCGAGACGTTTAAATTCGCAGCTGAGTAATGAAAGTCTAGGAAGGGCTGGCTGTCTTGGGCAGATATCATGGTAGCCGAGAGTGAGTTGGTCTTGGCAGTGATGTTGCCGAATTTTGATAGACCTGTATCCAAGGCATTTTGCAACTCGTGGGAGATGTATGACGAGGCGGTCCGGACAGCGTGTGCAGAGCCAAGATTTTCTGGGAACGGATAGGTTTGTCCGAGGACCTTTTGGTCAAAGGCAGCGGTGGCCGACGTGAGGCAAGAAAGGGAAAAGAAGCAAAGATATAGGAGCATCTTGGATCAGGTTGGATTTGTTGCTATGTAGCCAAATGATGAAACATTGCCGCCGGCTGGCAGGTCTTTAATAGATTTTGCCAGAGGCATTATGGACTCTTGGCGTGATGACGACGACATGATGTCGGCAATTAACCATATGGAGAGAGTAAGTTGCCGGTTTGGGTGGAATGTCGGAGATTCCCAGTAATCTCTTTGGCTAATAGAAAATGGTGGCGTTGTGGTTCGTGTATTCCTCGTATGCGTTTGTTGAACCAGATGCATCATGTTTATTTGTGTCAACCCTATTGTAGTTTTCATCGCGACCGGACGAATCAGGACACAAGTTAGTTCCGCCAATGAAGTCAATCTTGCCGGAGAAACGGAGATAACGCGGGGGTTGGCGGGGCGGGAATTGCGGCCCGAGTTCGTCCGCTAAAGTTCCGTCCTTAGTTCCGCCGACATACAATGCGCGTAGTGCTGCTTGATCCTGATGACATTCGTCAGTGTCGTGACCTGGACGGTGAAGCCATTTGCCATGTATTTCTACGATTTGTTGGCCTAATGCCTGCTAATTATTTTCATTTGCTATTGTCAAGTGTCCGTCACAAAACACTCAGCCATCTACTTCACTATGTCAGCACTTTTCATTGACATCGAGAATGCGCGAGCCGGCATCACCTGCCAGCCGCACAAATCAGCGACACTACAGAACTTGTACCGCAACCGTGTCGGCGGTATCCGTTTTCCTATTGCTGTGACTCGTGAGTTGTAGCTCGGCTTCTTTTTCTGAAGCCCTTCTGCCATCATATCGGCTATAATTTGCGCGCCCCCCTTCAATACAGTACCAGTCCTCCAACTCTTCATCCTCGTATTCAAAGTTGAGGGACCATAGCACCGCCTCACTATGCTTGGTCGTAGCTGCCAGTTAGACTGATGGAAGTATTAAAAAATACTCTCAATATTGGAGAGCAGACGCAACTCACCTGCCGAACCTATCCAGCCACTGGGTGGTTGCAGAATTAAATGGGGGGTCACGTACATCCCGCGCCCGCGACCTAGGGCTCACCCTGTCCCTACATTCATGTAAGTGTGTTGAAAAACAGCTGGCCCTCGCGAAGACTGATTGGTAGAATCTGCTTGTATTCTCAACGCTTCACGAGTACTGAGTCCATCACACTTCATCAATAGATCCCACCTCTCGCTGCCCGGGGGATCATTGCTCAAATCTCCACGGAGCACCATTCTCAGATCTGCTGCGATGTATCGGAGGACACTACCAGCAGAGTATTCGAGGAATCTAAAGGACATCGTTCTACGCCTGCCAATACTATATTGCATCGCCCATTTTTATGCTCTTGCCGCAACGTGCACTCCTTTCTGCAAAGGACATTGCAAGTCGATGAGAACGGGTGGCAGACTGGATGTATGTGCATCATCTTGTGCAGCGATGTAGGTTACAGCGCTCATGCATACAGCTCCCAATTGACGAACTCCTTGGTTGAGCTTCGAGTTGCTATATCAACGCCTTTAGGGAGAAATTACGTATGAAGGCGAATACAACTGACGGCAAAACCGGTTACCGTCTTCTCCCAATTAAAGGGGTCAATATAGCATTTTCAGCTGAGGGGATCCACAAAGTAAGATGAAGACGAACAGTAGACCGCGCTTCGCATTGACATTTGTATAGATGGGTATTACAGATGAGATCAAGGGTGATATCTTCACCAAAGGAATGCGAGCGGACGCTGAGGCTCTAGGTGACAGGCCCTCGACCAAGAGCCGTGGGTACCAGCCTGATTGGGATGCTATGTTTCTACAAGAAATCCAGTTTATAACTATTGCTTACCTTGAGATTTTGGTAATTTACCTGTATATAATTTACCTTGAGGAAACCCCAGTGCCTAGTAAAAACGGTCCACGCCGTGCTACGTCCGCTACTTGGGGGGTACAAATTTGCGAGTTATTTTTACTGCTAAAAAAGTCTGGTATCCTTGAATTTGATACTATAAAGAAGTCAATAGGTCAAATACAGCAAGTAAACCTGCGTACACTAAAAGGGATTAAGCGCGAACGGGCCAACACATTGAAGGCAGAAGGGCGCAAGGGCGCACAGCACCCCGCCTTTCTGGTCAAGACGGTCAAACCGGTTTAATGTCTGGTTTCATCAATGTACGGCCAATGCGAATGCCTATCTATATCCATATACAAGTTACAACTTCATTTGTTGCACTTATCCCACCGATTCGAGCCTGTACACAATCACATACATCACCCTGGCCATTCTGACAGCGGAAATGCCAAAAGACACCAAGGCCACGATCAAGGTTGCCGCTGTCCAAGCCTCGCCAATATTCCTGGACAAATGTGCCACCACCGAAAAGGTATGCGCCCTCATCCGCCGCGCCGGTTCGCAAAGCGCCCAAATCATCGGGTTCCCAGAGACCTTTATTCCCGGCTACCCAGGCTGGGTTGAGTTGCTTCCCCTACACACTGACCAAGCTGCTTCGCTCTTCCTGAAACTCTTCAACGAATCGGTTGAGGTTCCTGGTCCTGAAACCACGGCTATTGGGGCAGCCTGCAAAGAAGCAAGCATGTACGCGGTTGTGGGAGTCAACGAGCGGCGAGCAGGTACAACGGGCACATTGTTTAATACCAGTTTGTTCTTTGGTCCGGATGGCTCCATCTTGCACAAACATCAGAAATATGTACCTACGGTTGGGGAGAGGCTTGTCCATGCTCCCGGTCAGACTGGTAGTCGAGCGTCTGTTATGACTGAGTTTGGCGTGCTGAGCAGTCTTATTTGCGGAGAGAATGGGAATCCCCTTTTCCAATATGCTGTTGGGTTGGACTACCCGGTTATTCATGTTGCTAGTTGGCCGGGTCATTTTGGAGAAGGCATGACTGTGGATGGCGCCATCAATGTGTTTGGGCCTGCTGTGGCTAGTTCGGTGGGTTGCTTTGTAGTCCATGCTGTAGGCGTTGTGGGGGATGATGCTATTGAGGTGTATGGCACTGACGAGAAATCGAGACGGTTTTTAAAGGAGCAGCAGAAACAGTCTAGGGCGTGCGTGATGGGCCCCGGAGGAAGGATATTGGCAAAGGGAAGTGAGGGTGAGGAGTTGGTGTTTGCCGATGTCTGTGTTGATGCTCTGGTCAAGGCAAAGTATGGACTGGTAAGTTCAGTAGTCAATCCGTTCGAGTATGACAACTTGTTAATTATTTCTTGTTAGGACTATGCTGGGCATTATAATCGACCGGAAATATTCGCTCACCTGTTTAAGAAATATCTTGCTTGACATTGTACAGGGAGGGCAGTGCACCGATTTCTTAAGCCAGAGCCGACGTCGATCCCGAGTACGGATAAAGAGGTCTTACAGGGATGCAGGTGAAGCAGAAGTGCTTATAGTGGTCAGGTTTAACGGGATCAAGTCTTTTTATCGACAATCGCAGTTGTAATCGCACATACGCTGGTTCGTTTAAAATCAAAACGGGTCTTTATCCCATGCGCAGCCACAAGTATGCCTACCTCTACATGTATGGATTTCTAGTGACTCTCATCGTAAGGGTGGTAGGCTCTTAGACATTGAGTGGCTAGGCCTCGGGTGCTTCTTGGTTGTCGCCCGTAATCGTTCATGGTCGTTTGTAGCTGTCGCTGTCGCCGAGCCCCCCCCCCCCCCCCCCTTTTTTTTGCCCTCTTTCTCTCTCCGGTAACATGACTAATACTCTGTTGTTGTGCAGCATATTCATACTCTTGGGAAGTTCAGGCTCGAAACAACGATAAGCTGTTGTCGGTCGCAGAAGGAGCCGCCGAGGCCATCTACTCTGTCCACAATACTAGCTTCAAATATGGCCCTTCGTGTCGAATATCTGGCAAATTTTATGGTCGTCTTCTCGATTTCGTTGCCGACGTTATTCGTGTGGACTACGCTTTCGTCTTTGAGCTGCGAAGCGGGGGGAGGTTCAGAAGATTCATGTTGCCGCGGGATGAAATTATCCCCAGCGGTGAGGAGACGTTTGCTGGCGTCAAGTATATTCTACAGAATATGAAGTAAGGCAGCGAAACGGGGACCCTTTCCCCGTGCAAGATGCAAGCAGCCGGTAGCCAGTTTCGTAGCCAAGAGACAGAAATAGAAACTGCACTGTGGCGCCATCCGCCTGTTGAGAGCTTTGCTCCCTTTGCCTGGCAAGACAAAGTCGGGATTCGCATCAAGACGTTTATTGTCTGAAGCCTGGCCCGACGCAGTGGCCGCGGCTGCCACATGGGACCAGTTGGCGCATTAGCCCATGTCGGAGAGGGAAAGTTGTCTCTTTGCTCAGCTTCCAAAGGCCATGACATGTTACGGGATCCCACGGCGAGCCCGGATGTTTGTTACACGAGGGCTGCGATGACGGGACCTACGACAGAAGACCGTGCCATGCTACGCGCATCGGATTTGGGCAACGGCCCCGACAGCTACAGAGGGTGCTACGTTGGCACCGGCGCCTAAAACAATGGCTGTCTCTCTCGGAAAATCGGATAATGCCTGGAGAAAGCTTGAACGTGTACCAATGAGGATACATGCCAGCGAGAGATATGCCATTTGGGTGTACGGGAAGCTTCAACGGAATCACAAAGTATCTGATTGGCGAAAACCCCCCGTTGCGAACAACTGCAGCAGGATTTTCAAGTTATCGTGGGCCGCGGAGGGGCTTTCAAAGGCTGTTCACATTTCCTGGACGGAGGTTCCCGTACTTATGAAGGGAAAAGGTTTAACCTGTATTCGGGAAACGGCAACGACAAAACAAGATTGAAGAAGTCGCGCAACGCGACAGCAACGTAGCAGTTGACAAGTAGGTAACGCGATAGGCTTCCCTCAAAAATGAAAAAAAGGAGCATTTCTAATGAGAGGTTAAGAGATGGGACAAGGGTAGTGAGCCTGCAAGAGGCAGTCGACCCAGAAGCCAGCTGTGGTATGATCTAATCTTATCAATCTATTGGCATGTGTACGATTCATGGACTGCTTTTGTCCACTTATTTCCGTCATTTGTATGGTTGCACTACGTATGCTCCATAAAAGGTCCAATATTGCCAAGAGCAGACACATCAATATTAGGAAAGGCTTGCTGGATAAGGTGAAGACCGAACCACAACAATATTGAAACCGAACATGTCCTTTTCACTTACCATCATGCGACCCCTGATGATGGCCAGCTTGGATGAAGCTTACATGGATGCTACCGCCTCAAAGTGGGCACTCACGGATATTGTTTGATCTACTCCGTACAGCCTCCCAACATTCATTTGCCGCATAACAAGTGTGGAGTACAGTGGTTCTCATATCAAGTTACAGAACAGGACTAGCTTCTAGTTGATGCTGGGTTTTCCATTTGTAGTCAGGTCTCTGTTTTCCCTGTCAACTAACCTGGAAACCAGTCCACGGTCCACGTATCACCTTTACGGCCGGGCCCCCTGTCCCGATTTCCCAGTTGCCCTGTATAGGGGCAGTCAGTACTGTAAATATTTCTTCCTGGTACATGTAATTTAGACCTAGTCCACTCACCTTATAGACAACCTCTCTACCTCTCTATTGAGACGAACCATGATGTGGGACCTCTGGGTCGTCATATATCTCTCTGGTCTATGTAGGCAAGGTGCGAATACATGTACGGCTAGATGGAGACTGGATCATATGGTCCGAGCAGTCCGTAACTACCGCTGTACCAAGTTTTTCTAGCCATGTCGTGGAGAATAAACTCCACTAGAGAGGGCATCGAGTCAAGTCGATACTAGATCAGATAGTGCTGGCCGCATTTTATCATTCTAGAACACACGTTACATTTGCGCTACTTTTACCTTTTAACTACTTGAGGTATAGCAATAATGGAGAAATCATATTACTTTAGTGGCGCTCACCAATCTCACCTACGTTCCCAAGATTTGCGAGTTGTTCAAAGCATGATAATGTAGTCATGTGCACGATACCCCTCCCGTATATCACTAATAGTCTACAAGTAATAAATCTGAGCAACAATTATGCATGATCTTACTATTGGGGCTTAGCGTGAATTGGACAGTCTGTATGTGTGTCCTCCCCCATAGTAACGTCTAGATAAATAGGCGCAATATCTCGTGCTTTGAGTTGATTCTGTCTCTTCACTTTTCTCCCTGTCATCAACGTCAATCTTTAAAATAACCTTCCATCTCGGCCTAAGCCATGCATTCTATCACGGCAACTGCCGCTGTGGCCATCGCCCTGGCGTATTTCGCCAACGCAGCTCCTATTAGTCCAGTTCCAGGGTTGACGGAGCTCTCCGCCTGGGAAACTATTTTTTCTGACCCAAACGTTAACCCGGAAGACTATGGACTTTCTCAGGCTGAGCAGCGCGAGAGATATAGGGAGGATTGCCACAAAGTTTGCGGTACAGTACTGACCTCTCCTTGTGCTGCAATAGCAGCCTCTAATACGATGTAATGTAATAGGAAAGGTTATTCAGCTTATCGCCAAGGACGGCTGCGACTCTGATTGGAAAGGATACGAGAAAAGTTGCGAAACTTGCTTTTATAATCGCTTCATTGATGGCTCGGAATTCAGGGAGAAGTGGGGAAATGGCTTGAAGAAAGCTCTTGGCATATGCGGTATCACAGTCCCTGAAGAAATCCCCAAAGAAATGGACGCCGACGGATGCCTTGTTGAAAAGCCAAGTCCTGCAAAGCCAGATGCTGAGAAGACAGCCACCGAGACGCCAAGTGCTGAAAATCCAGATTCTGAAAAGCCAGATACTGTGAAGCCAGATACTGTGAAGCCGGATACTGTCAAGCCGGATACTGTCAAGCCGGATACTGTGAAGCCAGATACTGTGAAGCCGGATACTGTCAAGCCGGATACTGTCAAGCCGGATACTGTCAAGCCGGATACTGTCAAGCCGGATACTGTCAAGCCGGATACTGAAAAGCCGCCTGCTGGACAGTCAAACACTGAATCCAAAGAGGGTGGAGTGGGACAGAGCACGAACCCTCAAGAAGAAACCAGCGAGTATATCAGCGAGTATAATTGTCACGCTGCCTGCGGTACGATCTCTACTGAAAATTACCTCGACATACCCCGGGACAAGTACTAATTCGGTCACAGGAGGCATCATTACAAAGGGCCGAGAGGGAAAATGCAAAGAGCTCAAGGAGCAGTTTGTTCCCGTATGCGAGAAATGTGCTATACGAACGGGCATCTGGGGAATTTACAAATGCGGCGCGCGGGCAGGCGCAAGGAAATGCGGCGTCCAAGTCAACCCTCAGTAGACAAGTAGAGATTTTATTGTATTACAGGACAATACACTTGCCACATTCATAAGACACATCATCTTATGAGTTGGGCATGTGCTATCAAATTGAATACAATTACAATATTATACACCAGACACTATAGTGGATGATGGAGGGGTCATAGCTAGAGGGTGCATATTGATCATGTTTGACGCCGCCGTGCAAGAAAAACTACATGACTACCCACTACCTAGGGATATATGCCGCATATTAGTAATGAATACATATCAATTGATACTTTTAATATTAGTATCGATCTTGGCTATAATCGGCTAGCCATGTATCGGCCCCGCTACTACCTGGATATCGAGCGGTCTGGTGCAGCAGTGGCCGCATACGGCATCAATCATGTCGGACCGACAGCCCATCTGCGACGACCTGCATGGCGGCATCTCCTCGGCCAGGTCGGGATGTGACCCCATCCCTCTCCCGCGGGCGAGTCGCTCACATTATTCTGACCAGACGTGTTATCCGAAGTGAGCCATGGCCGGACGAGGGCCTGACTAACCAACCAGTTTACAACCCTGGTATAACTTTATTCGGCGTGGCGCGACGTGAAAACAAGTTTCTATCAGGTTGACCCCATGACGCCAGTCCAGAACCTCTGGCATCAAGCAGTCGGGCCGGTTCGACAAAACAAGACGGCCCCAGAACCGCCACCCGCAGGTGAGAGTAACGACCCGGCCCCTGGACCAAGGGACCAAGGAACCAATCATCTGCCGGCGGCAGAACCGGCGTGTGGAGAAGGAAGCAAAGGGCGGCAGCACTGAGGGCAAGAAAAGCCGGGCGAGCAAAACGCCTTTCCCGGCGGAGACGAGTCTGTCTGTCATCAATCCTCATTCCTCATTCCTCAACCGCAGCCGCATCCGTGGCAAAGAATCGTCGGCAACAGAACCCAGCAGAAGCCTCGATTCCCCCAAGCGGCGAGGCAAACGGGGAAGTAAACCCCAGCGTCGCGGCGGAAAGTGTCGCCCTCGGCCGCATGTCGCTCAAATAAGCTTCCATGGCGCCACCGCGGAGGATCCAAACGGCAGTCAGCCCAGTGCCTTTCCCCGTGTTTATTGACTACAAAAGTCCATCCGTCTTGTTCCCCGCAGCGCCACAAGCCGGGGGCCTAGTTGCGGAGTCTCCGCGTCGAGAAACACGCGCAGGCAAACACCAAAAGCAACCCAAAGCGGGTTTATAATGATCGCTGCCGCACAACAGAGCGGGGGTGGGAAATACGCCGCAACGAGGGGACGAGGAGAGCGCGCCATGGCCCCCTTTACTTGATGCCCGCTGCTGAATTTATAAGACGGCCGGGCTCCCATCTCGTGCTGAACGAGGCACACGTTCCATCGCCACTTGCATCATGAAACTCTGGACGAGCGTGCTCTTTTCCGGCCTCGCCTCTGCGGGCGCCCTGGTCAACCGCGATGGGGACAAGGCCCTGGCCAAGTGTCCCGGCTACAAGGCGTCCAACGTCAAGACGTCTGGATCCGGGCTGACGGCCCATCTCACGCTTGCGGGCAAGGCTTGCGACGCGTACGGCGACGACTTGAAGCAGCTCGTTTTACAAGTCACCTACGAGACCGGTAAGCTCGCCTTGAAGATGAGAAAGAAAGAAAGAAAGAAAAAAGGCAAACCCCCAGCTAACGACCCGCAGACGACCGCCTCCACGTCAAGATCCAGGACAAGGACAACCAAGTATACCAGGTGCCCGAGTCCGTCTTCCCGCGGCCCGGCGGCTCGTCGTCGGCATCGGCAAACCGGCTCCGGTTCGACTACACGGCGTCGCCCTTTTCCTTCCAGGTCAGCCGCCGCGACACGCGCGAGGTGCTCTTCGACACGTCGGCGGCGCCGCTGGTCTTCGAGTCGCAGTACGTCCGGCTGCGCACCAAGCTGCCGCGGGACCCGTACCTCTACGGGCTCGGCGAGCACTCGGACGCCTTCCGCCTCAACACGACGAGCTACATCCGCACGCTCTGGAACCAGGACAGCTACGGCATCCCCGCCGGCGCCAATCTGTACGGCGCGCACCCCATCTACCTCGAGCACCGGGACGCCGGCTCGCACGGCGTCTTCCTCCTCAACTCCAACGGCATGGACGTGGTCATTGACAAGGCCCGCGACGGCAGCCAGTACCTCGAGTACAACGCGCTCGGCGGCGTGCTCGACTTTTGGTTCTTTGCCGGCAAGACGCCCACCGCCGTCGTCCAGCAGTACACCGAGATTGCGGGCCGCCCGGCCATGCCGCCGTACTGGGGGCTGGGCTTCCATCAGTGCCGGTAGGTGCCAAGCAAGACGCATTTGATGCCGCAAATTCCAGAACCGCGTGGCAAAGCAGAGCTAACTACATGTAACCCACCCCCAGATACGGCTACCAGGACGTGTTTGACGTGGCCGAGGTCGTCTACAACTACAGCAGGGCCAACATCCCGCTCGAGACCATGTGGACGGACATTGACTACATGGACCGGCGGCGCGTCTTCTCGCTCGACCCGGAGCGCTTCCCGCTGCACAAGATGCGCGCGCTCGTGTCGCACCTGCACGCGCGCGACCAGCACTACGTCGTCATGGTCGACCCGGCCGTGGCCTACCAGGACTACGCGCCGCTGACGGCGGGCCTCGAGCAGGACGTCTTCCTCAAGCGCGCCAACGGCTCCGCGTGGCTGGGCGTCGTGTGGCCCGGCGTGTCCGTCTTCCCGGACTGGTTCGCGCGCAACGCCGGCGCCTACTGGGACGCCATGTTTGCCCGCTTCTTCCACCGCGACACGGGCGTCGACATTGACGCCCTCTGGATCGACATGAACGAGCCCAGCAACTTCCCCTGCAACTTCCCCTGCGACGACCCCTACGCCGCCGCCGAGGGCTACCCGCCGCCCGCGCCGCCCGTCCGCGCGCCGCCTCGCCCGCTGCACCGGCTCCCCGCGCAGCAGCAGCAGCAGCCGCTGGCGACCAAAAGGGCCTCCCGGGCCGCGACCTGCTCTACCCCCGGTACGCCATCCACAACAAGGCCGCGTACAAGGACGCCTGGAACGGCGCGCAGGGCGGGCTCTCCAACCACACGGTCAACACGGACGTGCGGCACCAAAACGGGCTGGCCATGTACGACACGCACAACCTCTACGGGTCCATGATGTCGACGGCGTCGCACGCGGCCATGCTCGCGCGGCGGCCCGGGCTGCGGCCGCTCGTCATCACGCGGTCCACCTTCCCGGGAGCCGGCGCCCGCGTCGGCCACTGGCTCGGCGACAACCTCTCCACGTGGGCCATGTACCGGGCCTCGGTGCGCACCATGCTGGCCTTCACCTCGCTGTACGGCTTCAACGCCGTGGGCTCCGACGTGTGCGGCTTCGGCGGCAACACGACCGAGGAGCTGTGCGCGCGGTGGGCCGCCCTCGGCGCCTTCTCCACCTTCTACCGCAACCACAACGCGCTCGGGCAGGCGCCGCAGGAGTTCTACCGCTGGCCGTCGGTCGCCGCCAGCGCCCGCCGCG